GGTAGTCAAAGAACGGAGGAGGTGCAACAGCAAGGGATGAGGGAGGAGGGGACGGGAGGAGGGGAGGACGAGACGAGCGGGAATGGAGCAACATAGGGTGGGTGGGCAGGACAGGAGAGACGGGACGAGCACGGGAGGGACGGCGAGACCAAACGTGAGACGGAGGTGTAGGGTCAGGGGACAGCAGAGGGGACACAGGAGGGGAACGAGGAGGAAGACGGGCCGGAGACGAGTCCGGCGGCGGGAACACAGGACCGTAGACAGGAAGGTCAGCAGGCGGTGGGGGAGACACCGGCGCGCGGTCCGGGGAGGGAAGGCCGAGCAGGCGGAGAGCGGAGACCGGCGGCGACGGCTGGGCCGGAACCCTCGGACTAGCAGAGGCAGGACGACCGTCGGCAGAACACTCAACAGCAGCACCCCCAGAAGATGCAGGACGAACACCCTCCTCAACACCAGCACCCCCAGGGGCCAAGAGCGGCGGCGACAGGGGCGGCGACGACTGCGGCGGCGGCGGCGACAGCGGCGACGGCTGCGGCGGCGGCGACAGCGGCGACGGCTGCGGCGGCGGCGACAGCGGCGACGGCTGCGGCGGCGATGGCGGCGGCGGCTGCAGCGAGGTCGGCGACTGCGACAGTGGGGGCGGAGGCACCAGGGAAGGGGGACGCGGCAAGGACGGACCGGGGGTACCACCAGAGTCGGCAGACTCCTCAACGGGGACAACCGACGGGAGGGGAGTGACGTGAGAGACACCAGACGGGGCAGGACGAGGCGGGAGAGGGGCAGGGGCTACCAGGGGAGAGGGAGCAAGGAACAGAGGGGGGGAAACCGGGAGACCTCTGTGAGGGAAGCGGTGGTAGAAGGAGACAGACTCGTCAAAGGTGACGTCACGAGAGTGGAGGAAGCGGTGTGATGGCGGGTGGTAGAAAAGCCAGTCAGACGAGTCCAGGGGGGAACCGAGGAAGACACAGGGGACAGTGCGGGCAGTGAGCTTGTCCGTGCCAGAGGCATGAACGTGAGCAATGCAGCCCCAGACGTGGAACGCAGACGCGTCACCGGGGGACCCGGTCCAAAGGAGGGTCGGCGAAACCTGCGACCGCTGGGAGCGTGGCCATAGGTTAAGCTGGTGAGCAGCGTAGCGAACAGCGAACGGCCACAGAAAATGGGGGGCATCGGCATGAATCATAGAGGTACGGGCGACCTCCATGACCAAGCCGATGCGGCGCTTAGCGACCCCATTCTGCTGTGGCGAGTCCGACAACGTATACGACTGGGTGATGCCCTCCGCACGACAGAACTGTCCAAGCCGACCAGAGGCGAACTCGCCGCCACGGTCAGAGTGGAGACACAACACGGGAAGACCGCGATGAAGACGCGCAGCTACGACCCACGGGAGAAGAACGTCGGGCACGTCGGCCTTCCGCTCTAGGGGAAACACCGTGGTGTAACGCGTGTAGTCGTCGACGAGCACAAGGAAGTAGCGCTCACCTCGCGGTCCGGGGACGGGGGCAGGGCCCCAAACGTCCAGGTGCAGGGTCTGAAGGGGGGCAGTAGCAGGGCGCAGCGAGGAGGAGTGAGGGGAGCGGCGGAGCCGGCCCTCGACGCAAGGCGTGCACAATGGCGCAGTCGGGGGAGGAAGGGCAGGGAGCGATGCAGGGAGACCTAAGACAAGACCGTGCTGGGACATGTGACGCAGACGTGGGAGTGCAGGGTGACCTAGGCGGTGGTGCCAGAGAAGGGACGGGTGAGTGAGAGACCGACACGAGCAAGCTGCAGCGACCTGGGAGGACGCACCAACCCGGGGGGGAGCGGTGTCTAGGGTGAACAGACCGTACACCGGGTCCCGGGGGAACGTCGCAAGAAGGGAACCTGAGATAGACTCAGAACAGACAGCGAACCGCTCGTGCCCGGGGAACGTGGTGGTGACGCCGAGGTCCTGGAGACAGCCGACACCAACCAGGTTCCTCGAGAACGAGGGAACGTGGAGACCTGTAAGGGAGCCCGAGGGAACTGCTGGACAGGGAAGGGACGTAGAACTGCGAGCGACGACAGGACCCACAGAGGGGTCAGCGAGAGAGACAACAGCAGGCGTAGCAAGCGGCGTGAGCGCGGAGCGGTCGCGGAAGAAGCAGGCAGAGGCACCGGAGTCGAGAGTGAAGGACAGCGAAGCATCGGCGGAGGCCGAGAACGGAGCCGGTGCAGAGACTAGGCTAGGCAAACTAGGCAGTCCTACGCCTGACGCAGCAGGGGAGGCTAAGCTACACAATGGTGCTACACCAAGGCTAGAGTGTACAGGGTAATAAGATCCAGCAACACTAGAAGCGTCAGAATACAAAGCATGCAAAGCAGCACCTATCTGATCCATGTCTAACTCAAAGATCGGCACGCCCTGGCGGAGCAGGCTGTGCCAGTCGGGGAGGTCCGGGGCCGGGCCAAAGCGACGACGAAAGAGATCGTCGGTGCGGCGGAAAAAGCGGGCGGTCGGGTGCGGGCGGCGGCACAGAGTGCCGCGGAGAGGCCCGGTCTGAAGCTGGTACTGGCAGGTCACGGCACCGGAGCCGCCGGTAGACGCCAAGCTGCGCGGGCCACCACCACGGCCACTACCTCCGGAGGTGCCGGGCCAGCCAGCCGGGAGACGGGCCCACTGCTGCGGCGACTGCTGCTGGGACGGCGGCTGCTGCTGGGGCGGCGGCGGCTGCTGGGGCTGCTCCTGCTGCGGCTGGGGCTGCTGCTCCTGCCCACCGGTGGTAGTCCCCTCAGGCGGACTACCATCACGACGACCACCACCACCACTACCTGCACCACCACCCCTACCTCCCTGACGACCACGGCCACCACGGCGCGAGCGCTGCTGCGGGTGGACCGCCGCAGCCGTCTCGGTGAGAGGGGTCGCCGTGGCGACCGCAGCCGAAACGTCAGTGAACGTGCACTGGGAGGGGGCACGGCCGTGAAAGATAGAGACTGCCGGCGCACCGCTCGATTGAGCGATAGTGCGCTGGCGAGTCTCGATCTCGGTGAGGGTATCGACAAAGGCGGTGAGGGTGCGATCACCCGGGTGCTGGCTAAGGAAGTGATCGCGAGCACTAGCGAGGCGGTCTGGCAGGCGCATGGCGATAAAATAGAGCGTCATGCAGAAAAAGGGGGGGAGCGCAGTGAGCTGGGCAGCAGTGCTGGCAGTGCGATAGCGGGTCTCTAGGGAACACAGGTGAGTGGCAAAGTCTGCGACGGTAGGGAAGGCTGCAAGGTCTGGGAAAAGCATAGGGAAGAGCAGGCGGCCAGCAGAAGCAGACGCGGGTGTGGAATAGCGAGCAATAACGGCGTCTAAGTAAGCTTTGGCCGTCTCAATAGTAGCAAAGCGCGAGCGCTCAGACACAGGGAGGGCGTGGCTAATAGCAACATGAGCGACTGCATCGCGGGAGTCCCAGACCGCACGGGCAAGCGCAGCAGTAGAGAAGGTCTCACGGTCATCAGAGGAGGGGTCAGCAGGGAGGGAAGCAGGTGCGGGGGGGCGGGGGAGCAAGCCATCGACATGGACAATTAAAGAGTGGCCATCCTGGCGCTGACCTGTAAGGTGGCGGCGGAGATCGGAGAGCCAGGCGGCGAAGTCAACCGCATGACCCTCTGCGTCCAGGCGGAGCACGAAGTCGGCCATCGTGCAGGGTCAGCAGCACAGCTCCACAGCTCCGCAGGAACACAGCAACGCAGGGACACGGCGGCGGCACTCTCCAGCGCGGCAGCCGCGAGACGCCCCGGCGCTGGCGAGCAGAGGAGACGGAGCCCGAGGTGGCACGACAGGCCGAGCAGGCACGAAGAGGGGCCAGGCGAGTAGTGGGAGAGGCCAGAGAGACGCGGCGGGGCCAGGCAGGCGCGGCGGGGCCAGGCAGGCTCGGCGGGGCCAGGGAGGCGCGGCGGGGCCAAGGAGGCGCGGCAGGGCCAGGCAGGCACGGCGGGGCCAGGCAAGCGCGGCAGGTGTCAGGGAGGCGCGGCGGGGCCAGGGAGGCGCGGCGGGGCCAGGCTGGCGCGACGGGGCCAGGCAGGCGCGGCAAGGCCAGGCAGGCGCGGCGGGGCCAGGGAGGGGCGGCGGGGGCCTAGCAGGCGCGGCGGGGGGGGGCGGCGGGGCCAGGCAGGCGCGGCGGGGCCAGGCAGGCGCGGCGGGGCCAGGCAGGCGCGACGGGGCAGGCAGACGCGACGGGGCCAGGCAGGGCGCGGCGGGGCCAGGCAGGCGCGACGGGGCAAGGCAGGCGCAATGGAGCCAAGCGAGCGCGGCGGGGCCAGGCAGGGCGCGACGGGGCCAAGCGTCGTGGCGGGACCAGGCAGGGCGCGACGGGGCCTAGCAGGCGCGACGGGGCCCAGGAGGGGCGCGACAAGGCCCAGGAGGGGCGCGACGGGGCTAGGAGGCGCGACGGGGCCCAGGAGGGGCACGACGGGGCCCAGGAGGGGCGCGACGGGGCTAGGAGGCACGGCAGGGCCCAGGAGGGGCGCGACGGGGCTAGGAGGCGCGACGGGGCCCAGGAGGGGCGCGACGGGCTAGGAGGCGCGGCAGGGCCCAGGAGGGGCGCGACGGGGCTAGGAGGCGCGACGGGGCCCAGGGGGAAGCGGCGGGGCCTAGCTAGGGTACGGGCGGAAGCGGTAGGTGGGGGATCCTAACCTACGCGTGATACCATGTTAAGGTGAGAACTGAATGATAACTAGAAGTGGAAACCTATAACAAGTACTAGCTGGTTGTACTTACTAGAAACATACCCCAGTCTAGCCTATAACTTGTACACAGCTAACATGTATAAGTTGACAATTTCCTCTTCAGTTGACCAAGACTCCAACTCTCTTTTCCTTAGCCTAAGCAAGCCAAAGTGGAGCAGTCCTGGCTAATCATCTTAGAGGGAACACAGCCCTGGCTTCCAATCCAATGCCACGGCCACTCTAGTCAATGTGGAACCACCACTAGTGGGCGATATCATTGCTGGAGCCAAGCGCTCATAGCAAATCCCCTTAAAGCCCGCGTCTCATATTTCCTAAAGTAATACTCTTGGTACTAGGTAACGTAGGTTCTCTTTGTGCGAGGGCTCACAAGTGAGTGCGAGAGAGATATACAACCTCAGCAAAGCGAACCCGAAGACGCGTTTGTAATAACCGAGTTTTCGGAAACTGGGCTGGTTGCATGGAATCAGGAACCGAAACATCTCACACAAGAAAATTTCGGCCCAAAATCCAACACTGAAATCGCAACTGCTTGCGAAACTCTGAGAACCTGACCCCCACCATCCACGACCTCAACGTTCCGTTGGCTCAAACCAAACGTAATACGGCTCCGCAGAAATACGAGACTCCAAGCCTCGTCAAAGTTGGACCCTCAACGATTTTCAAAATTGTCGCAACCCTCTCGCCCACTCACTTTCAAAATTTCGCCCCTCGCCCCCCAACCAGAACCCCCCACCAAAGGTAATACCTTTGGTCGGTAGGAAATATGAGACGCGGGCTTTAATCAACCGTGGCATCTAGCTATCGACATGCTGGTAGAAGAGCAGATATGCTTCGCAGCGCAGCACTCGCTCCAGTGTTGTTGCCTGGGCGTGTGTGTCACTGATGTACCACCACCGCCCACCCTCCCACCCACCAGATACTTCCTCCTGCCCCACTTTCCCACTGTGCCCCTTCCCCACCACCCCATCACCTCGTGCCGTAGCCACACTGCCCTGCCCTGCAACCCCTCCACCCTCTGCCCCACCTGCGTGCACCAGCTCTGCTCCACTGCATACTCCCACCTCTGCTAGCCCACTGCCTTGCCGCTCCGCTCCAGCCTCTTGTTGCTGCTGCTGCTGCCGCTCCTGCTCCTTCTGTTGCTGCTGCTGCTGCCTGCCGCGAAGCACAAAGGCCACGTAGTGCCCGCCTCGCATGGTGCCGCTGTGCTCCACCGCCCCACACAGCCGGTACCGGTGGGACTGGGACTGGGACCCCACCCCACACTGCAATGGCACCTCGCCACCTGTGTGCGGGGCTAGAGATGCATGCGGTACGTGTGAAGGCTGGGGTGGTGCTGACGATGATGGCGCCGACGTGGTACCTGTGGCCGGCAAGCTGCTAAGGGGCAGATTGTGAGGTGGGTGGCGCAACGAAGGGCGGACGGGAGTGAGCAGCGAGGAGTGTGAGAGCGAGGCGCAGTGGGAAGTGGGAATGGCGGCGGGGAATGCCTCCTAGTAACTCACGCAAGTTACTAGGAGGCATGGCAGGGAATCACACAGCAGCACAGTCAAGAGCACGAAAGATGTGGAACAGCATGGAGCAGCAGAGGCACAGAGCACAAGAAGCAGGGAGGAGAGGAAGAGGCGGGCAAGCACGGGAGGACGCACGGTGGTTGTTGCTCGTCCAGGAAGGGGCTGAGGTCCAGCCACTCGCCAAACGCCACGTGGCCACTGATCTTGGAGAGGCGGCCCTTGGCGTCGTGGCGGAAGCGCTTGAGGTGGATGACCAGCAGGGGCGGCGCCCTTCGCACCCGGTACCGCTTCCGCGCCTCCACGCGCACCCTCTGCACCTGCACCGCCTCCTCCTCCTCCTCATCCTCCCCCTCCTCTCCCTCCGCCCCCCATTCCTCCCCTTGCTCATTGTGACCACCAGCACCAGCCTCGTGGTGCACGCCTTGACCCCCTTGACCCACTGCTTCCCCATTGCCCTCGTGCTCCCTGCCACTCCATTCCACTAGTGCTGGCACACTGGATGCTGTAGTAGCCAATTCAGATGCAGTCACATCATTCGCTGCAGCCACATCATTCGCTGTAGTCACATCATTCGCTGATTTCGTACTGTCTGCTGTACGTGCATCTGACCCTAAACCCTCCGTTTCACCTCTCGCCTTCCCCCCACTCACAACCACACTCTTTTCCCCCTCTCCCCTGCCCCCTTCTGTATCCCCCTTCTCAATAACTTCCCCCTTCTCCTCCCTCCTCCTCTCCCTCCTCCTCCTCCTCTCCTCCCTCCGCCTGCCCACCTCCTCCCGCCTCCTCCTCTCAGTGCAGCCATCGCAGCCCCACGCGTCGTCCCCCCGCAGCACCTCCTCCGCACTGAATTCCCACAAGCACCCCTCCACCGACATGCGTGCAGGCAGCCGCTGCTGCAGCTGCTGTTGCTCTTCTGACTCAAATCCCACCCTTCTTCCCCGCCCTTTCTCACTCTCTCCCACACTCGCTTTCTCCCTCCTGGGGCTCGTCGCGCCACACTCCTGTGCGCCTGCCACAGTGGTGCCGCTGCTAGGCGCACACTCACCCCCGCTGCTGCTGCCTGTGGCGGTGATGCTGCTGCCAGCGTCGTCCGCTCTGCCAGTGGAGTCGGGCCCACTGCACGCTCTCATCACTGTGCTGATGCCTCCCTGCCTCGTACTCCCATCCCTCTCCCCTTCCTCTATTCTGGCCCCATGCTCCTCCCCTCCCTTCCCACCTGCACCTGTCTGCTGACCAGCGCTCCCCTCCTCACCAGCACTCTCCCCACCCCCTCCTCCACCAGCGCTGCTGCCCACATGTCCACCATCCCCTGCACCATTCCCCTCCCCTCCCACCACTGCTCCTGGCCTTTCCTCTTCCTCTGCCCCACCTGCTGCACCCCTCGCCACATCATCTGCCACATCACCTGCCACATCACCTGCCACATCACCTGCCAATGCCCCGTCCTCGCCCTTCTCTGCATCCGCTTGCCTCACTTTCGAATCGCTGCTGCTGATGCTGCTGCCACCGTTGCCATTGCTGCCTGACCCAGTCTCTCTGCTTCCCCCGCTCGCCTCCCCATCGCCCACACTCCCCTTCCCACCCTCAAACGCCCCTCCCTCTCCTCTCTCCTCTCCCCTTCCCACTGCCTTCGCCTCCTCTCCCCCTGCTGCAGCCCCCTCGTCACTCCCCCCTCCCTTCCCATCTGCCTTCTCCTCTCCCTTCCCACCCGCCTTCCCCTCCCCCCTCCCCTCCTCCCTCCCCACTCCCTTCCCCTCCGCGTGTCCCTTGCGGCTGCCCCGCACTGGCAGGAACACGCGGGGGGATGGGGGCGGTGGGGTTGCGACAGGGATGGGGAGGGAGAGGTCGAGGAAGGGCTCTTGGACGGAGGAGGAGTAAGCGCAGTGGCAGCACACCACTGTGCTGCTCAGCACCCCGCCGAACAGCCGCTCCACCACACTCTCCCTCCCTCGCCCTCCTCGCCCCTCACCCCCTCCCCTCCTGCCTCCCCCCCTTCCTCCTCTTCCTCCTCCTCACTTTCCCCCTCCTCTTGCTCCCCTCCCTCCTGTCCCACAACACCCACCTCCTCCCCACTGCCCTCCCCCTCCAGCCATCCCAATCCCATGCTCTCAATCCCCTCGCCCCCATCCTCCCCCTCCTCCTCCCTCACTCGCTGCACCTCCTCGGCAGCAGTCCCTCCCTCCACTCGCCTTAGCCGAGCCATCGCCAGCCCCAGCCCAGCACTCAACCCCGTCGCCCCCCCCACGCCCCCTTTCCCCTCCGCCTGTCCGCTCTCCTTTTTCCCCCCTGCCCCTCCCACTGCATTAGGCGCGGGCATGGATGGGGGAGGCGGGGGAGGTGGGGGGGCGGAGGGTGGACGAGGGGGGGGCGGCGGTGGCGGGGTGGGAGGGGGAGGGGGAGGAGGCGCACGAGGAGGGGCAGGAGGGGGAGGCGGGGTTGGAGGAGCGGGTGGGGGGCCAGCGGTGGCCGCCTGGCGCTTCTTCTTGCGAGCGGCGGCAGCAGCCTTGGCAGCGGAGCCGTCCTGCTCCTCCTGCAGCAGCTGCAGCAGGCAGCGCAGCAGCTCGTGGCTGTCCTGCTGCTGGTACCCCCTGAACCGCGGGGCCTTGCTGCACACCGCGCCAAACAGCTCCCGCGGATTGTAAGGGGGGGCTTTCGCCCTCCCCTCCCCCTCATGTTGCTGCTGCGCCCTCTTCCCCGCTGCCCCCTTGCCGTGCTTGCCCCCCGCGCCCCGCTTCCCTCCCCCCACCGCCCGTGCTGTGGACCTCCGCGAATGAAGCGCCTTGCCCCTTGCCACGTGGCCGCGCGGACTGCATATGCTCTCCCCCGATTGGCTGCCTGTGGCAACAGAAGTACCAGCAGCACCAGGAGGAGCAGCAGCCCCAGCGGCGAGGCCCGGGTTGAGGTCCTCGTAGAATCGGCGCAGCGCAGTGCTGATGGGACCCTTGTCTCTCTTCCTCGCCCCCTTCGCCTTCACTCCTCCCACCTTCCGCCCTTCCCCACCCTTCTCCTCTAAACCCCCCTTATCCCCCCCATCCGCATCCTTCCCCTCGTTACCCCCTCCCCCATTCCCCCGCCCCTCTGCCCCCGTCTCACCCAGCGCAGGCGCCTCTACACGTGGCGGGTCGGGGTTGGCCAGGAAGTGGTCTCTAAGAGCGGGGATGGCGGCGAGGTTCTGCAGGACGGAGTTGAAGAAGCACGTGTTCCCCAGGTTGCTCAACCCCCGCACCGGCCCCTCGCCTCTCTCCCCCGCCCACCTCTCCCCCTCCCCCTCCCCCTCTCCCCCTTCACCCTCCTCCGCCTCCTGCTTCTCGCCCCCGTCAGCTGCTTCCCCTCCCTCCCCTGCTCGGCCTTTCTCCCCCTTCCCCGCACCCCTCTGCTTCGCTCTCTCCCTCGCACCACCCGCTGCTCCACGCCCCTCCTTCGCCTTCCCTCGTCCCTCCCCTTCCTCCTCCGCTGCTCCCCCGCCTTCCCCATCGTTCTTCCCCCCCTTGCTCTGCTCCTCCGCCTTTGCGCGCGCCACTTCACTGCGCCTCTCCGCCAGCAACAGGAGGAACTCGCGGAGCGGATGGTCCGGGGGAAGGCTTTCCGCCCATGGCCGGGCGTGCTCGCTCCCTTCAGCAGCGCTCCCCCCCTCACTCGCACTGCCAGCCGCAGCATTCGCTGTCGTGCCAGTCCGCGCCTCTCCCCCGTCCTCCTCCCCCTCTCCCTCCTTCTCCCCCTCGTTCGCCCCCTCCCCCACCTGAAGTTCTTCCGCCTGTGCGCGCTCGGCGCCATCCGCATGCACGAGTGGAGCGCTATCCGCGCGATCGTGGTCTGCGCAATCCGCGTGCGCGCACTCGGCGGCATCCGCGCGCAGCAGCACGCAGCGGTGGCAGCGGAAGCACCAGACGCGCATGGACTGCGCGTGCGCCATCAGCGCGTGGCTCCTCAGCTGCCCCCAGTGCTGCCTCGCGTGCCCGTGCCCGTGCGCATCCGCATCTCCGCCCATTCCTTGCCCTTCCCCTTCCTTGTGCCCTGTAGCCGCGTCCCCTTCCGCCATGTCCGCATCTCCGCAGAACCCCCTCGCGCACACCAGACACACCCAGAGGGACTCCTCCGCCGTACCCGTTATAGGCACCGCCTGCTCCTTCTTCTTGCCGCCAGCCATTCTGTGGCTGTGCTGGCTGCACGGATCGCATGCATCCACGTGGCGCTTCTTCAGCTCGCGAGTGAACTTCTTCAAATCTAAGCCCTTGTGATGATGACACCTGGCGCCGCCAGCCAGCGGCTCAACCTCTCCCTCGGCCATCGCTGAACCTTCCGCGGAAACTTCCGACCCCACAACGGAATCAGCGGAGGCTGCTTGCGCAGTCTCGGAGGCGCTATCGCTACTGCTGGTCGGTAACTCAGACGCCTGCGTGGCACTCTTTGATTGGTCCTTAGTCGCACCAGAGGAGCCATCAGATGTCCGCGCGGGGGCGGCTTGAGCAGCAGCCTTGGCCTTGCGCTGCTTCCGCTTCGCCATGGCGGGTGGCCGTGACGGCTACGCCGCGGCGAGGAAGGCCCAGCAGCGGTCGCCACTCAGCTGGTCCGTGCGACGAAGCGAGACGAGTGGCTCGCCGAGTGGGAGCTAATCTGGTCAGGACTGTCGGACGGGGTGGTGCCACAGAAGCATGTCAAGTGAAGTGATCGCTGCCCGTGAGGGATGTGTGTGTCTCCCACAGCAGTAGGTGAAGCGAGCTGCTGGCCAACCCAGCCCTCAGGAATCTCCCTCCACTCCCCGCCACAAACAAGCTGATCTGACATCCAAGGTTCTCGATAACGCCGAATCCCCATTAACAGATGAGAAGAAGTCGCGGGTACAGTGCAAGGATTCTTATAATTTGTGTCTATATTACATGAGATAAGCCAACTCCTGATTTATCTCCAAAATTATCCCTATGGGAGAACCCCGATCTCAACAATTATGAAGCGATGATCCCAACAGGATTTTTCCCATCGAGCAAGGGGCTCTCCAACGAAGGCTGCGTGATGTCATCCGATGACTCGTCCAAGTGCGTTGAGAGCACAATGCCGCCAGCCAGGAGAGACGAAACGAGGGGCAGCAGAAAAAGCACCCAACGCACAATAGAGCGCGGGCAGGTGGGGCTGGCATGACCACAGAATTCCTCTTTTGCTGCACAGCGCAACACAGCACAACCCAGGATGGGAGGTGAAATTAAATACCACAAACAGCCTGGAGAAGCTAAACACCGTCCCGTGAAATGGCCCTTGGACGAACACGAGGAACTGCGCACAAATCTAAGTCGTGCACTTGTTGCTGCATGGCAAGCAGGAGACTCACTGTTGTATGCCTGAATGGCGACGAGCGCGATGCCGCAGGTGAACTTGTCGAGGAAGGAGAGCGAGCCGTACACAAAAGCGCACACCGACACGTGCTGCCCCACCAGCACACCCTCCAGACTCGTTGCCGTCACCTGGTGGGGTGTGATGGGCGAGTGCGAGAAGAGGCAGCGACAGGGGGTGAGGGGGGTGAGGGAGGGAGAGAGGGAGGGGGGGGAAGGGGGCAGAAGGCACAAAATCAGTGCGGCACATGCGTGGACAGACTAGTATGCCAGTGGCGAGAGAAACTAGTGGAAGAGGTGAGCGCTAGTGCGGGAGGAGGGCGGGGCGTACGAGCATGAGGGCGTTGGAGACCCCCACGACGAGGGCGAGGGCGTACACCACGAGGTCCATGGAGGGCCCCGCGTCCACCCACAGGAAGGCGGCGCTGGCTCCCGTCCACAGCAGCGCACCGATGGAGAAGGCCATCTTCATGCGCCCCATGTCCCAGTGCAGCTCCTGAGAGGGGGGGGGGGGGGGGGGGGAGAGGGGGGGGGTGGGTGTGAGGGACAAGAGAGGAAAGCGCAATAGAGGAAAGCGCAATAGAGGAAAGCGCAATAGAGGAAAGCGCAATAGAGGAAAGCGCAATGGAGGAAGCGCAATGGAGGAAGGACATTGGGTGAGGGATGAAGGAGCCATGAGAGTGATAGAAAGAGACACGTGGAGATGAATGGCGAGGGACGGGAGAGGTAGCATGCGCGTGAGGGGGGGAGGCGGAGAGAGGGGGAGAGAGGGGGAGAGAGGGGCACCTGGAGCACGACTGAGGTGATGAAGCTGCAGACGAAGATGAGCGCCGGGATCTGATGGCACGGCAGCAACACGCAGAGGGCAGAGGGCGGGCAGATAGAGGGGATAGGGCGGGGGGGTTGAACGAGCATGAGCATGAGCACGGAGGGTGGGAGGACGAATGGCAACGACGAAAGAGCCAACGAGGCAGATTGGTGAAGACAACACAGTGCACTTGAGGCGCCACGCATGGCAGAGGCAGCCTCCACCGTGCTTCCCCCTGCATGGGCGAAGGCGCGGTGGTGGGGGGCGCGCAAGGGGCTCACCGTGGCCTTGGCGGACGGGTGCAAGCCGAGGTCGAAGATGAGGAAGAAGGGCAGCATGGCCTGCAGAGAGAGGGGGGGGGAGGGAGGTGGTAGAAGGGGTGAGGGAGGGAGGGCTCAAGGGCGGAATGTAAACGTCTTGATCTAGGCTTGACTAGTTCAAGTCTGTAACCGTAGACTAGACTGTACACTGAGCACAAGGGCTTGGCAAGGAACAGGTGTGCAGGGCACCCCACTTGCAGGTGTGCAGGTGTGCAGGTGTGCAGGTGTGCAGGGGTGCAGGGGTGCAGGTGTGCAGGGGTGCAGGTGTGCAGGTGTGCAGGTGTGCAGGGGTGCAGGTGTGCAGGAGTAAACCCCGACTTTTTGTCCTTACCGGACATGACTTCACCGAAAGATGCTTTGGCATGCCTTTCCTGCTCACCTGAGAGACGTTGGTGATGAGCCGCACCAACATGTACACCGCCGCCACCTGGAAGTATGCCAGCTGGCGGAACCAGAACAGCCACGCTGGCACCGCCTGCTCCTCCTCAGCTGCCTCTGATTGGCCGTTCTTAGGCCCCCACTGCTGTGATTGGTCGATGCTGCCGTCAGCTGCTGGCTGTGGGCTGAGCAAGCGAGAGGAGGGCAGGCGCACAGGCGCATGGGCCAGCCTGGGAGGGCGCGGAGAGGAGGGCGAGAGGGAGGGGAGAGGGGGGCAGGAGGGGGGAGGACGCGAGTGCATGGGTGAGAGTAGCGCAAGGGAGGGAGCACAGGAGGACGAGGGTAGAGAGATAGCCAAAGAGTGAGTGCAGTGGTGGTGAGCTGGATCGTTGGTGAGCAGGAGACACGTCCACTCTTCCACCCGCACACGCGCCTTCTTTAGTTCTGTGCCCGTGCAAACCGCCTTAGTTTCCTTGCCACGGCACGCACTCACGTGGGCTCCTTCACCCCGGCATAGAAGATGAGCAGGAAGACGGCGCCGGAGGAGAGCGCAACCAGCGAGATCCATCGGTACTGTGCTTGGACCTGCAGGGAAGGGGAAGGGGGGGGGGGTGGGGGAGGGGTGTATTTAGTGAGATGACTCAAAGAACACTGCGATTGAAACAGCTCCAAACAAAAAAACTCCAAAATTATGAAGACCCTCAAAATGAATCAAACAACCCCACAAAAACTGGATTGAGATGCCTCGGAAGGAAGAGGAGGCTTCGCAGTATGGAGCAATCACCTCGGAGGGCGAGTGGGCGGGGAAGAGCGAGAAGGCGGCGAGGGCGATGGCGAAGAGCGAGAGGTTGGCGACCATGGTGAAGGCGTTGCGGCAGCTGTTGAGCGCCACGCGGCTGCTGGGGTTCGCCGTCATGCAGTTCACCATCGCCCTGGCGGGTGCGGACACACGCGCAAGGGCGGTGGGTGGCGTGGGAGGAGGGGGGGTTGTGTTGTGGGGGGGAGGGGCGAGGGGGTTGGGAGTGTGGCGAGGGGGGAAGGACGGGGTTGATGTGTGTGAGAGAGGCACCCTAAACCCTGGAGTTCAATGCCACGCATTCACCATATTTCTGCAGGGAGGGGGTCATGTGTTGCTGGCGGGCGGATATGCGCGTAGAGAGGTGGGGGTGGATGGTGTGGGAGAGAGGGGAGTGCCAGAGTGGGCAGGGAGGCGCGCACAGGCAAGACGCTTAAAGAATTCTCCAACGAAAACTGCTTGCATTGGCACTGGCATGATCACATATTGTACTACACTATGCTCACAGGTGCGACACGCACTCACATGTGCGACACCATGCTCACAGTTGCGACACGCACTCACATGTGCGACACGCACTCACATGTGCGACACGCACTCTCATGTGCGACACCATGCTCACATGTGCGACACCATGCTCACATGTGCGACACCATGCTCACATGTGCGAGACCATGCTCACATGTGCGAGACCATGCTCACATGTGCGAGACCATGCTCACATGTGCGACACCATGCTCACATGTGCGAGACCATGCTCACATGTGCGACACCTGCGTGGCGGCCCATCCGCAGTTGAAGACAGCGGCAAAGACGCTGTAGCTGGCGGTCTCAATGGCGGTGGAGTCGGATCCCAGCAGGTAGCACACCAGGCACCCACCGAACACGGACGAGAACGACACCACCGTGCACACCGACCCACCGAAGTGCCACAGCTTGTAGTGCCCAAACCGGTCGATCTGGGTTAGGAAGGGGAGGGACGCACTGAGGATGATGCACTGAGGACGAGGGGGGGAAGCAGTGCGCGCAGCACAGGTACACGCGCGTTGCACGGACTGCTATGTCCCGTGCCTGGAATCACACATCAGGGGCGACGGTTATAGACTAGTCTTTAGCCAGGCCACACAAGGTTGGCGCTGCTCTTAGCTTTGCCATTTCACTCGAAGCTGTTTCAAACTTTCTGAGATTCGCGCCCGTTTCTCCCATTTCTCCCATTTCTCCCATCTTCTCTATCGCTACTGTTCCTCCCGTTTCCCCCATCGCCACTGCGCATCCCATGTGCTCCCATTGCTCGCATGGCTCTCACCAGCTCGCCCGCCACGAGGGTGGCAGCAGCATCTGCGAATTGACCCGACAGCATCACCACTCCCGCCTGCCTGCAGACAGACACGTGGAGTCAGGGCTATGAACGAGAGGGGCAGAGGCGGGACAAGTGTTTCGGAGAGAGTAGGAGCAAGAGAAAGAGAACTGGAGAAAGAGAGCTGGAGAAAGAGAGTTGTTTGTATTTCGATTTATTCAAGCCTGCTTCCCACATTCAAGCGCCCATTGCACCATCTATAAGCGCTCTCCAGGCACCTGCACCCACCGCCGGTCGTTCACGCAATTCTAGAACCTACTGTATCGATAGGGAGCTCCCAAACTCCCCCACAACTCGCGCGCAACAGCCCCCATGTCACGACGTACTCAGTTGGAATCCCGATACGACGCATTGTGAGGGGAAGCCAGAAGGGGGGGAGGCGGCGGAGCGACGTACTGGGGAGAGAGGCCGATATCCGAGAGGTAGATGAGGAGGTAGGTGAACCAGCACGCCGCCGTGATGTCGTTTAGCATGTGCCCCGTGCCGTACGCCAGAACCTGCCACCGCGGGAGCGCGCGCCGGCACGGGCCCAGCGGCAGCACGTCGTCGCTTCCGGTCGAGCCTCGGCTCAACGACGGTTCCAAAAGAGGGAGGTAACCGTCGAGACGGGGATCTGACCCGCCGTTTGCGGCGTCCTTGACGAGGCCATTTCCAGTGCTTAGCGGCGGAACGACTATGCAGAGTTCTGGCTTGGAATCGCGTTGCGACGATGATGACGGGCCCATTCGCGCTGGTCGTAAGCACGATAGTATGTGGCTAATAGACGGTGCTGCCGCTAACTGATGGTGGATCGTCGCAAAAGAGACAGTCGGCTAATTGATCACGGAGCGACTAAAGGTCGAACATAGAATGTTTTAGTATGGAAAAACTAGGAACAGCCTAGGACGAGCGCGAGGGATTGCGTGATGCTGTTGAAGGAAACAAGGTCGGAAACTTCATGGACGATTCGATTCAGTCAGTGCTGCCAGACGCGAGTGCGAGCACTGTAGCGCTAATTCCCACGTTGCGCTGGAAGCACACGTCAGATTGATCAGCCATGGCCGCCTAGCCAATGAACCACATAAAATGCTGTGCTGCTTTCCAGGTTCTCAGAGCGCCTCTGCTAGCATCATCCAGCGCAGACGGGAGCTCGAGGCACACACGAGCACCGAGGCAGCCATGCCTGGCACTGGGGCTTGCGGAGGAGAATGCAGAGCACCAAGACGCGACGGACCGTTGGGAATTGCAGGGCTCCCCCGCTTCGCTCCCGTAATTCACTGGCGGAGTGACTGTACGACGCGACAAGGTCGATTTGTTCCGCGGATGTCAGATGTAATCGATTTGTTTCCCCACCGCGAGATGATGTGTTGCTGGAACTTCTGCCCGTACGCCACACCGTACGTTGAGCCTATTCGAGGAATCGCTCCTGAGGTTCAAGCGTGGCCAATCACTGTGAGTCGACTCGATGTACCTATGCGTGGGAAGAGGACGGACAGTTGCCCCAATCGTGAGACGTGGCTCAACGGAGAAATCGAGGATGATGTGTGATGGATGTTCAGCAACGCCACTTCACGCTGGCAATAACGGGGAAATCGAGAACCCCGTATGAAATGCCATTCTACAATCCGATTTCCGCTGCTTTACACAGTTCAGTGCAAGGTCTCTATATCTGACTATGGAGGTACTCAACAGGCGTGCGTCTTCCTGGCCATACACCACCAAGCTGCAGTGTTCTACAACCTCCTGTCATGCAACTTATTCCACACAAGCCAATCAATGCAATCGGTATTCCAAAAGCACGACAAACAAATCAATCATGGAACAAAAACAAACCTTACCAGCTTCGCACTCAGCATGCCTAGCATTGTATACCATCCTCAGCAGCTTACTGAGCAGAAGGCGCTCAATGGTGATGATGATGGTGGTGGTGACGCGACGACGACGCAACGCCTGTGGTGCTCCCGCTAGCAACCCCCGACCTACTCCGGTGCGTTGAGTGCCCCCCTGTGGCAGTGCGAGTGCGGGAAGAGTGATGCGCGCCGCTACTTGTCCCATGGTGTGCCCGGTGGTGGCCGCTCCCTGTGCCCCCTCCGCCAGATGAACCACTAGCACCCCCGGCTGCAGCCTTCCTGAGCCCGCTGCTGCTGCTCCCCCCGGTGCGGTGGCGCGAGGTGCTGGTGCCAGCAGTGCGCGAGGCGGAGCGCGAGGAGTGCCCGTGGTGCAGCTGGGGGGCACCCGCCCCACGTGCTTTGAGGGGGTCCGAGAGAGCGTCGCGCGAGGAGGGCGTCTTGATGGGGCGCTGGTTCAGGTACAGCAGCTGGGGCAGCAGACCTGGCGGGGAGGAGGGGAAGGGGGGGGGGGGGAGAGGGGGAGGTGGGGGGGGAAGAGGGGGACGGGAGTGGGGGGGGTGGAGGATAGACAGGCTCACATGCATGAACTGCTGGCCAGATGCACACGCACGGCACAGCCTGTCACAGCCACAACCAGCAGGCAAGCATAGGCCCACCCAGCAGCCATCCCCACCCACCGATGAGGTAGCGCTTGAAGGCATCGTCCCCCAGGTTGACGTGGATGGGGTTGCCCGCCAGGTTGAGCGCTCGCAGCGAGGCGTAGTTGGCGGCGAGCTGGCCGAGCGCCTTGGTGGTGGTGACCTTGTTGCCGCCCAGGTCCAGCACCGTGAGCTTCAGCAGGCGGTGCAGCCCCTCCACCTCGCCCACCCTATTGCCCGCCAGGTACAGCTCTCGCAGCGCCAGACAGCCCGATAGGCCTGGCGGAGTGAGGAAGAAGAGGAGGGACGACAGGAGAAAGAGAGAGGGGGGTAGTGTGGGGATGATGGATTGGGTTGGAAAATGGAGAGGGACAATGGATAAAATCACAATTCGGGCAAATGCACCCTCTTCAGTGCAACATGCGCACTCACACTCCAGCAAGCAACATGCGCACTCACATTCCAGCAAGCACGGTCAGCACATTCCAGCAAGCAACATGCGCACTCACACTCCAGAAGCTCTTCCTTCCAGTCATCTCAAGCACCACAGAGGACCACAACACACCATGCCGACCTCGCTGCAGAGCAGCGCCCCATGCCCTCACCGTGGCCGATGCGCGCGAGGCGGTTGTTGGAGAGGTTGAGCACCTTGAGGCGCGACAGCTCGCGCAGCCCCTCCACGGCCGCCAGGCGGTTGTGCGACAGGTCCAGGATGTGCAGCGACCGAGGCAGCACGCCCGCTGCCACTGACGCTGGTGGTGCGAGGGTGAGAGGGTTTGGGGGACAACAGGGTGAGTGCGGTTGGCTGTGCGACAGGCCCAGAATGTGCAGCCGCGGAGCACCCACACCCCACCACACGGAGGCTGGTGGGATGCACGAGCGTGAGTGGGGTCAACAGGCAAGGGGTGAGTGATTCAGGGGGTGGTTGGGGTTGGGAAGAGGATGAGTGGAATACGACATGACGGAGTTGCAATGGGAGAAACGAAGGCCGAGAGGACACCAGAGAGAGGGAGAGAGAGCAGCTCGCAGCGCACACTCATAAGGGCCGTGAACCATCTGTCAGCGGGGGGAGGCATGGCCACGGCACTCACTGATGTTGTTGCGCGACAGGTCGAGAGTCTTGAGCGACGAGAACGCCCCCAGCGGCGGCACGACCAGCAGTCCGCGCATGGAGAGGTACACGGCGGCCGCGTGCTTGTCGAGCCCCCGCACCACCCGCCCCGCATGCTCCGCCGCCGCTGCCGCCCCCACCGCCACCGCCGCCTGAATGTTCCCCCCTGTGGCCGCCGCGCCCCCGTGCATGTGGCCGTGCGACATGGACCGCTTGCTCATGGCGCTGGCCGAGTGGTGGTGGTGGGGCGCGGGGGGCGATTGTGGGGGGAGCAGCGCGCTGCTGCCAGCGTTCTTGCTGCTGCTGAGGGTGCTCCAGTGCTCGATGGACTCGGACGGCTCCCACTGCCCGTGTTTGAGGCACCGCACCCATGCTTCCACGCGCGCCATGCCCCCCAGCCACATCGCCGTCATCTCCCCCGCCTTCTCCGCCTCCTCCGCCCCCCCTCCCGCCGCACCTGCCGCTTTCGCCGCGGAAATCGCTCCGCCAATGCCTTCCCCCGCGCCGATTCCCGCGCTTGCGCTCCCTTCCGCTGCGGAGAGCTGCACGTCCCCCAGCTCCGGCATGGACTGCGCGTCCGCCGCCCCCACGTCCGCGGCGACTGCCTCTGCGCCGACGGGGGAGGACGCGCCTGTGGGCGGGCAGGCGAGGAGAAGGTCCCCCGTGGTGCGGATGCGCGGAAGCATCAGGTCAGAGCGGGGCTCAGTCCGCTCCGCCTGGTCGCTAGTTGCGCCTTCACTGGCTGCAGAATCCCCCGCGCCAATGTCCGCTTGGGGGGGGGCGGCGGAAGCGTCCCGCTGCGGAAGGCCATCCGCGCCTCTGGCATCGACGGCGGATGGGCCCAGAGAAAACGGCTCCTCTCCCCCACGAGGCCCTTCCGCTTCCTCCCCCTCTGGACTGAAGTACATTTCCGCCCGTGCCGCGCGGATCTCCTCCCGCGCATCCCGCGCAGCCTCCTGCGCCGCTTCCTCCTCCGCCTCCTCGTCCCACGGCAGCACGGACAGCGGCCCCGACACCCCCAGCTGCAGGTGGTCCAGCAGCAGCGCCGTGTCGGAGTGCGCGGACGCCTGGCTCCGCGCATCGTCGTCGTCTTCCGCCTCGTCCGCGCTCCCCGCCTCCCCTTCCGCCACGGCCTGCGCCTCCGCCCAGTCGTCCTTCATGTTCTCGAGGTGCCCCGTCATGTTGTGCCACATCGTGCCGTACTCCGCCACTCGCGCCGACTCCGCGTCGTCCGCGTGCTGCCCGTCCGCGCTGCCGTCCTGCTGAAGTGACGTGCGCCAGAACTGGAACCCCATGACGTCATCATTCTCGTTATCGTTACCGTTATCGTAGTCTTCGTCCGCGTCGAATCCGTCTGCTCCCGTCCCATCCCGATAACCAAACCCTTCGTTTCCACCCTCCCCAAACTTTCCCCCATCTTCCCCCTCTTCCCCCTCGTCTTCGTCCCCCTCTGCGCGCATCTTACCGCGGTCGCCGCCGGGGTGCAGGCCGCCGTGCGCGTCGAACAAGCGGTCGTAGTCGTCGTGCTCCATGGTCGTGCGGCTGCGGCTCCACAGCGCCACATTCTCCACGGACGCGTCGCTCAAAAAGGCGCTCTTCTCCGCCTCCTCGCGCGCCATCTCCGCTTCCGCCTCCCCGCGCTCCCTGGATGGAGACCCGTCTCGATCAAGATCACCCGCAGTCGGGCTGACGGGCGTCGTGTGAGAATAGTTGGACTTGTTCGCGACGTCGTCGTCCGGGCTGCCCCATCGCATGGCCTGCGACAGCGCCAACTCGTTCGCCGTCTCCTGCTGGAAATAAACCCCCGGATCGCTCAGATGATCCATCATACCGTCATCATCCGCGTCCTCCACGTCAGCACGGAATCCATCGTCGTGTCGCTCCATTAGCCCGTCGTCCCTCTGCCCACCTCCGCTCCGCGGATCTGCGACCAGCACCCCGGCCTCCCCCTCGCGCGCCATGCTCTCACCCACCCGCCGAGTGTCTCCCCTCCCCGTGCCGCGTCACCTTGCCGTCACCTAGAAATCCTCCCGCGACCACCGGCGAAACCCTGACCACGCTTCGGCAGATCTCGCCCCTAACGGTCGAAACTCGAGCACCGGGGCCGATGCGGCTCCAGGACAGGCACGCGAGTGGATCCCGGCCTACTCGCGCGGCGAACTCGCGGGCACGCGGCATCCACGTGCTCTGGACCCCTCGCAGGAGCTCGCGCCCAGCCAGATCGCCAACCATCCAGCGACGCGCGCTCCTAAGGAGCAGTGAGCGACGCTTAGAGTGTAACAGAAGCTAACTACCGACGGAAGTGGAAAGTATTAAATACGGCGGAGAGAATCAGCAGTTCAGTGGCTTGTCCTAGTAGAGTGAGCTGGTCCTGTGCTGTGCTGGCGGGGTTCCATCAGCAGGGTTGGGTTGGGGTTGCTTGCTGCTGGCTCACCTCGGGAATGCCGAGCTTTTGGCTTTGTCAGCAGCAAGGCGGGCCAAGGGAAGCCCGGTCCCAGCCCTGGATGGATGGTGGATGGATGTGCGCCGCTCTGTGGTCTGCGCCGCTTTGGCGGCTATTGGGGAGATGGAATTCGGGGTGCCCGGCATTCCCAAACAGACTGTCACCACCAAAACATTCCCGCGGTTGGGCATCCGCGCTACGGAGATGTCTAGAAACATCTGAAGGATGGAGGAATTCACTGGTGATCTACTCGGTATGAAACAAATTGGCACACACTACGGTGAACATAATTAATTGCTTAAGAATTCAAGTATCTTAATCTGGCTGACTGCTTTCTTTGTGCCAATGCCCTCATGACACTCCGGAACGCCCCCGAGGAGGCAACGTCCCGCGCTAGTTGACCTTGCTCCTTGTCAAGGACTCTGGAGAAGGGGTTGTACTGTGAACTAGCCCATGCAAAGTGCACCCACACCCGACGCAGTGCGGCTTGCTTGAGGGCGAGCTCTTGTGGAGGGATGCTGGTGAGGATGTCGTGAAGGTGAGGGATGTCTGAAGGAGTGAGCCTCACTGCGAAGTCGTCCCAATCCAAGAAGCCGTCGCCCTCAAATGGCATGCTCACATTCGGCTGGTGAGGAGGAAAGTAGGGGGAAGACGATTTAGGGGAAGCCAAGTTGGATGTACTACATCACGCTGCAGCAAGTAAACTATACTGTGACTAGAGAAGGAATTGACTTCTCACCTGTATAATTACTGGGATGCATCCGAGGGTCACAGCCTGAGTGGCCCTCTCATCAGCCCCCCACCCCCCTGCCACCAGGCAGAACACCGACCGTGCCATGCACTCCAAGTAACTCCCCCCTCCTCCCATCTCCCCTCCCTCTCCTCCTTGGCCCTCCCCGTATCCCCCCTCCCCCTGAGTGCGTTCGATGACGAACCCCTTGGGCACGGCAGCAGCGGATTCAAGCGAGTCAAACCAGTCAAAGAGGGCCTGCCGCACTCCGGACGAGTAGCTGAACCCCAGCACTGGCTCCACGTCCCGCCCGTCAAACCCCCTAAAGAAGAACAGAATATCCCGGGATCCAGCCTCCCCAGCTTCCCCTTGAACACCATTGGCTGCCTCGTACACCTCAGGCAGCAGAACGGGCGGGATGACAACATCCTGCCCGGGAATGAAGCAGCCGGGCAGGGAGGGATCCAGCGGCATGTTCCCACGGTACCCCCACAGCGACAGCACTGTGCTGCGTGCCAGCATGGGGTCGCGCCGCCCGGCCTCGCCGATCTCGCACGCCGCCCAGTCATCATTGGCGAGGAACACGTGGTCGGCGCCAGCGTGGCGGTCCCAGTAGGGCCACGCGTCCCTCATGTGCTCTATTGCCCACGACAGCACGCTCTGCTTCGCTGCGCCGCGGTGGCTGTGGCATGGGGGATGGGAGGGAGGGAGGAGGAGGCAGCATGGTCATGTGGGACGGAAGCAGTGGAGGGTGAAGTATCTGTACGACTCATGATTATATGCTGACTAGATGCTGACTGGAAGCTGACTGGATGCTGACTCACCGCAGCAGTAGAGGCACGTAAAACAGGTCAGCCTCCTCAGGGTCAGCAGTCCGCCATGCTGACGTCAGCAGGGCATCCAGAAACACATACCCCTCCCACCGGTCCCTCCCTGCCCCCAGCACGCCCTGCCACGTGTTCAAGTACCCGGGCAGCTCGTACACAAATATTTTTGGCCGGGCAGCTGAGATCAGAGCAGGGGAGGGTGGGGGGACGGCATCGGTCCAGAGGAAGGGTCTCCTGCGCTTAACTCTGGTGGCGCCGTGGGGGTCAAGGCTCAGAGCACAGTCAATGCCGAACATGCCCCGCTCACACTTGCACACTCCCTCTACACACTCCCCCCTTGCTCCTCTGCTCCCACTCTGCTCCCCCTCCCCCTCTCCTGCATACTCTCCCTCTTCCTCCCCCTCTCCCTCCCCCCCCCCCCTCCACTGTCAGCGCCGCACGCGCCGAAGCACTCAAAGGGCACCCACCCTGGTTGCTCACAGCCGTCGCCGGAGTAAAGGGCGGGGCAGCTGGAGAGATGGGGTGGTGGCGGAAGGGGAAGAGGAGAGGCGATTCTGAGACGTCTTGAATGGGCACCAGGGGAAGAATGGGAGCACACCCCGGCTGCTCACAGCCGTCGCCAGGATTGAGGGCGGGGCAGCTGGAGAAATGGGGTGGTGGTGGGAGAGAGAGAGACTTTTGAGACATGCTGAAAATAGAAATAGGTGCACAATGGGAGACTGCTTTTGAGTCGACTCAAAAATAGAAAATGGCGCACAATGGGAGACTCCACCCCGGCTGCTCATGCTCTTGCGCGACTTGTGTGCAGGGCAGGGGGGGTACTTTTGAGTCGACTCATAAGGCAGGGGGGGTACGTGATGGGAGAAGAGGGGGAACAGAAAGGAGGCAGCATGAGTGACAGGAGGAGGTCATCACACGATAGTCCGTTGCATGAGCTGGCAAACACACGCAATGGGCTCGTCTCGTCTCACAAGCCAGTACGTACTGACGCAGACTTGAGCTCTTCTTTGAGCTGCTGTTACGATGAACAAGCAATCGCCATGCCACCACTCACTCGCATGTGCGGCTGCGCCTGTCACACACACCAACACCGGAGCAGTTATACGGGCACTCGTGCGGCGCTCCAACCCTCCCTCCGCTCCGCTCCCCCTCCTCCTCGCCGTCCCCCGCCCCCCCTGGCCCCACCCTGTCCGCCAGCCCCACCTCGTTGCCGCGCCCGTCCAGCACGGGCGCCATCTGCCGCTGCTCGTACAGCCGCCCCACATCCACCCACGCCCCACGCCGTCCCGGGAACTCACTCCACACCTCCCCTTCCTTCACCTTCTCCGCCTCGTCCCCTTCTTCCCCTCCCTCCTCCTCCTCTGTCGCCCCTGCCTGCCCGGAAGTCTTGTCTGTATCACGGGCAGCTGTCCTGTTGATGCCCTTGATCCAGCCAATCAGAGCATCTTTCACCCCACCAGCAGTGAAAATGGAGGAGGAATTGGATACAGTGCCACGGCCAACCCCAGAACCAGCAGCACCAGCAGCGCGAGTAGCAGCAGCAGCGGCAGCAGCGGTATCATTCGCCCCAACGAGCGCCCCACTCTCATCGAAGCACTGAGGCAGGTGCTCCAGGCGGTACCGATCGCACTCCCGCACGCATGCACAGGATGTCGCCACGTGGCACGGCGTCCACACGTCCGGCGCCAGCTGGCAGCTGGGCATGGCCAACACGTGGCAGTGCTTGCCCGTGAATCCAGGGACGCAGTGACACGTGGCAGTGGCCTCGTTGCAAGTGCCACGGAGGAAGCAGAGGGAGGAGCAGTTGGAGGGAGGCGAGGAGGAGGAGAGGGATGTGGGGAGTGAGGAGGAGACGGAGGGGTGGAGGGGAGGTGCCGAATTGTGGGAGAGAGATTGAGACGATGGCAGTGATGGCAGTGATGGCAGGAAATGCAGCTGACTCGATGCACCATCACCACGCACACTACCCTCCCCGCCCTCCCCTCCCCCCTCTTTCCTCCCTTCCTGCTCTCCTTCCCCCTCTTCCACCACCACTCCCCCGACAGTGTACCATCTCCTGCCCCCCGCCCCACGCCCTTTCCCCCACGCTCCCCCCCCTCGCCCCACCCACCCATCCACGTGCCTAGCCCCCCCTACTTGATATCCTCCCGCCATCTTGCTGGCGCGGGGAAAGGCAGACATGCCCCCCTCACCAGGTGCCGCCTGACCCCCTGCTGCAGATAGCGTCACCACGCCCTGCCCACTGAAGCTTTCAACTGCCCGGACTCGCTGCCCGAGGGCAGCCATGATGGAAGAAAAGGCGTCTGAGGAGGCGAGCAGGGGGCGAAGCTTCTTCTGCAGATACAGCAGGCTGGAGGGCGAGGAGGCCGAGGAGGAGGCAGAGGAGGAATACGAGGAGGAGGGAGCGGAGGGAGAGAGCGGGTTGTATTGCGGCGAGGCCCAGAGCAGCCGGGGCCAGGCGGCCTTCATGGCGGTGCGGCGGCGAGCAACCTCCTGAGGGCCCACCGCACGCAGGATCTCGGGGAGCTCTGGCAGCTGCTGGGGGGGCAGGACGAGCGCCAGGGACGGCCAGTCGATGATGTTGGCATCGGGAAGAGACCCGGTACCTGCGAAGGGCTGCTCGGTGTCGGGCTGGATGATGACAGGGATGCAGCCGAGAAGGACCGCCCGCACCACTGTGTCACTGTAGCCGGTGGCGGGCGTGGGAGCGAGGCAGAACTGCGAGCGCAGCATTGCCTCTGTCACCTCCCGCTCCTCCCTCCACTCCCCGCCCTCCTCCTCGCCCGCCTCCTCCCCTTCCCCGCCCTGCCCGTCCTGCCCTCCCCCCCTCCCCGGTGCCCCCAGCTGCAGTATCCTGAACCCCACCTGCTGCTGCCGGTGGGAGAAGAGCTGCAGGAAGTGCAGGGCTATACCCGATATGGGCTGATTCGGTACAAGATCCAAAGGCAATGACGAAGCAGCAAGTGAATCCCTATGCGCTGCACCCCACCCTCCTCCAGGCGCCTCCCAGTCTGCTCCCCCCCTCCCTGCACTCACACGCCCCACGCCCCCCACACTCAACCCCCCCGCTGCTGCCCCTGCTGCCTCCCTCCCTCCGGCCCTCCTTCCCCCCACTCCCCTGGTGGCGAAGAGCAGCAGCGTGGGGCGGTCGGGGGTGCCCTCGAGGGGCTCTCGGACGAAGGGCGAGGCGAGCACCGCGGAGGGGGGCAGCAGTGGGGGGATCACCACGTCCTGACCGGGAATGAAACACCTCCCTCCTCCTTGCTGCTGCTGCTGCTGCTGCTGCTGCTGCTGCGCTATTGTTGTCCCCCTTGTTCCTCCCATCCTGCCATCTCCCGCCCCTCCCTCGTACCCCCATGGCGTCAGCACCACTGCTCGCTCCAGCCGTGGATGTCTCTGCAGCGCCATCCCCCTCCCCTCACTCTCCTCCACCCCCCCCTCCCCGCACCCCCCCTACCGCCCCCCCTGCCTGGCCGCATCTCACACGCCCCCCAGTCGCCGTTGAGCAGGAAGACGTGGTCGGCGCCGTTTGTCCTGTTCCAGAAGGGCCAGTGGCGGCTGACATACGCCACTGCTGCTTCGATGGCGTCCCACCCCGCCATCGCCATGCCACCGCTCATGCCCATGCCTCCCATGCCTCCCATGCCTCCCATGCCGGATTGGCCGCGATTCCTGTTGGTTGCGGATGGGAGAGGGAGGGAGGAGAGAGCGTGAGTGAGGTGCAGCCAGCAAGTTACAGCCTGCAGCTGCACCTGTTGCTCTCCTGCTTTGGTGTGGCAAGTCAGGTGCTACCGCTGCCACACCTCACCTGGTTGGCCCTGCACGAAGAAGCAATCCGCCCCCTCCCCCTCCACGGTCGTTCGCCCATCCACCGTGCCCGGGGGTTAGTCCACCGCGCCTGACTGCTCCCAGTGCCGCGTCTCACCTGGTGATCAGCGGCACGTAGAAGTAGTCCGCCTGCTCCCCATCCACCGTCCTGCGCCCGTCCGCCAGCAGCCTCTCCAGGAACAGCAGCCCCTCGGGCCGGTCCAGTGCGCCCGACTGCTCCCACTGCCACGTGTTCAGCTCCGGGGGGAGATCATACACGTACACCCGCGGGCGGGGCTCCTTGCCTTGTGGCGCCGCCCGGAAGGGCGGGGACTGGGGCGGCCATCTGAAGGTGGGGTTGGAGAGAATGCTGGGGGCGGCGAGGAAAGAGGGATAGGGGTGGTTGAGAGGGGCGAAGGAGGGTGGGAAGAGATAGGAGAAGAAAGAATGGGAGGGGGTAGTGCAAGAGTGAAAGAGCGAGAGGCCATGTGAGCCAGTTCCTCAGTATGGCTGCAAGTGGTTTAGAGTGCTTCTCCACCATACCCCTCATCCTCACCTCATCTGCCTCGTGCTTGGGTCCACTGACAGAGCATTCGCTGCCAGCCTGGCAGGCACGAGTGCTGCCCTCACAATTGCCCCTGCGTCTCACCCTGATCCGTCATCCCGCACCTTGGCTTTCTCGTGATGGGGTCCAAGGACAGCGAGCAGTCGATACCGAAGCTGCCAGCCTGGCAGGCGCACGTGCCTCCCTCGCACGTGCCGCGCCCGCTGCACGCGTTCACACACTGCATGCCCCCCGGCCGCTCCTCCTCGCACCCCGGGCCCGCATAGCGCCACGCGCACCTGGTGAGGATGGGAGGGAAGGGAGGAGGTTCGAGTGAGAGTGACAGGGAGGGAGGGCGTGGGTGAGACAATAATCCACTTGTTCTTCTTTCAATCTTGCACGCAGTCAGTACAATAAGGAGCATGGGATTTGGGGCCGATGTGAGAGCGCATCACCCACTCGCATGTCTTGCTGGCGTCACGGCACAGCCCTCGCCCAGAGCACCCCAGGGGGCATTCCCGGGGGTCCGCGTATCGCTCCCGCAATTGCCACGTGTACCACGCCCACATCTGCATCTGCGCTCCGCCCGCCATCCGCCCGCGGGCTGCCTGCGCTCTCCCCCCTAAAGCAACCGCTCCTGCGCCCTCTGCGTTTCCCAAATCGTTCCGCGCGCCCCCAGTCGGCATGTCCCTTCCGCCCACCCCTTTCCAGCGCACATTGCGCGCCCCTTCCCATCTCCGCGAGCTTTTGCGCAGCGCGGGCAGATCGTTGCTGTGCGCCCTGATTGGCCTACGTGTACCGCCCGAAGCTCCCCCAGCCACTGCCGCGGACGCAACCGCTCCGTTCCCCGCGCCAGTCTGCACTTCCCCTTCTGCCATCCCCAGGTCCGCCTCATTCCCCCCTTCCGCGGCGCCGACCGTTATGACCTCCGCGCGAAAGATGTCCGCCAGCGAGCGTGGGGGAATGGCGGAGGCATTTGAGGAGGCGTTGAAGCACACCGCGCCGGGGCCGATGAGGTGAAACGCGCGGCACTCGCGCGCGCACGCGCAGGTGGAGGGGAGCGCGCACGGCGTGCGGAAGCCTGGCGCAAGCTGGCACGAGGGGAAGGCGTCGGCGTCGCACGAGTCGCCCGTGAGACCCGCAGGGCAGTCGCAGCGACCGAGCTCCTCGTTGCACGTTCCGCGGTGCAAGCAGCGCCTCGAGCACCGGGACTTGATTTGGGGGTTCCATCGGCTGGCGGCGTGCGAGGAGTCGAAACCTTCCTCCTCATCTGGACCGTCTGTTAGGGCTAATCTGGTCAGATCGACGACTGCAAACAGGGCGAGGAGAAACGCGACTGCGAGGATGGCAAGGCGGGAGAAGCGGCGCAGCCCGGTTGGGGAAGTCCGAGAGGACTTAGTGGAAGGCTTTCCGGAGACAGGTGATGGCGGAGGGGAAACCTTCTTACTGCGAAGCAAATAGTTGCTCTCTCCTGACTGCTGGGACCATTTAAAGCGGATAAGCCGCGCGGTAAAACTATATATTTTTCGCCACCAGCCTGAGCCACGCGGACCTGGTGTGCTGGTCGCCGTGAAGCGCGTGGGAGCGCAGACGACGTGGTACTTAGAATCCATCATAAGGCCACCTCTCCCTGGAGTGCATCACGATGTAGGGCAGCAGTGGTGACTATCTCGAGGATGGCAGTTCCGTGGCGAATCCTAGGCTGCTCTAATGGAATGAAATGAAAGGTCAGGCGAGGTAAGTTCAAGGTTGACAGGGAGGGATGATTCCTGGGATTAGTTGGCGCGGATGACAGGGGGACTGTCAGGTCGAGAAGGTTGTGGGTTGGATGTGGCGGGAAACTGTGTCAGAGATTTGAAGTGTCCGCAATATAGAGCAAAAAACGTGAACAGAGGCGTGTCCAGGTTTGCAGGTCAGACTGTGCAGTTTGCAGCTAATTTATAATAAACTCTAATAGCCCACATTTCCTCTATCATTCATATTTTCGGTTCAGTATAGCAATTTACCCGTATAATATGTGTCTGAAGACTTCACCTACCTATACATGCGCTCATACATTTCTCGCATCACTTGATCTGCTGGTCGTTATTGGAATCAATATTGAAAAAGAGAGTTTCACCCTGCCATAAGACCTCATGAACAGGGGTGAGGGGGATGGAGGTTCTAAGCTAATCCTATGCATTGTGTGCAAATTTGATGGATTTAGATAATTGTTATTTTGTAGAGTGCGCCTAAGCAATCAGTCTGTATGGAAATCGATTCTGGCCCCGCAGCTGACATTTCCCCTTATCCCGCCACACCTCCCCCTTGAGATTGTCGGTGTACTGGGAACTCAGCTCCTAACGATCTCCCCAGTTCCACTGAATTATTAGATCGCTTCTTAGAAACGGGCATCGCGGCTTGCTTAGGCTATATTTCGTCGCCTCTGGACAAGAAGCTTATCTTCCGAATCCTGTGTTCGACCATCTGGCTTGAATCGCGTAGCGTGCGTATCCAATCTGCCTTCCTGAATCTGTCCTCATGGTGGTCTGCAAATGTCGTAAGGTGTGTCGCCTGCGATCAGTCGAATGTGTGTCGTGGTATCCTTGTACTTTACTACTTCAAGATCCCGGGTTTTCGCGACAGGCCTACTGCAAAAGCTAGTTTGTGCAATCAGATATTGACCGAAGAACCTAGCTTGTGTCGTTGACGGATTAACCGTTTCGCAACGGACCTCATCTCCCGAATCCCGTGCTTCGATTGGTTTCGAATTCCGTGTCAGGCCACCAAGCTCTACTGCTTCGTGCACAAGACGCCCGTGTGCTTCGACTGCATATGCGCTCCCGACCACCAGCACTGCGTGGTACGTCCCGTCGCCTCCAATTCTTCCTGCTACCAGAGGGTTGTCGCCATTTCTGGTGTTCCCCTCCGGATCGTCTTTGTCGTGTTGGGATCCGTTACCCTCCTCCCTACTGCCGCCTGTTCCGCCAGCCAACAAGGCATATGGCTTTCGTGTCCGTGCTCCCCCTTCCCTCCTCCTTCCTCTTCTCGTGTCCGTGCTCCCCTTTTCCTCCTTCTCCCCCACTCCCCACGTCCAATCACCCCAGGTATGGCAGTACTCGGACTGGGTGAACGACGGCGACTACGACTGGCCGCCGCACTGCGCAGTGTGCAGCGAGTCACTCGAGGATTCTGACAAGCCCACCATCCGCCTCTCCTGCCTACGTGCGTCCGCTGCTCCTCCTACCCCTAGCTTCCAGCGCTCGCTACGCTAGCTTCCCGGTGCCCTCTTAAAGCCTATCAGCCTTTTTTGGCCCCTGACTTCATGGTTGTGTGGTAACCATGCTGCGTGTGTCGTCTCCTGGCTGCAGACGTGCCGCACTCCGAGTGTCTAAAGAAGCACGTGGAGTCGTTTCCGCCCAACACGGCGCCAGCGGGCTTCACATGCGCCTCCCCTGGGTGTGGCCTCGAGGTACGCCGCTTGGGCTGGCACTGGCGTTCCTATTGCCAAGGGCGTGGGGATCAGCAGAGGCCCTCCCCTTTCGTTGTTTGCTCGTCCTTTTCACTCATCTGTGTGTGTGTGTGTGTGTGTGTGCGTGGGTGTGTGTGTGTGGGGAGGGGGCTTGTGTGGGGATGTGTGTGGGGGGTTGGGTGGGGGGGTGTGTATGTGGGTGTGGGTGTGTGTGTGTGTGTGTGCATGTGTGTGTGTGTGGGGGAGGCCGGGGGAGGGGAGGGAGGCGGGTGAGTGTGTGCGTGCGTGCAGATATGGCCAGCCAGGTCGCACAAGGACTCCGCCACGGCGCTCTACACGCACCTCCGAGCACTCCTGGCGCAGGTGAGTGTGTTTCACGCGCGCTCTCTTGCCGCTCTACACGCGCCTCAGAGCACTCCTAGCGCAGGTGGGTGTGTCCTAACCGCTCCCTCTTGCCTCAGGCCTGCGCAGCACACCTGCTGCATCCCTCCAGTCGCACATGCATGTGGTCCAGACCGATTCTATCCTTCTTCGTTATGCTGTTCCTCTTCCTGCTCCCCCTTTCCTCTTCCTGCTCCCCCTTTCCTCTTCCTGCTCCCCCTTTCCTCTTCCTGCTCCTCCTACCCTCCCCAACCCTTTTCTTCCCCCTTCCCCCCCTTCCTTCCCTCCCCTCCAACATCAATCTCCTTCAGTCGTCTGTTGCTGACGTCATTCTGAGCACGCCAGCCACCATCGACCCAGCAGCCACAGCCCAAGCCACAGCGCTCTCAGACAAGCCCGCCCCACCCGCATTCGCCTCTGGCCCTCTCGCAGCAGTAGGGCGGGCAGGAGAGTCCGCCAATGCAGGGGCGGAGGGGGAGGGCCGAGGGGAGGCCGGGGGGGCAGTGGAGGAGAAGAATGGCGCGGAGGGGGAGGGCAGTGGGCCGGGGTCATCAGCGGCTGCAGCGGCTGTCGCTGCTGCAGCGGCGGCTGCTGCGGCTGCTGCTTTGGCTGGGACTAAACGCCAAGTTAGTGACTGGAGATGCAAAACATTCCCCCCCGTGCATCCCCACCTATGCATCCCCCCCATTCATCCCCCCGGTGCATCCCCCCCATGCATGCCCCCCCATGCATCCCCCCCGTGCATCCCCCCCATGCATCCCCCCCATGCATCCCCCCCCCTGCATCCCCCCCCTGCATCCCCCAACATGCATCCCCCCCATGCATCCCCCCGGTGCATCCCCCCCATGCATCCCCCCAATGCATTCCCCCAATGCATCCCCCCCCCTGCATCCCCCCCAAGCATCCCCCAACATGCATCCCCCCCATGCATCCGCAGGGCCCTGCTTGCCCTCTTATTTCCCCCTACCCTGCGTCCTCATTCGCCCTCGGCCCCTGCATTTCCTTTTCATCCTTCCATTTGGTCTCCTCTCCTCTTCGCCCATTCGTCTCTCCCTGCCCCCCCTCGTTTCTGTCATTCCCACTCCTTCCTCCCTGTCCCCCGTGCTTGCTCTGACCTGTTCTGATCGCAAGTGAGTAGTTTGTATTCCTCCCCCCTCCCCCCTCTCTGCCCCCCCTGCACCCCTCAGTCGCAGCAGCAGGGCGCGGTGAACATCGCGCGCAGCCGAACAGGCGGGTCGGATCGCACGGCGGTGGACATCACAGAAGAGATCGAGACGGCGTACCGCACAGATGAGGAGGCGGGCGACAAGAAGTACGCCAGACGAGGTGAGGGGGCAGGGGGGCGAGAGGAAGTACGCCAGACGAGGTGAGGGGGCAGGGGGGTGAGAGGAAGTACGCCAGACGAGGTGAGGGGGCAGGGGGGCGAGAGGAAGTACGCCAGACGAGGTGAGGGGGCAGGGGGGCGAGAGGAAGTACGCCAGACGAGGTGAGGGAGGGGCAATTCCAAGAGGCAGGGGGGAGAGTGGGGGGAGAGAATGCATGTCTGCTAGAGAAAGAAGTTATAATGGGTGTACTGTGTACGGGTGGAAGGGGGGGTCATAGGCGCGCCAAGATAAGGGGGCCATTTTGAGCCATTGCAGTCTTCCTTACCTTCCCCTCCCCCACTCAGCTGCTGCAGCTCCGCGATTCGGATTGTCATCTTTGTCGGCTGCGGGTGGTTGGCTTGTGGTGAATCTCTATCGTGCTGCCTTTTTTTGAGGCGCCTCAAAAGAGGAGTCTATTTTTGAGGCGCCTCAAAAATAGACTCCTCATGCTTGGGTCGTGGTGAATCTCTATCGTGCCGATTCTATGGCCACATGACCTCAATTCCGATCATCATATGGCCTCTTCCTTGACCCCCTCTTCCTTGACCCCCTCTTCCTTGACCCCCTCTTCCTTGACCCCCTCTTCCTTAACCCCCTCTTCCTCGCCTCTCCCTCCCGCCATCCCCACCTGAAGCTGCTGCGGCTGCCTGGCTCCTCCTGCTGGTCAACCTGCAACCCACCACCTCTCCCCTACCCCCCTCTGCTCCACCCCCCTCACCCACACAAGCCCGGCCCATCTGCAGGCGCTGCGGTTCCTGAGCTCCGGATGGTTCTCTACTGCGCTGTCAATACTCTCCTGGTTAATACGACCTCCGATCTTCCCCCCTGTGTTGCGCCTCGTCCCCCAACCACACAGGCCCGGCCCATCTGCAGGCGCTGCGGTTCCTGGGCTCGTGGTGGTCCCCTGCGCTGCACGCGCTGCCAGTGACGCTCACCGCGTCGCACTCGCACCGCCGGGACAAGGAGGAGGGCACGGGGGCGCACGAGGATGGGGGGGCGGCGGGCAGGAGGAGACCCGGGCAGAGACGCAGCGGTGCTGTGGATCCCAGAAAGCTGCTGCTCATCGTGGCCATTGTGTAAGCAGAGCATGCTCGCACATTGCTGGTGGTGGCCATTGCGTGTGTCCCCGCCCCTCCTTCCCCACCATGCCCTTGGTCTATCGGTGTGCTCGTGGTGGCCATTTAGCAGGCACATGAAAGCCCCCTGCCACTGCAACCCTTCACCATACCATTGCGTTGGTGTCTATTCTCTCCCCCTACCCTCGCAGCTCGTGCATGGCAATGCTGCTGCTGCTGTACTGTTGCCTTGCCCAAAGATAACCCCTCCGATCATGCCATACGACGCTGCTGCTGCCGATGATTCATCATAGCACCATCTCTCGTGCATCCACCCCTCCCCTCATTCCTGCGGCTCCTGCTTGACGATGATGCTGCTGTTGCATTACCGCCTTGCACACTGATCATCCGTCTGAGCCCCCAAGCAATCTGTTGTTCTCTGTGTGTTACTGTTTGTTACGCCCCTACCTTTGCAGCTCGTGCATGGCAACGATGCTGCTGCTATACTACCGCCTGGCCCAGGGGGTCATGTCAGAAGGCGCATCTACGCTCCCATAGTCACAGAGCTCATACACTTTCTAGTCGTCGTGCCTGCAGCCATTCCAGTTGTCTAGCAGACCAGTGTCGCTTAAAGCAACGAGGAATGCTTTGAGGAGGAATTCCTACTGTAGATAGCTTGCAATGGCATCAATAGTGTCTATAACGATATGAATATGAACGCTACCTGTATGTTCACAAAATGGGTTGATAGGGGTAACCTGCATACAAAAGTGAGTGACTACGGCTATTTCAGGATAGCTAACAGCAAAACAGTGCTGATCTTTGTGTTTAACTATATAGTATGTGCCATGTAGTTATTCATCTACAGGAATGTCGAGCTGCAATCTCAATTGCTTGCCAACAACCTGTAAACCACAGAACCGAGGCGCACAGGCACAAGGAGAAGAGGCTGGCCGAGTTGAGAGAGATTGAGCAATAGAGAGCGCAGGGCGCAGGCATGGGGACCAGGCATGGGGGCCAAGCACGTGGAAGTGACCAAGCAGACCAGGCAGACCACGCAGACCTTGAAGACGTCGGCGAAGGAGAGGAGCGAGTCGCTGGTGAAGCCCGCCTGCTGCATGGCCTGCACCACCACCTCCTGGGGGATGGGGAGATATCGAAGCATGGCGAAACAGAGGTGGCGGTTGGTCGAGGGCACGCAAGCAGTCCCTCTGGTTTGAACAGGGCATGCAAAGCAGAGGTGAAGCCCGCCTGCTGCATGGCCTGCACCACCACCTCCTGGGGGATGGGGAATCAGGCCATAGTAAGACAGAGGAGGGGGTTGGTAGAGGGCACGCAAGCAGCCCGCCTGCTGCATCGCCTGCACCACCACCACCATTTGGGGGAGGGGGAGATTGGGGCATGGCAAGGGCCGTGGCAGTTGATAGACAGAATGCAGGAGGTGCTTTCCTAACAAAGGTGTGGAGAAGACCCGAGAAAGCGGAAGATTGGCGGAAGGGGGAGAGCACCAGATGCAGAGCTTGTAAGCTTCTGTGATTCCCCTCCCATCACACGGCGCACCTCTCTTTGGTCGTCGGAGAGGAAGCCCCCTGAGAGATCCTTGAGCATGGTGAGGAGATCGGATCTCGAGATCTTGCCATCGCCGTCCACGTCGTACACTGCAAACACCACTGGGGGGCGGCATTGATGGGGTGATGATGGATGGCATGAGATAATTGAGAACTCAGTGTAGCCATGGGAGAACGTGACAGTGAATGGCAAAACGCGGGTCTGCTCTGCTAATGCGGCCAGGTGAGAAGTAAGGGTGAGCAGCCTGTCCGAGCAAGACGTCCATCACCGGGCCTCACATCGGGTGCGGTCCTCAGCGTTGGCCCGCGAGCTGAAGGCAGCCAGCCACTTCACGAAGTCCTTAAAGTTCACTCCTTCTAGCATGCCCAGCAGGCGCTGGAGGGGGGGAAGAGGGGGAGGGAGACGGGGTGGAGGAAGGGGAGAGGGGGGAAGGTAAGGGGCCACACGTGACGAAAACCTTGAAGTTCACTCCCCCCAGCATGCCCGGCAGACGCCGAGAGGGCAGCAAGGGAAGGGGAGAAGAAGGACGGGAGGCTCAGGAGGGGGTCCAGACAGGTGGGGAGGAGGAAGGAGACGGCCTCGACTCTTCTGTTCTATGCCTTTGCCCCCCCCCCCCCCGAAAGGCCTTAGAGCCAACGCATCTTACGTTGGCGAGGGGGTTGATGGCGAATTCGGGGATGGAGAGGAACTCGTCGCCGCTGACGTACCCCTTGCCGTTGCGGTCCAGCGCGCAGAACCGGCGGTACAGCGCCGCTATCTCGTCCTGGGAGACTGGGGGGCAGAGGCGACGGCAGGGGAGGACAGCGGGCGCTTTATTCGGGAGGAGGGGAAAGGGGAGGGGGGCGAGGGAGGGGAGGGGAGGTGGTGGGCGCAGCAGTGACGGAACTCGCTATACTCACATCGGCCGCCCACGTGCTGCTGCACGTCCTCGATGTCGTACTGCGTCAGCAGCGAGTGCTCGTTGCCCATCGCGCGCCGCCCTCGCACAGCTCGCTTCCTCCCCCGCCGCGCACGTCTTTCCCCCTCGCAACGGCCTCCCCGAAATAGCCTCTCCCGATGAGAGCCCCGGCCTTCGCTAATCTACAATCCACCCCGCCGTAAAGAGGTGGCGCTACGGCGTAGCTATGAATTACCGCACCCAGTCAGATTCAAATTGCTATAACAGCTTTAGGGTGCTGTCAATTAGGGTGTAACCACTGGTCCAGACAAATGCTAGAGACGCCAAAATCGGAATACCCGAGGTTCGCGCTAAGACCAGGGGAAGGGGCTACTATGCAAATACACTACTCACGAGGGACGTGTAGCGTGAATTTCCCTTCAATAAGACGACTTCAACGTAATCTTCACAAATGTATAAACCTTACAGATAAATTAATCACTAAACCACCAATATTGGAAAAACATACCGTAACCTCGACATAAATCATACGACTTCTACCATCTTAGGTTGATATGGCCCTCTATATTTAAGGCATTGCTGGAGAAAACATAAGGGATGGGGCGTTTGAGAAGGCCGGCTAATAGCGCGGAAGTTCAGAGAGTTTCCGAGTTTCGCCACCTGTTGTGCGTCTTGTCGTGTTGTCTTGAAATTCACACGGCTTGCCGCGTCTGCCACTCATCCAAGCACCGACTGTCGCCATAGGCTCATGTCGTGTAGCACACGATATCTTTTCCTCTCCATGGCATCACGCATCAGCAGCGCCTCGTCCGAAAAGCAGCTCGGCTCAGCCCTGCGCTTCGGCTTCCCTAGGGCAGCAAACCAGCTCAGCGCATGCGACAAATCGTCCTCCAATCGTCTGGGAGGGAGTTCTAGGTGGAGTGGAGGGGTACTCCCCCCGAACCGAGTTCCCCAAATCGCATTTGAATTCGATCCGACGAAGCCCTTCTCGGGCTCGGAGTGAGTGTCGTTTGCAGCGGGAGGGAGTCGAGCATCCAGCTGGCCCCTGCGTCGATCTTAGGCCGTAAGATGTGATTCGAGCGAAATGAGGGCTGTACGATCTGCGCAGGGTTTGACCATATGCCAGGGAGAAACTCGCTTCCAGGTGCTTCTCCCTCCAATCTCCCCCGGAACTCCCCCCTCAAGCCATTTCCTCCCCCCATCCCTCCCGCGTCTCTTCCACCGCCACTGACCACCCTAGAATCTCTTCTGTGCGCTCAACGCGGGAAACTGGGCCGCCATCAGGTTGATTCAGGCAACTACTTATCTTCCACGCAATTCTTCCTCACCCGTAACTGCCGTTGACGGGCAACACGGACGAGCTACTGGCCTTGTGGCCGCTACGGAGGTGTCGTTTGTACTCTAGTACAGTAGTTGAGTCGACCACATCGTACATGATGCATCGTGCAATGCTGCTATACCTGCCCGGCAAGCCCGGCAGACCAGTAGTTTAGGAGGCGGAATCCTCCCCTCGCTATCCTTGAAGCGCGCCACATCCAGCAGGTGCAGAGGTGTGCGCGAATCGGCTGAATGCCGACCGTATCTTCGCCCATCGTTTCACCCTGTTACAGTCCGCCGTTTCGTGTTCTCGCGAGCGGAAACGAGCAACGTTAGCTAGGGTCGAGCATGAGCGTTCTCAGTCCGATAGGCTCTACCGAGAGGTAGCAGGTGAAACCCTCTCTCGTTAGCATCCCTTGGGTCTACCTAGAGGTATCGCGTTGCGCCCGTGCGCCGCCCTGCCGCGACAACCTTTCGAGATCTTTAGAAAGTGCCGAAGCAAACGGATGGACCTCGAGAACGACGGCGCCGCGGTCACCGCCGAGTGGCCCGCTGCCCCCCCGCCGCCACTGTCTCTCGTCGACGGGCTCTGCTTTTCCGAGTTCGCGCCGCGAGATGCGCGTGAGAGCGCTGCTGAGGAGGCGCTCGAGTGGGACGGGGGCAGCATGGGGGAGTGGGCGGGCGGAAAGCGGGACGAGGAGGAGTGGGGGTTGGAGAAGGGGGTGATAGCTGGAGCGCGATGGGGGGGGAGCGGCTGATGGGGGAAGGGGAAGGCGGAGGAATGGGCGCGACGGGGGCTACTCCCCGCGGTGATGGTTGTCAGGTTTCGCAATGGCCGTCCGCGCACTCCGCGAAGCTTTCTGCGGCGGAAGCTCCGCACACCCCACTGATCCAAGCCATTGCGCGCAAGGGCATCTCCGCATCCGCCGTGGTCTCCCCAAACCAGGCCGCCACGGTTGCTGCGGCTACACTTGCGACAAACGGATGGAATCCGCTGCGTCTGCCGCTGCAGGCTCAGGAGAATCTTCAGGAGATGCATCAGTGGCAAGTCTTCCACGCCAGCGACGGCTCCTGCCTCACCTCTTCCCCCACCGCCGCCACTTCCGCCGCCGGCGGCTTCGCGAGCCGCCGCAACCTCGGCGGAGTAGCACCCTCCGCAGCAACCAGCGCTTGCGCCCCTGGCGCTCCTGGTGGCCCCGCTGGCCTTGCGCCCTCGATCCCCCCTCTGTCTCTTCCGCCGTCTGCTTCTTTCACCGGGCCGCCTAGCGCTGCTGCCGCGGCCTGCGCTGGGGTCCAGACCACGGAATGCGGCGGCCACGTGCCAGCAACGTGGTTCACTCCCGCTGCGCGCACTGCCACGTCTTCCGTGTCCCCCGCGTCGCTGATGTCAGCGCTGGGGTCGCTCCAGGGCAAGATCGCCGCGCTGCAGCTGCTGATTCCGCTGGTGGCGCAGAGCGACCCCTCCCCCGACGTGCAGCAGCAGCAGGAGGCGGCGGCGGTGGGCGTGGCGGCGGTGATTCAGCAGGTGGCGCTCGCCGCCGTGGGGCTGCTGCCGCCGCGGCTGCAGGCACAGCTGCTGCTGCCCGACATCGCGGGGGTGGCGCGCGCGGAGCAGATGCGCGCGGAACAGGCGGATCGAGAACTGGCGAATCAGGAGCAGGTTGCGGCGGAGGGAGCGGAGCAGCAGCAAGCGATGATGATGGCGTTGGCGCAAGCGCTGCACCTGCAGCAGCAGCAAGAGCAGCAGCAGGAGCTGCAGCAGGAGCAGCAGCAGCAGCAGCCAGCAATGCTGCCGACAAACCAACAACCATCCCTGCTCACCGCTCCCTCTGCTCCTCCTGCTCCCTCTGCTCCTCCTGCTCCCTCTGCCCCTCCTCCCGCTTCCCCTTGTGCTCCGCCTACTGCCCCACCTCCCGCCATCACAACCGGCGCCGCTCCCCCTTCAACCGCTCCTCCGCCCACTCCGTTCGTGGCTGCTGCCCCTCCCCCCTTCCCTCCTCCCGCGCCTCTCCCTTCCCCCCCTCTCGCCTCTCCGCCTCCCCCCCCTGCCACCCCTCTCCCTACCGCCGTCAACCCTCCTCTTCTAGCTCTATCCTCCCCTCTTTCCCTCCCCCTAACCCCTTCCGCCCCCCCGCCGATAGATCTACCCCCTCAGGCAGCTTGGGTTGCAGCTGAAGCGGGTGGCGCCGGCAGCAAGGGAGGAGAGAGCGAGATGGAGGAAGAGCAGGGGGGAGAAGGAGAAGGGGAGAGAGGCGGAGGCAGCAAGCGAGGGAGGGATGCGGAGGGCGAGGCGGAGGCGGCGGTGGGGGAGGGGCCGCTGAAGCAAGCGAAGGTGGCGGAGGCCCAGGCAGCATCTGGGGCGGCATCAGGCGCCGCATCAGCTTGCGAGTCCATGGAAGAGGGCTCCAAGGGCCCCAAGGATTCCAAGGCGTCAGGCTCCCTGGGAGACACAGAGACTTCCAGTGAGGCGGACACGGGCCCAGAGACGGCAGCAGGAGCGGGCAGCTGTCTGGAGGGAGCGAGCTTGCGCGTGGGGGAGTGGCAGGTGGTGGAGCTGCAGGCCGCGGAGCTCACATGCGACCAGATGCACTTCTGCGACGCATGCGGCAAGGGCTTTAAGAGGGAGGCCAACCTGCGCATGCACATGAAGGCACACGGCCACGCGCACGTGCGCGACACCACTCCCCGCCCTGCCCTCTCCCCGGTGGACCCCTCCCAGTGCCGCTTCAGCTGCCCGGTGGCGGGGTGCAAGCGGCACCGGGGGCACGCGGCTTTCCAGCCGCTGAAGACGGTGCTCTGCGTGCGCAACCACTACCGCCGCTCGCACTGCCCCAAGCTGCTGGCCTGCTCGCGTTGCGGCGGCGCCAAGCGCTTCGCCGTGCTGGCAGACCTGCGCACCCATGAGAAGCATTGCGGGCAGACCAGCTGGGTGTGCTCCTGCGGCTCCTGCTTCAGGTGGGAACAGAGAGTGATCAACTGAGAATGATGTCTCCTACTCTTGTTTCCTTGTGTTTAACCTTTTTTCTCAGCCTTTTTCTCCTCTCTCCTCTCCTCTCTCCTCTCTCCTCTATCCTCTTGGCCTCTGTGGCTGCCCTCCCGTGCAGCCGCAAGGACAAGCTCATGGCGCACCTGGTGAGCTTCATCGGCCACTCCGCCGTGTCGCCAAGGAACAACCGCGCATGACTCAGCGGCACACAGGCAGAGGAGAGAACGCACTGCCTCTTGGGTGACAGGCGTGCATGGATGGTTCCCATGCCTGCCAGCTCTACAGTGGCAGTGGAGAGGACGTACAGATGGAAAGGGGTAATCAATGGCGGGGATTCATGCGGATGTGATGTCGTGGCGTGTCGTCCCTCCTCGTCATCGTCTATCGTTCTTTGTTTTTCTTTCTTGCTGTTAGGCTATTTGCTTTGTTTTGTGCAGGCTGTGCGTGGACCTTCCATCCTCCGCCTGTTCGCTTGTTTCCAGCAAATTGGCCCACTCTTCGAGCCTCTTTGCTGGTAACAAGGCCACAGAAAGCCCTCTGTGGACAGAATATGGGGGAGGATTGCAGGTCCTGGGCACCAGCTGCTAAGTGTCCCTACTATATATTTTAACTAATGCTTTTGTGCTGATTTAAAATTATTTGTCCACTAATAATCTATGGCCTACACATCTGATCTGATGCATTACTTGTCACAAGCCATGCAGTGTAGGTGAAAGTGCACAAGGCTCGTGATGAAAGTGCAGCCTTGCTAAGTTGAGTACGGAACACTGTATGCTGCAAATCAACAGACTGCCGCGCTGCTACTGCGGTGGTTGGTAGAAATGGGAGCGATTCCATTGTTGTTCACCAGCAAGGGGAGGGAGTAAATTGCTGATGCCATCACTCGCACGCTCCGGTCGCACGTCGTGTACACTAGCGAACTGCTAGCTGTGCGTTGAAACCAAGGCTGCGGAACAAGAGGCCATAGAAAGCTTATCGAGTCGCCTTACGGGAAAACACTTGGCTTAGCTTGGACGAAGGCCGAGCCTCTTCAGCGAATGGGAGGTAAGGGAAGCCCCGCAGCTGGACTAGCCAGCCCCCTTTGCTTCGGCATGCATCCCCGGCCCGTGTTCTGAAACAAAATCAGAGATGCTGCAACGCGTTTCTGAAGGGAACGGTCATGCGAGTGATTTTCTCAAGCCCGCACCCAACCAGAGGCAGTCCTGCCTGAGTCACCCGTTTGTGTTGTTCTGAGCGCTCAAATGATGTACTAGAAACGCGCCCTGACGCGCAACGCTGGTTTCAAGAACTAAGCCCAGCCAGCCCAGTTTACAGGTCAAACCTGAATGGGGGCTGCTTTCATGGTCAACTTCCAATCGGCGAGGTTTGTTCCCAACCAAACCAGCAGCCCCCATACTGGTGGTGCAACCAATCACGGTCGAATTCCTCAACGCTTCGCCCCAAAATCGTTCCTCCACCTCCGCCGCCTCGTGATGCGCGACTCGTCCGATCTCTCGAGCCGCCCCAAACCCAGCGCCCCTCACTTCCTTTCACACACACCAAGCTGGACAGCCTCGGTCCTTGCGAGATTCATTTCAGCAGATTCTTGACTCTCAAGTACAACCAGATATGGCGCCCCACCTCGAACAGTAAAGCACTCTACCTCTTCCCCACGCAGCATTTCTTGAAGTCGGCACCATCTCAGTGACAGTTCTGAGTCGTAGGGGGAGGTTCGCTCGTGTAAGAAACAGTTGAGAGCGCTACCGTCGACCCAAAACGCGAGCCTCCCTTAGCGTCCCCGAAGCTAAGCATTCCCCTATTTGTTCCTCTCGAGCCATCGTCCGAGTCACCAACGGCTCTGCATCTTCCTAAAGTATGGATCGGACGGCTACCTGTGGTCCACGCTGTTGCAAGCTTTCCTGGGACTATGCGGCCGAGCCAGTAGCGCCGGCAGATGGAATAGCGTGTGCCCAGGGCAGCGTCGCGTGCTGCGAAACGGGCGTCCCGTGCGTCGATCAACACCTCGGTTGCTCGCACGGCCTCGGGAGTGCCGCTTGCTGTGATCGCTCGCTTCTGGCGAGCAGCGCCAAGCCATTTTCGCTGGCGCGGCTCCTCTCCAAGGGATTCCACTCCAAGGGCGTCGCGAGCGGAGCCGCGAGGATTTTCCTCTGGTGGCTGGTGTTGGTCGTAATCGCTGCTGCTTTAACTGCAAAAATCTTCTTCTCGGGTACGGCACCACGCGGACTTTTCCCGCTTCCACCACCTCCCCAGCTTTTCCCGCTACTTTTTGCGCACATAACGACTGACTTCGCGGCTGCTCCACGCGACTCGCGCTTTTCCGCCATCAGGGCCCAGGCCCCCCGCTGTGCGCCATTGCAGCGCACCCTTCAATAGCCCCACACTGTCCTCGCACCCAGCCTCTGCTGGTGAGCTTCGCGAGAGCTAACACCTCCAGCAAGGTCCGGGCGTTCTGCACTCTCGTTATCTTCCCTGTCCGACACATTCAGATCCAACTCGGCATAAATTCTCTCCCTCCCCCTCCCCTCCCACCTCCCCCTCCTACCTCCCCATCTCCCCCCACCCCCTCCCGTTTGCCCCGGGGTCCGCCTTCCCGTATCCGCGTCCCCTCGTTCGCGCATCACCCCCCGCAGGTTTGCCCCTTGACTGCATGGCGCATGCGCCGCTTGACTCCCCGCAACCAGCCCCTCTGCCCGCCTGTAAGTTTGCGGGGGCGCGTTCCGTCCATCCCCATTCCCCGCGTGGGTTCCCGTGGTCCTGGGCCACCGCTGTTTCCCCCTCCCCCGCTCCCGCTCGTCCTACTCCCGCCTCCGATTCCCCCTCCCCCCTCATGCCCCCCGCGCTTCTTTCCAGTGCCATTCTCCCCACGCACTCCCCCTGACTTGCCCGTGACTTCCCCATGTTCCCCCTACAGGGGAAGAGTCCGCGGTTCAGAATTCCGTCTATGCGCCCGATACGCTGCCCCTGCGGCAGTTTCTCCTCCGCCGCACTGCACAGTGGGACGACGGAAGGGGTTTCGCTGCGCCTTGGGGCCTCTGGGGGTGCCATTTCGGGGGAACGAGCGGAGCAAGGACGCAAATATATAGAGAGTTGGGTCTGGGGGCGGTGGTGGTAAGGACTAAGGCGGAGGCGGCGGAGGATTCAGACGTGGGAGATGGGCGGAAGGAGGGGAGAGGGAGCGAGTGGGAGGAACGAGCGGAAGGGGCAGAGGCGGAGGGGCTAAGGAGAGCCAATGACGCTGCTGGTAACGAGGACAGGGGAACGGGAGAACAGGAGCAAGAAGAGGGGACGAGGGCGAGAGAGAGGGGGAATCGCTCCGGCAGGGATGCGGGCAATGAGACTGGGATTAGGAAGGGAAAGTACGATGGAACGCTTGATGTGAAGGCTAAAAGACGGGAGTCCGCCAGGGTACAGGAAGGTGGTGATGGAGGGGAAGACTCCGAGGCATTAGACGAGGCGGCAGCTGTAGAATCAGCAGAGCCAGCAGCAGCAGCAGAAGAAACAGATGGGACAATAACAGCAGAGACAAAACCAGCAGAAGTAACAGCAGAGGCATCAGCAGCAGAAGAAGAAACAGCAGCAGAGCCAGAAGCAGCCACAACAGAAGAATCAGCAACAGCAGAAGAAGCAGGAGCGGCAGAGGTTGCAGCAGAAGAAGCACCTGAGCAGCGCACGAGCAGCCATGCCACCCATGCCAGCCGTACATCGGATCCCCTCGCCTCCTCCGTTCAACCCCAGCCCTCCCAGCCCTCTCCTGCATCCCAGGGCGGCGTGGACATTTTCTTCCAGGGCGAGTTCGGGTACGAGTTAATCGCCGTCCTCCCCTCCGCCTACTGGCACTATTTGAACGGCTCCCTCCGCTCCACCACCTCCTGCGGGCGGCATTCCTTGGCGTCTCTCTACTACTTCAGCCCCAACCACACAGACGACGCCACGTGTCAACGAGATGACATGAAGGACAATGTCGCTGCCTACGGCTTTCGCAACGGCATTCATTACAGTCACATCCCGCCAGCCTGGCAGCCGCCCACTCTTGCCGCCCATTTTAGGAAGCTCCCCCCCGTGTGGCCGGAGATTCCCGAGGGCTCCCGGCTGGTGGTCATTGGAAATAAATTCGAGCGGGAATGGGGCCACTCACCGGTGAATTTCATTGATATACGGACATTACTGAGAATAGTAGACTCTTATTTAGAAGCGGGATTCTATGTAGTGTACAACAACCCGGGGATGTCATTGGAGCAGGACCAACGACAGAAGATACGAGATGGGAAAGACCTGGGAGATTACGAGGCGCTGCAAGAGCGGTTTGGGAAGAATCGACGGCTGCAGATCATGCAGAATCTCCAGAAACGGTGGCCAGGATTGAGTTTCAATGACGTGCAGTTTAGAATGATGGCTCGGAGCGTGTGCTTCGTAAGCGTGCAGGGCGGGGGCAGCATAGTGGAAAGCTTCTTCGGCGGCCGGAATATAATATTCTTTCGAGAAGGGCAGGAGGTGAACGGTGGGGCGTATAAGAGGATTTACCCGAGGCTGTCTGGAGCGAATGTGAAGGTGGTAACCAGCTATGGGGGGCTGGTGAGGAAGGTGGATGGGATGACCAAGAAGCACAACTGTTATGCACAATTGGATTAAGTACGGTATGTGATCAGCTCTGGGAATGGATAGAGGCATTCATAGTCATGTTCCGTCTGGTTGGAAACAATGTGGAGGAAGGCCAGACAAAAGGAGCTCGATGTCATACACTTTCTAATGATGACGTGCAATATATGCATACCCCAAGGTGGCTACCAAGTGAAGAGGCGAACAAAAAAATAGTAATCAAATCAACAATATGCTTTTCCATCTTGGTGGGCTCATTAAATCAAGCACCTGATGTAACTGCTTCCAGCACCTGAGGACGGAATCCGTGGGGTCCAAGGCGACTTCCACGTGGCTAATTCTCTCACCACGCGAGTTCTTGAGCCTCCTGATTGGCTCGGCTCGGCAGCGTCCCGCTAGTTCCCCATTCCCCCGCCAGTTCGCTTGCTCTGTGCGAGGTACCCCTTTTCTGCCCCACATTGCTCCGCACCTGGCCTCCCTTTCTGCACGCGGGGAATTGCCCTGCTGGGCGCGGAAGACTGGGGCGCGGAAATCTCAGTGGTTGCGCGAAAATGGCACAGGCGGTTCGCCCACATTCAGGGCGTGTCCAGCGCGTTCATTTTGCCCCAACACGAATTTTTGACGTTTTTTTCACACGCAGAAATATTGATTCGCCAAGTGTGAATGTGTTGAGGTACACCTACTGTATCAACAGCAAAATGCTGGGACAGGAGTGGACACGAGTCCCGCCCGTGGCTCGACAGATGAGCGGGTGCGCAGCGCGCACATAACAGACTGACGCGCGAAAGAATCAGGGTAACCGAATGTCGCCCCGGGAAAGAGGCCCCGCCCGCTTTCGCGAACACGCATTACGAGCCACGACTCCACCCAGGGGGGAAAAAATGGAGGGCTCAATTTTCCGCGCATGCAACTCCAATTCTTCTTCCGCTTTTTTCGCCGTGCTTCGCAAACGTCACGAAATCCTGGCGAAGGTAAGCGTTATTTTTTTTCGCCAGCCAGGTTTTGGACGTTTCTGCCGTGTACATAATTTGTGCACGATTTTCATTCGGTTCGGAAACGTGTGGCTCACGTCTGTGGGCACGTCTGGAAGGTGTCCGCCGAAACCGTCAATTTATCGTGCGTGTCCGAATGGACACAAAATTTCGGGTTACCAGGACAAAACTCTGTACCTGAGCCGCAAAGTGAATAGTAAACGAACGCGCTGGACACGCCCTCAGGGGTCGACCACACATGCCCAACTCCAGGCGCAGTAGCCACCTTTCCCTCGACCAGCGCCCTGATTACCTCGATTGCTGCACTTTCTTCATGCTCACTTGGAGCTTCGTGTACGCGCATTGGAAATCGACCCACGCGCTCCGTTCACCACTCTCATAGCCCCTGATTCCGCAAATTTCGTTATCTCACGCACGTTCTCGCCCCGCGTCCAAAAGTAGGCGACCGACGGGCAGAAAACCGCTCCTCCGTCCCCAGGAACGGAGAACAAGCGAACCCCAGAACTACTTCAGTCCAATACGGTGCGGCCACGTGGCAATGGTGCATCTAACGGAGCTGCGGATCGTGCTGCCCTTCACACGTGCGTGCCCCGCCTTCCCCTCGTGATTGCGCTCCCCCCTTGCCCTTCCGCCATGCCCTTCAGCTTGCTTCTTTCCGGCATGGCATGGTATGACACAGCATGGCTGCATTGTCTGGTGTCGCACGGCACGGCATGCCCTCCCATGGAATGCCCCTGTGTTTTGAGTCGACTCAAAATACAACACGGCACGGCACGGCCTCCCATGGAGTGCCCTGCGGCATGGCATTTCACGACCTGTGCGTGCACGGGTGGCGCACAATGGTGGCGCCACCATGGCGAGTCACAATTACACACACACCGCAGGAGAGCACTCCACCACACCACCCCTCGGCTGTGCCCTCATATCCCGTGCCCTCATATTCCCTACCCTGTGTCCTCACCGCGCGGGTTCCTCCCCACACGCCCCTTGGCTGCGCATGCAGTGGAGGAATTCAAGCGCGGGCAGCGCTACGCCAACTGGAAGACCAACGAGGACGCCACGGAGCCCGGCCAGGGCGGCACCGTCAGTCTCTCCCCTCCCCTGCCCTCCCTCCCTCGCGTCTTACTGCCGTCCCTCGCGTCTTGCTGCCGTCCCTAGCTTTTCCTGACTGCCCTTCCAACCATCCCTCTCCACCTGTGTGCCGCCAATCAACACAGCCCTTTGTTCCTTCCCAAGCTCTTCTCCCCCACGCTCTGCCACCTCACATCCCTACCAACCGCCGTCCCCTCTCCCCCCCTTTCTCCTTCCCCCAGCTGCTGTCATCCGCGCCCTACTACCACGAGCAGCACGGGGAGGGCCTCTTCACCCACAGCCTCTTCCGCCTCGGCAACCGCCTTCCCGATTGGGTAGGCTGCTCCTCCAGCGCTGCTCCTCCAGCGCTGCTCCTCCAGCGCTGCTCCTCCAGCGCTGCTCCTCCAGCGCTGCTCCTCCAACGCTGCTCCTCCAGCGCTGCTAAAGGCTCTTCAATCAAGCACCTGTTTCTTGGCATCAGCGCTTCCAACACCTTTCACAGTCAACATCTCTATTGGCCCCACCTTTTCTATCCCTTCCCCGTTTTCTTTTACCTCGCAAACTTGTATGTCGTATGTAAAAGTGCATGTGTGCATGTGTGCATGTGTGCATGTGTGCATGTGTGCATGTGTGCATGTGTGCATGTGTGCATGTGTGCATGCGCTGATGCATGCTGTTGGTTCACACACCTGCAGGTGAACCGCCTGGTGCCGCCGTCAGCACTGGTGGTGGACGAGAAGAGCTGGATCAACTACCCGTACTTCCGCACCATCATCACCATCCCCTTCTTTAGCAAGGTGCGTGTTGTTAGCACCATCATGACCATCATCACCATCATCACCAGCAGCACCATCCGCACCATGCGCACTACCATCAGCACCATCATGCATCCCAACTCACCCTCCTCCCCAGTCCATCCACTCTCACTTGCCCCCTCAACAGCTGCACTTGAAGATCGACACTGTTCACTTGCAGGTCCGGCAACACCCTGACATCCACTCCGTGCCCTCCCCCTTCTCCCCCTCTCCCCACTTCCTCCCCCCTGCCCCCACCCTCCCCCCCCCCCAGCTGCGCATGGAGATCGAGACCATTCACCTGCCAGACGACGGCTCTCACCCCAACGCCTTGGGGTTGTCGGCCGCTGAGCTGGCGATGCGGCGCGTGGACTGGATGGACATCGGCAGCGAGCCCGTGGCCAGGCGCGACTACAAGGCCGAGCTGGACCCGCAGCTGGTCAAGTCCAAGCTCACAGGGTGAGTCAACACGAGTCAATGCAGTTCTTAGCAGGTTAAAAAGGGGCGGCCAAGTAGGTGTGTGCCTACAAGGGTCTTATATCCTCCTCTCTTCCCCCTGCCAACACTCCCACCGTCTCCCCTGCCCACCAGCTGCGGGCCCTCAACTCACCCCGGAGCGGCTGGGCAGAGAGGGACAAGGCTGGGCAGAGAGATGTGTGCCGCTCCGTTGCAACGCACCGCCGTGTGCTATCCCCCTCTCTCTTCCCGCATCTACCCCATCCCCACCCTCCCCACCATCCCCACCCTCCCCGCCCTGCCCACCAGGCGAGGCCCGTTGACCCCGGGGTGGCAGCAGCGGGAGCAGCCCCTCATGTGTGCGTACAAGGTGGTGCGCGCCCAGGCGGAGTACTGGGGCGTGCAGAACAGCGCGGAGCGCCTGCTCATCAACTCGCTCAGGCAGGTGGGCTCGCCGCTACTTGATTCACTCACCCATGCTGGAGTGGATCCTTTGCACCAACCCTACCATCTGTCCTCTTCCCGCCCCCTCCTCGTCGCTTCCTTTCTCTCTCTCATAGACAACCCCCCCCCCCCCCCTCCTCCCGCACCCCCCCCCCCCCCCCCCCCCCCCCCCCCGCGCGCCTGGCCCCCCCAGATATTCCTGCTGGCGCACAAGAACTGCTTCGGCCTCTTGGACCAGTGGTATCCGCTCTCCCTCGAAGAGGTCGGCAGCATCTCCTCCTCTCTTTCCGGCCCTCCCTCCCACACTCTCTCCTCGTTCGATTCTCTTCCCGTTTTTCTCTCCCACAGTCTCTTGCCCATTCTCTCTTCCCCTTCTTCTCTCCCCCCACTACCTCTCCCGCCCTTTCTCCGCCTACCTGTCAGATAATTGCCATCGCTGACAAGCACAAGCCTCCTGTTGCCATCCCAAAGCCCCCCCCTCTTCCCGAACCTGCCGCCGAGCTTGAATATGAACCTGATGTGGGGGAGGGGAGGATTGCTAGGAATGCGGTGGAGGAGGGGAGGGAGGGGAGGAGGGATGGGTTGCTGAAGATGGGGAGTGAGAGTGAGGGGGGCGAGGGAGAGGAGGAGGAGGGGGAGGAGACGGAGGAATCGGAGGGGGAGGATGATGATTGGGAGGATGATGTGGAGTTTTATGAAGCACAGGTGAGATGCAACCGTCCCGTGCAACCATCTTCCGGCCGTCTACCATGCAACCATCTCCTTATCTCTCTCCCCCCCCTACCGCTCCACCCCTCTCTCTCATGGCTGCAGATGCAGTGGGCGGCAGAGGAAGAGCTGTATGGAGAGAAAATTCTCTCAGGTGAGTTTTTCCTTCTTTCAAATGTAAGATCGTGATTTTTTTTATTTTTTTTTTTCCGTGGCCATGTAGTCTCATGGAAGATGCTGTCTGTGAAACGGCGTAACAAGCAGGTTACCAGGTTACCATCAGCCATGATTCCTGGAAACCGCTTCATGCCTCTTGATCAAACGATCCATCCCAGCCTTGTCACCTACCCTCGCCCGTCTCTCCCCACCCCACCCCACTCCCTTCCCCTGCATGCGCATATGAACCACTATCTCCAATCGCCCTCGCAGTAGCCACCTCCCCTGTGCCACCACCCCTGTCCACTGCGCCCCCTCCCCTCTGCCTCATTCGCTCATCCCACACTTTTATCACGTGCACGCATCTTCTTACGCCCGCTCCCCCTCCACACCATCCCCCCCCGCCACCAGATCTGGGCCATCCTCTCTCACTGTGTTTGGAGCAGCCCCCGCCCCTGTGCCCCCTCTGCTGTGCACGCTCACAGCAGGGCGGGGGGCCAGTGGGCTCTGAGGTTGAAGCACCCGCAGCACCGCCAGAGCCTGTGCCTGCGCCTGCTGTATTCTGCGTCACTTGTGCAGAGTTCTTCTGCCACCGCTGCTTCCAGGAGGTGAGATGAGACGAGGCTATGGGAGAGCGCGGATTGCAGCATCCGTGTGTGTGAGTATCACTGTGCCATGCGCATGCCGTGGACTGTGGCGGCGTGTGCGCTGAGTTCTTCTGCCACTGCTGCTGCCACGAGGTGAGGTGGGAGTGGCAGAGCTACTTGCTGCTCCTGCTGCCAATGTCCCCATCCCATTCCCTCTCACTCTCATGCCCTCATCTGGGTGACTTTTGAGTCGACTCAAAAGTCACCTCTGCTGCCAATGTCCCCGTCCCATTCCCTCTCACTCTCATGCCCCCATCCCATGCCGCCCCTCCAGCTCCTCTCTATGCTCTCACTCCCCGTGCCCCTATGGCCCCATTTTCCATGTTCCCGTGGCCACACTTCTCCCCTCTACAGTTCCACATCACGCCCCGCTTGCAGCAGCACGCCACACACCCCATGGCTCCTTCCCAGATGCTTCCCTCTTCTGCTCCTGCCACTTCATACAGTGGCTTCGCCTCTCCCCTCAATCAGAACCTGCCACGTGGCAGCTCGGATGCTGCCACTGCTCCCCTTGCTGCCAGTTATCACCGCACCACACCCAGCAGCACCACAGCAGCGACTGATAGGGATGTCACTGCCGCTGGTGGCAGTGGTAGCAGCAGCAAGGGTGGTAAGAGGAGCAGTGGCGGTAATACCGGTGCTGCCTCTGGTGCCGACGCACGCATGGAGAGGAGGAGGCAGAAGGCAGAGGCGAGGGGGTTGAGGGAGAGAGTGAAGGAGGGGGAGAGGGAGGAGAGAGAGGGGATGCTGCTGGCGGCGAGAGAGGTGAGGGCAGAGGAGAGGAGGGCGGAGAGGGAGAGGAGGGGGGAGGAGAGCAGGAGTAAGGAGGGGTGGGGTAAGGGGAGTTGGCAGATGGGTGAGGGGCGGAAGGTGGGAGAAAGTGAGATGGGGGGTGGGGGAAGTGCGAGTGGGAGGATAGCTGCCAGTAGGCGGAGCAGCAGCGCACTGAACAGTAGGGGTGCTCAGGTGGACTTTCAGGTGGAACCTCAGGTGGTTCCAGCAGAGAGCGCGGAGGGCAGAGAGGTGAAGCATCGGTCTTCGTTCACAAGGTGGTTACATGGTAACCCCGAAACTCTCCTGGAAGGCGATGGGTCATTTGCTGCTGCTATCACTGCTACTGCTGCTGCTGCTGCTGCTGCTGCTGGTACAGTTGGTGCTGCTGCCGATCCGTCTGCTGCTCCCAGCGCATCGGACACTGCCAACGGCATTGCTGCTTCTGCAGCAGCAGCGGGCGCACCTGGTTCCCCTGCAGGTGCTGAGGGTGTGAGCCAGGGCCCTCTGCTGGCGACGCCAGGTGAAGAAGGGCCGCGCAGCGCCAAGCAGCAACCACCAAGTGGGGGGGGAGTGAGGGAGCGGTTGCGGCAGCAGTACGGGGGGCAGCCAGTGGCGCTGTCAGTGGCCCTAGCCGATGCTATCATCGCCATCTATAAGGCCGCTGCTGCTGCTGCTGCTGCTGCTACTGCTGCTACTGCTGCACCCACCTCCTCCTCGTCTTACCGCAATCCATCCCCCGAACTGACCACCTCGCTATCCTCACCATCCCTGGCATCACTAGGCTCCGCAGCATCCCAGCCGTCCATCTCTGCCCGCTACTCCGACTCCTCCCTTGCCCACATTGACTCCCCTTCCCCTCGCTCTCGCTCCACTGCAACCTCTCACCCCCCTTTGCCCTCCAACCAATCATCTCACCACCACCACCACCACCACCACCGCCACCAGCAGCAGCAGCAGGTGGCAGTGACCCCGCCCGCCCCTGCCTCTCGCTCGTTCTCGTGGATCGGCCCCAGAGCGTTCTCTCGCTCCGCCTCCTCCCCCTCTCTCTCCCACACGCACTCAACCCCCACCGCTGCGGTGACCTCACTCCCTGCTGCTGCCCCTGCTGCTCCTGCTGCTGCTACTCCCCCTGCTGCTGCACCTACTGCTACCAGTCTCGACTGTTTCGCTCGGGAAGCTGCTGCTGTTGCCGGGGTTCCCCTTGACACGCACGGGGATGATGGGTGTGACAGCGACTCAGCCGCTGGTGGTGCTCTTGGTGGAATTGTGACTGTGACGGACGTGCAACTGGTGCTTGACTATCTGGCATCAGATGCAGGCATGGCACATCGACACGAGCTCCAACGGTTCAGGTGAGATGCCAGGTGCCATGCGATGCGACCAAGTTGCCGTGAATATGCAGTAGATTCAGGTGCCATGCAACAGATTCAGGTCACTTCAACATACAACTGTCGTTCTTGAATTTCCTGCGGGACTCCCTCCCTCCGCTGCTTCCCCTCCCTTTGCTCCGCTCGCTCCCCTCACCCCTCTCCCCCTCGTCTCCACCTCTCTCCTCTCCCCATCTCCTTTTTCAACAAAGAACCTCTTCTTCTCTCCCCCAATCCCTCCCTTATTCCTCCCCTTGCCCTTACTCTCCCACCCACACACACCCACATGGACGCACAACCCCCGCACATTCTCTCAACCGCCCCCCCCCTCCCCACACACCCAACCCCTCCCCCCGCATTCTCTCAGAATCCTATAGGAGCAGCTGGCTGAGGTGCAGCTGGGGCACACACACGATCGCACACGTACACACCCCCCACTCACAATCCCCCCCACACACCCCCACTCAATCCCTCCCACGCGCCCCCACTCTCTCACACACAGAATCCTGTCGGAGCTGCTGGCCGAGGTGCAGCCGCAGCAGCTGGGGCACGCGGAGAGGCTCGCCTTCTGGATCAACGTGTACAACGCACTGGCCATGCATGTGAGCCAACCATGCATGTGAGCACTGCCATGCATGTGAGCACTGCCATGCATGTGAGCACTGCCATGCATGTGAGCTCTACCATGCATGTGAGCACTGCCATGCATGTGAGGACTGCCATGCATGTGAGCCAGCCATGCATGTGAGCACTGCCATGCATGTGAACACTGCCACGCCTTTACCATCTTTCTTTGGCATCCAGCACACATGCCTTACCTTATCCCTCCTCTTCACTCCCTTCATATCCACCTCTCCTCGTCTCTACCGCCTCTCCCCTTCCTTTCCCTCCAGGCGTACCTCGTGTATGGGCTGCCTCGCAACCACTACAAGCGAGTCATGTTCATGCACAAGGTGAGTCATGTTCATGCACAAGGTGAGTCATGTTCATGCACAAGGTGAGTCATGTTCATGCACAAGGTGAGTCATGTTCATGCACAAGGTGAGTCATGTTCATGCATAAGGTGAGTCATGTTCATGCATAAGGTGAGTCATGTTCATGCATAAGGTGACAGCCGCTTTAGCACTTACCTCTTGCCTCATTCCTCCTCCCCTCGTTTCACTCCTTCATACATGCTGCAATCTCGCTCCCTTATAGGCGTATATTTATGTACCATCTCCTCCCCCATTCCGAGTTATCTACTTATGTGGGCATGTTTCCCCTCCCCCTGCTTACACCCGTGTGTCCTGTTCCAAACCCACATCCCTCCCCATGCATCCACCCATCATGCCCCGATTCCCCTCCCATGCCCATGCCCTTGCAGTCCGCCTACATCATTGCTGGCCTCCCCTTCTCCATCCTCGCTATAGAGCACTCCATTCTAAGAGCAGCGTCCTTCCAACCAGCACTGGTAACGCTCCCTTATCACAAATACGTGCACCCTCGCTCCCAAATCCACCTCACAATCTTCCATCTTACCCCCCTCTCACTGCCGCATGGGCCTCCCCTGTGTTTCACCCACATGTATTCCAAAAACGTTTCTTCCCTTGACTGTCCCTGCTGCCATTCCATCCCCTCGCACACACCCTTCTACGCCCCCCCCCCCCTTTTCCCCTCTCCCCCCTTCATCCCAGCTGGGCCTGCTGTCAGTGCAGTGCTTCAGGTGGGCAGAGATGCGCGACAGCCTGGCTCTGACCTCCCTTGCAACTCCCCCTCCGTTGATCTATACCCAATACCAATCATTCCCTTCCCAGGCTGGCCTGCTGCCAGTGCAGCGCTACAGGCGGGCAGACGTGCGTTACAACCTGGCTCTGGACCGGCCAGAGCCGCTCGTCACCTTTGCTCTCAGCTGTGGCTGCTCCTCTGCCCCTCCTGTAAGCCTCCCAGCGTGTTAGGCTTCTCACTTTATCACACCTGTCCTCCCCCCCTCCCCCCCCTCCCCCCCCCCCTTCTCTCTTTCGGTACAGCATGCCATTGCATTCACATCTTTACATTCATGCCATCACTGTCAGTCACACCCTCGACCTTTCCCTTTTCCCTCGATGAGTCCGCGGTACTTTCATACTTCCCCACCAACTCCTCATCGACCAATCAGGTGCGAGTGTACCATCCTGACACTGTTCACGAGCAGCTTAGAACAGCTGCACAGGAATACATCCGGGCAAATGTGAAGCTGCATCCGGGCAGTGGGAAAATTCTGCTGCCCAAGCTGCTGCACTGGTACAGCAAGGACTTTGCGCGGAATGCAGCAGGGCTGCTGCAGTGGGCGGCTGAACAGATGGAAGACGGTCAGAAAGAAAACATTCTGCATGCCATCGATGCAGCTGGAGCTTCCAGGAAGGTTCGGATGGGGAAGGTTCCTGTTCAGGTGCTTGGATATGATTGGTCATTTCAATATGTGTTGGTGTGACGATGTCAAACACCTGGTTATTCAATTGTAAGTGTAAGAAATTAGTGTGGCTATCTGGCACCCGAGGGGTTTGTCTTGATTGTAAGTACAGCAGTACTGAGAGGTGGGGCAGCCAGCTAGCAGTAAAGAGGCACCTCTCACCCCCTAGCAAACTAGTATGTGGTAGTATCAATGTGGTGTGAACACGTGGCAGAAAGAAAGCTAACATGCTGAGACAACCAGCCTGCGAGAAGAAGAGCCGTTATTCATTATGCTCCCGCCCTAACAAAAAGACCCAGAGAATCTGTGATTATTGTCAACCGGAGTCCACCCTTGAACCCCTCTTCCATAAACGCCTCCCTCTCTCATATCTCTCCCTCTTTCCCACTCCCCTCCCTTCACCCAGCTCCCGTTTCCACTAGCTTACCCTTGTGCATACTATCGTCACCGACTACAACTACTACTGAGAGTGTTTCGCCAGAATGTAGCGCATCGATTTTCACTCCGTAATCGGGAAGTTCTTCGCGAACACGTACGTCCCGTTGACACGCCACGTGGCAGGCAGTACGTTCAGCGCCGTGACACTGTACTTCTTGATCGCACCGACGACATGAAACGAGATCGGTACGCCGATCACTTTAACTCCGCTCACCGACCACACCCCGCCGAAATTCCGCGCCATCGGCTGCCATCCCGCGGCGCCCACTTTCATGTGCACGGACGCGATTCCGCCCGGCCCCGCAGCGTTCAGTATAAGCACCCCGATAAAGTAATCCGTTCCCATGACCGGCTTGAACACGAGCCCGCCACGTCGCCTGCACGGGATTCGCGCGAGTCGCACGCGAATGTTCCCTGCGACGCGGTTCTTCACAATCTGGTCGTACACCCACGGCGACATGATGATTCCCTTTTTCCCGGGCCGGCAGATTCCGGAGCGCGGCTGGCCGATGCACTCGCTGGTCGCGGTCACGGCGACGATCTTATCCTGGCGGCACATCTGCGACTTGACGCATTGCACAGCGTAACACGCGCCGCATCCGGTACCGTTCTCGTAGAGCTTGGAGGAGATGGCGATGGTGGGCAGGTTGTAGGGCGGCACGCCGTTCGTCTTGCCGTAGCCGCACGACCCGCCGTCCTCGCCTTGGATTAGGGAGAGCGTGCCGGTGAACTTGCTGTCCCACACGCCGTACTCCTCGACCGCTGATGCGCGCGGTACGAGGAGGAGGAGCAGCGGCACGGTCAATGCTACGATACTAGTTACTCCACGCGACATCTTGCAATTTGCGCTCCAAGATGAGAGGATATGCAGCGACGGCCACGAATCTGGTTCGGAGACCAAGCAATGAAGTGCTTTTCCGTTTGTGATACTGAATTCGCCTGGCTTCAGCGATGTGGAAGGATACCTTATGTGGGGCTTGGTTGTTGGTTGGGTGTGGCGTGGAGGTGCGAGAAACACTGTCGACACGGGTGGGGCTGAAATCGATTTGGGGGTAAGAAGTGGGCGAAAGCAGGAGATAGAATGGAGAGGCAAGGCAATGTCGGCATTGTCGTGTGAGGATCTTGACAAAACTAGTCAAGCTGGCGCTATAGCGAAGCAAAATGTTGCTTCAAACGCAATGTCAGAAACTGGATGTGAACAAATGCGACGCGAGGGAAAGAGGTGATGTGTATCGCATCGCCTTGCATTGTCACGATCGACGCTTCACCGCATGTCACGGCGCCCAGGGAAGCGCACCAAGCAGACCGCGTAACAGCTCCTTTACATTGAAGTTACGAGATGTGTTTCGGGCTCAAAAAACTGAATTTCTGTATGGTTCGCATCCCCCAAATGCCGAGGCTCTGCAAATTCACATGAAAACAGGCCCTCGGATCTGCCGGTTCGTTTGAGCAACTCAGGGATTATGGAAAGTACTGTCAACACAAAACATATAAAGTACAGTACAGTATCCCGAGATCCGTACACATTTCGGCATGCATTTTCCGATCATTGGCCAAATCTCCATTTCCATCTTCAGAATCTAGATTCCTTGCCAACTGTGACCATGGCTGCCTCGGTCATACCCCTTCCGCCACCTTCCGTGGTTCCGACTCGCTACACCAGCGCATTCCACGGACCGCCATGTAGAAGTCCTCTCCGTAACTCCTTGCTCAGCCCTTCCACCAATATCGCCGCCTTGCGTGGTTCGAACCGCAAAGATAGAGCGAAATTGAGTGCGCGTCGCGACCGCAACTCTCCGCAAACGCAGGATGCGCGGCAATTCCGGGTGCGAGCAACAGCCCCCGCGGGTAGCGCGGCGGCGGAAGCGGGGGAGGCGGAAGAGAGCACCGTGGCAGAAGACATGAAGCAGCGGAGAGGCCTGCGCGGCAAGACCGAGGCTGACGTCATCGTAATCGGCTCCGGAATCGGCGGGCTCTGCTGCGGCGCGCTCCTCTCGCGCTACGGTCGCGACACGCTGGTCTTAGAGAGCCACTATCTTCCGGGAGGCGCAGCGCACGGCTTTAAGCGAGACGGCTTCTCGTTCGACACAGGCCCGTCGCTATTCTCGGGATTGTCGTCACGCGGCCCGCAGGCGAACCCGCTAGCGCAGGTTCTAGACGCGCTAGGGGAAACGGTTCCGTGCGTGGCGTACGACAGCTGGATGTGCTACCTGCCCGAAGGGGACTTCCTCTCTCGCATCGGCCCCTCGCACTTTATTGAGGTATGGCGATTAATGCCTCTACTGTCAATTTTTGGGAATTCGCACTCGCTCGCAGACACCTTGCTTCCGGAGTGATACCAATGGTGCTCGCATTGCTGCTTGCTTTCTCCACTGCATTGTTCGCCTCCCTACCTTCCCTACCTTCCTACTTTCCCTACCTTCCTACCTCCCCTACCCTCGCTGCTGCCTCTCACAAGGGTTCCTCCCCACATCCCTTCTGCCTATCTCTCAGGTGCTGCAGCAGTATGTGGGGGGGGACGCCGTGCAAGACTGGCGCAAGCTTATGGTGAGCTTCTAAGCCTACCAGTAACTCCCGTCTGTGACTGTATCGGTGCGTGACGATTGAGGTCCTGCGTCTCTCCTGTCCAGCTCAGCTCAGCTCAGCTCAGCTCAGCTCAGCTCAGCTCAGCTCAGCTCAGCTCAGCTCAGCTCAGCTCAGCTCAGCTCAGCTCAGCTCAGCTCAGCTCAGCTCAGCTCAGCTCAGCTCAGCTCAGCTCAGCTCAGCTCAGCTCAGCGCACCACATCCCCCCTCTTTCCTCCCCACACAGGCAGCAGTGGAGCCATAGCAGACCCCTCATGGCCCTGCCCCCTGCTGCTTTGCGAGCCGACCCTCTCTGTGCCTCGGGACCCACCTCTCCACCCCAACCCCCCCCTTCCCCCTCTCCCCCCCCCTTTCCCCCTTCTCCCCGCCTTTCCAACTTAACACATTCCAGGTGGTAGTGGAGCCACTAGCCGGCCCCTCCATGGCCCTGCCTCCCGCTGCTCTCCGCGCCGATCCTGCTGTGCTGCTCACTGCAGGGCTGAGGTACGGCCCGAGCCTGCTCCGCACGTTCGGCAGCGCCGGACCCGCAGGTGAGGAGGAAGTGAGGGATGTGGATGACATGCCATGGGGTGAAGCCCCTTGTTCCAGCTTGGCGTTTCCAATCGCACAAGGGGCTGCTGCTCTCTCAACGGTTCCCGTAGGATGGACCGATTCTCCTTGCCTGCTGATGCCGTGGGCGCGAAACGCCCCTTCTTGTGCCACTGGATTAAGCCCCTTCCTCTCCTTCTGCTCTCTCTTATTTCCCCCCCCCTCCCCTCCCCCCCGCCCCCCGTCCGTGGCCCATGCCTCCCCCCCAGCTGCCCTGAATGCGTCTAAGCTGATGGGCCCGTTCTCCTCTCTGGCGGACTCGGTGGGGGTGAAGCACCCCTTGGTGCGCAACTGGATCGACCTCCTCTCCTTCCTGCTGTCGGGCCAGAAGGCCGACGCCACCATCGCTGCAGAAGTGGTGAGTTGTGAGCGAGGAGAAGCAAGCGCTACACTTGCTGCTCAAATAATGAGTCTTGTCACATGCACCTCCTCTCCTTCCTGCTGTCCTGCTGTCGGGCCAGAAGGCCAGCGCCACCGTCGCTGCAGAAGTGGTGAGTTGCTCTGGCCATTACTCCTCCTCTGTTTCCGCATTTGCTCCAGTGTTGCCTCGTTCTCTCCTGTGCGCTGCTTGTTTTGTTACTCTTATGTAGCTCCTTAACTACCTCTTCGCCTCTCCAGAATGTGCACCCCTCACCACCATCACCCCCTTTCCTCTCTGCCCCCAGGTCTACATGTTTGCAGAGTGGTACAAGCCTGGCAGTGTAATGGAGTACCCCCTAGGCGGCCCAGAGGCGATAATAGAGGCTCTTATAAGGGGGATGGAGAAACACGGTGGGCAGCTCTCCCTCAACTGCCACGTGGACAGCATAGTGGTGGAGGGGGGGAGAGCGGTCGGCGTGAAACTCAAATCCGGACAAGTCATTCGCGCCCGCACTGCTGTGGTGAGCAATGCCTCTGTGTGGGACACAATGCGCCTGCTGCCGCAAGGGAGTGTACCGGAAGAGTATCGCAAAGAAAGGGCGGCTACGCCCGAGTGCGATTCCTTCATGCACCTGCACCTGGGGATCAAGAAGGAGAATCTCCCTGCTGACCTGGACATCCACCACATCGTCGTCAACGATTGGTCCGTGGGCGTCGACGCTCCTCAAAACGTGGTGCTCATTTCCATCCCGACCATCCTTGATGCGTCGCTCTCGCCACCTGGCACCGTCTCATTGCATGCCTACACCCCTGGGACTGAACCGGCCTCCCTGTGGGAAGGCCTGGATAGGCGATCTCCCGAATACAAGAAGCTCAAGGAGGAGAGAGCCGAGGTGATGTGGAAGGCAGTGGAGCGAGTACTTGGTCCGGGGTTCTCTCGAGATCAGTGCGACCTGGCATTAGTAGGGACCCCCTTGACTCAGGGTCGCTATCTGCGGAGGCACCGGGGCACTTATGGCCCGGCAATCAAGGCAGGCTCGGGGACGTTTCCAGGCTCGACAACCCCTCTTCCAGGCCTGTTCTGCTGCGGGGATTCCACGTTTCCGGGAATCGGTGTGCCTGCTGTGGCAGCTAGTGGAGTGGTGGCGGCGAATACATTGACTCCGGTATGGGACCATTGGAAGTTGCTTGATGCTATTGGAATCTGAGGGAGTTGTTAGCTTTGATGTTATAATAATATTCTGAACGTTTCCGGCTTGCCTTTGAGATGTGGAATGATAATGGAGAATTTACACCTATGTAGTGCAATATTTATACATTGTGGTGAAAATTGTTCATATGCGAATATATCCGGATACGAGCTCCGGTAAACTGTTTTGGCTAATTCCACGATTTTATGCAGCACGCATGGGGGACGCGTGACACTACAGAGCAGTGTCGACGACCCACCCTTGATTGGACATATTCGCGGATGTCGCATGTCTATTTGGCCACCACAGCAGGAACGAGTCTCTAGCGACACTATGGCGAATGGTTGCCGTCGTTTGAGTGCAGCCCACCAATTACACGTTTGCAGACCTCCTTACACGAGCTTGGAGCGGTTCGGCGACAAGTCGCAGGGGATTCTCGCTACTGTGTGACATCTCGATGAATTTCCAGGGTGAGCGACGTTGGCACTTCTCCCTGCGACCACAGTCCACAGAATTGCCCGAGCCCTTGGTTTGGTCAAAGAGTTCGCACCGCGTGTCAAGGAGCACATGCACAACAAGCACAGACGCCTTTCATTGGCAATTTGGCACTGTTGGGTGTCGCAAGCCCAGGGTTATCGCAAGCCCAGGGTAATTGCAAGCTGTAGTTGCGGGGGTACCCGGGCGAAGATGCGCCCTGCCCAGCATAATCGCAGGGCGGTCAAGCGATCCTTCCCTTCTTACCCTTGCTCTGAGAGTGTCGTTGGCAACAAGTCGGATAATTTGTCAAATCGTCGCAGCAGATCGGGCTGTGCACCCACCAGTAGACAGAGCCGAAACTCTGTCGCATGTGCCGCTCGCAGGCGATTGATCGTGTGGATCGCTTGTCGCACTACCCGTCGCACATGCCGCTCACATGCTCCCTAGTTCTGACCGGCCTTCTCCCGTCAGCCGAACCCTTCCTCCCGAATCTCCTCGAGGCCCCTCCCACACCCTCCCCTGCCCTCTCTACAGTCTTGTTTCTCAAATCCCAGGATTCCTTTACTTCTCTTGTTCCAGCTCCCCCCCCTAACTCATTCTTGCCCTTTCACGTACGGTAATCTCTTACAGTGGAGCACTGCACACCCTGAATTCATACTGCTTGTGCGAACTCCCTTCCGCCTCTAACCATCGTGGGTAGAGGACTCGAGAACCTGTTGCGTCACGGGATATTTGTTCGTTCTTTTCCGCGTTGCCTAGTCTGCGCGCTATTTAGGACTGAGAGTCGGTATGGGTGGTTGACGAAGGCGGTCGAAAACCACCTTTGGCTTTTCGTGAAGTGCTTTTTAAACCGTAAGCTGGATAAATGACGACGTCGACAGTATATGGTGAAGCGGAATACACGGTCAGTTTCACGGTCGTTAGCCCCTTCTTTCAGAGCCATTTCTTTTCATCTCCATATGCTACCACTTTCGACCAGTACCGTTCTCTCCCCGTCTGCACTTATCCGCTGCAAATTTTTGTTCGTACGTTTCCCTTACATAGGTTCTTATGTATGCCGTGCCCGTACATCTTACGTGAATCTGTCTGTCGTCGCACGCAGCGATACCTAGACACGGAGCAAGCAGTCATGGACCACGACATGTGCGACGACGACGAGAGCGACGAATACGACGCGTGCGACTACTCGGACGACAGCAGCGACGCGGACAGCCAAGACGGCTTGCAGGCGGAGTGGGACTGGGACTCGACGCCTCTACGGGACAGAACGGCCGACGCGCGACAAGTCCAAGGAGCAGACGACTCGGATGAGGACAACGACATGGTAGGCTTATCGTCGACATGGTCGGTCCATTGTCCGACTTGACGCTGAGATCTTTCCTCTCTGCCTGTTGCTGTTCCCCCAGGTGTTTTTCCCGTCAACTCAAACGTCACACCCTTGGCGCTGGTGATTCCCCTCTCCCCCAATCCCCCCTCCCCCTGTGGCAGCTGGACGGCGCGGCGGACGTGAGCGCGCAGCAGGCGGCGCGGGGGCGGGACATCCAGGGCATCCCGTGGGAGCGGCTGCACTTCACGCGCGCCAAGTACCGCGCGATGCGCCTGCAGCAGTACAAGAACTACAAGAACCTGGATGTATCATTAGATGTGGTGGAAAAGGTACGAGCACAGATGGCGGAGAAACGCGCGGGTGACCGAGGGCAGAGGGTGGGGGAGGAGCAGCATAAGTGCTGCCAGCTGTTGCTCATGCGTGTCATCCCCTTGGTCGTGTGGCTCGTTGCCCATGCGCCCGTATGTGGCCGTTGCTACATCTCCATCTGAGCTGCATTCCACGTGCACTGCATCGTGTTCCTCTATGCCTTCTCAACCGCCTGTGTCGTCCTTGCCTCGTCCTCGCCCTCGTCCTCGTGCTCGTCCTCGTCCTCGTCCTCGTCCTCGTCCTCGTCCTCGTCCGCGTCCTCGTCCTCGTCCTCGTCCTCTATGCGTGCGTGCAGGAGGTGAAGGAGGTGAGCACGGACGCTGAGTTCTTCAACTTCGCCTACAACACACGGGCTGTCAAATCAACCATCGTGCACTTCCAGGTACGCCCCTCCAGGTACGCCCTTCCCTTCCAGGTACGCCCTTCCCTTCCAGGTACGCCCTTCCCTTTCAGGTACGCCCTTTCCTTCCAGGTACGTCCTTCCTTCCAGGTACGCCCTTCCCTTCCCTTCCAGGTACGCCCTTCCCTTCCAGGTACGCCCTTCCCTTCCAGGTACGCCCTTCCCTTCCAGGTACGCCCTTCCCTTCCAGGTACGCCCTTCCCTTCCAGGTACGCCCTATCGTAATGGTTACCTCCGTTACTGGATGCCCATTCGGTTGCACTTTTTTTCCCTTCTCTTTCCCTTCTCTTTCCCTTCTCTTTCCCTTCTCTTTCCATCGTTTTCCCTGGGTGGCTTTCAGCTGCCGATCCAGTGCAAGCATCATTAAACTATGACGTGTGCACCATGCACAGCCACACAACCCTCCCTGCATCCCCTGTCCCCCTCCTCCAACGTCTCCCCCTCCCCCTCCCCCTCTTCTCCCCCCATTCCCCCCACCCTCCCTCCCCCAGCTGCGCAATCTGGTGTGGGCGACGTCGAAGCACGACGTGTACACGATGCACGGCCACACCATCAGCCACTACTCAGCGCTCTCCCGCCGCTCCCTTGACTTCCTTGACCTGGGCGGACCTGTCGTGCCCATCTCGCATGTACTGTGCATAGCACACCCATGCTTGCTTGCTTGCTTGTCTGCATTCTTACATTGACTTCCTTGACCTGGGAGGACTCGTCGTACCCATTTCGCAAGTATGTAATGTTATGTGCACTGGCACGCCCACTCGTGCATGCCTGCGTTGACTTCTTTGACCTGGGCGGGCCCGTTGTGCCCATCTCCCATGTACATGCCTATGATGCATGGCCACTCATGCCTGCCCTCATGATGCATGCCCTCATGATGCATGCCCTCATGATGCATGCCCTCATGTTGCCTGCCCTCATGATGCATGCCCTCATGCACGCTGGTTTGTCTGCATGGGTTGACTTCCTTGACCTGGGCGAGCCCGTTGTGCCCATCCCCATCCCCATGCACAGCAAACAGCAATGTACATGCGCCCTTGTGTGCATGCATGCATGTATGCAACCATCCAACATCACCACGACACCCCCTTCCACGCTGTCTTAATTCAACCATTCTCCCCCCTTCCCCCGTCCTCCCTCCCCCCCACTTCCCCCATCTCTTCCCCTCCCCCCCCCCCCCCCCCCCCCCAGCTACAACGCGCCCCATGGCTGTACCACCAGCGCGCCACCACAGCCACACTGCGCACAGGGGGGCCCAGGATTTACGGGGGCGGAGGGGCGGGGGGGACTGGCGAAGGGGTAAGCTCTGGCGCAGGGGGGGCAGCAGGACCGGGGAGAGGGGACGCGGGGGGCGGAGGGGCAGGAGGGGCGGAGGACGGGACGTGGGAGGCGGTGGGGCGGGTGCAGGTGAGCACGATGTGCGTGCGCAACGGGCTGATGGCGGCGGGGGGGTTCAACGGTGAGATGGTGTGCAAGCGCCTGGACAGCGGCGCGGAGGGCGGCGTGGCGTATGCTGGGCGGATCACGCGGGATGAGAGTGCCATCACCAACGCCGTGGAGATCTTTGAGTCCGCCAGGTGAGGACGGCAGGAGGGGTGGCAAGTGGGAGGGGGGAGTGAGGGTGGGAGTGAGCGGGGGAGGTGAGGGGGGAATGGGGAGGAAGATGGGGGGGGGGGGGGAGGGGGTTTATGGGTATGTTATGATGCGGGCAACTATACCAGAGGTGCTGGTTGGGAGTGAGAGTAGGAAGTGGAGGGAGATGCAGGTGAACAACCCATGGCCAGCCCTTCAATACCTTCCTGCTTGTCCCTATCAACTGCCCCTCTTGCTGTAATGTCTCCCTTAACATACCCTCTCCTCGCCTCTCCTTGCCTCTTCTCCTTGTCCCCCTGCACATTCCTCCCTCTTCTCTTCTCCCTCTGTTCCTCTCATCTCTGCCCCTCCCAGCGATGCGGTGCGAGTGCTGACGTCCAACAACTACTGCCTCGTGATGGGGTTAAATGCACCGCACCCTAAACCCTCTCTCCCCTCTTCCCCTCCCCCCATTCCCCTGCAACAGCGGCGCGGTGCGCGTGCTGACGTCCAACAACGACTGCCTCGTGAGGGAGTTTGACGCCGACTCGTTTGCCATCCTCTCCCGCCACCACCTGCCATGGCCCATCAATGTACGCGAGCCATGCCTTGATGCACTCACGCATCAGGCCATCATGGGCCATTCGTCTGTGACACTCCACGCGCTCTTTTGCTGCTTAGACATGCCACCACAGGTTGGATTGCCCTCCTCTTCGTTTCTTCCCCCCTCCCAACCTCTCCCCACCCGCCCCCTCCCGCCCTCTCCCCACCCGCCCCCTCCCACCCTCTCCCCACCCGCCCCCTCCCGCCCTCTCCCCACCCGCCCCCTCCCACCCTCTCCCCACCCGCCCCCTCCCACCCTCTCCCCACCCGCCCCCTCCCACCCACACCCGCCCCCTCCCACCCTCTCCCCACCCGCCCCCTCCCAACCTCTCCCCACCCGCCCCCTCCCACCCTCTCCCCACCCGCCCCCTCCCACCCTCTCCCCACCCGCCCTCTCCCACCCTCTCCCCACCGCCCCCCCCCCAGCACACTTCGGTGTCGCCCAACGGCAAGCTAGTTGTGGTGGTGGGCGATGACCCCGATGCCTTTCTCATGGACGCAACTTCCGGCAGGGTAGGTTTATGCTCACAGGGCTGGTTACATGGTCACATCTTTCAGGTTCCGGTCTTCTCGCCTTGTACAGTGCTTCACGTGGCTATTTGTTCCCCCTGTCTTCCCTTCTCTAACCCCTGCCCTCTCCATTCCCTCCACCATCGCTCTTTCTCCCCTCCCACCAGGTGGTGGCCCCTCTAGCGGGCCATGTGGACTACTCCTTTGCCTCGGCGTGGCACCCCAACGGCCTCACCTTTGCCTCTCATGCCTTCCTCCCCGTCCTCTCCCCAGGTGGTGGCCCCTCTAGCGGGCCACGTGGACTACTCCTTTGCATCCGCCTGGCACCCCAATGGGCTCACCTTCGCCACGGGCAACCAGGACACCACGTGCCGCGTCTGGGACCTGCGCTGCCTCTCGCACTCCCTCGCCACGCTTAAGGGCCGCATGGGCGCGATCCGGTCCGTCCGTTTCTCATCCGACGGCCGGTTCCTGGCCATGGCCGAACCAGCTGATTTCGTGCATGTGTTTGATGTGAGGGGGGGGTATGCGCGGTGCCAGGAGATCGACCTGTTTGGGGAGATTGCAGGGGTGTCGTTCTCACCGGATTCAGAGGCGCTGTTTGTGGGCGTGGCGGATCGGACATACAGTAGCCTGCTAGAGTTTAATCGGGCGAGGCGCTGTGACTATGTCGATGCCGGCGTGTGAATGGGCGCCGGGCTTGAGTTGGGATGAGGTGCCTTCATCCAAAAAGGGTGTGGCAACTTGGCAACTGCACGGGTTGGAGTGGATGATGTGCGGTGCTGCTTGGTTTTGTACAGTGGTGGTGGGTTGCATTGCTTTGCATGTCTCGAGGTTTAGTTTGAGCTAGCATGCTTAGTCAAAGTATTAGATAACAGGCATGGTCTCTAGGGTTTGACTTTGACTGACGCTCCTTGTGAAAGATGCTGACATACTGCTCGGGGCTTAGTTGGGTTGGCACTGCTCGTGCCATCATGCTTATTTGTACGGCTTGCTTGTTGAGTGACAGATTCAGCCAACTGACTTCGTCCCTGTAATTGTGATAGCTGAAGTGTTTGCTTCAGCGAGGCTAATGTCGCGTACAATTCACAACATTTTCGCCCCTCACAATAACCCCGCTCTGCACCCCACACCCCCTTGCTCTGGCACCGCGCACGCCACGATGCCTTCCGCGCGCCCCCGAGAACAGCCTCCCTCGGTAGGAGACGCGCCTACAGCGCGGCAAAGCCGCCAGAGCAAGCGTGAGTCCGCAGCGGAAAGCCCGCTGCTTCCGCCGACTCTCGTGCGCCCGCCGCTTCGGCCCGCCGCAGAAAGGTCAGCCATTGGGGGTACTATAGGCCGAGGGTTTAGAGCTTAAAAATGAGGCAGGGGCAGGGAGGGGAGGTTAGCTCGGGGGAGTTCCGCAGAGCGCAGCAAGAGTGGTACTCTTGAACTTTCATCCAGTGCTTTCGTGGCAAATTTCGCTACAATCCCCCAACCCCTCGAAACCTTGAAGCCGAAACCCTGAGCAAGTGGCAATTTTGCCCCCCGTGGCACCCTCTCTCTCCGCCCTCTCTCTCTGCCCGCCTTGCCCCACCAGCCGCACGTTCCGCGCGTTTGAACGGTGGATGCGCGATGACGCCAAGATCCAATGGTCAGGAAAGCTCGCCTTCCTCCTCACCTGCCCTCCCCCTCCCTCTGCCCCCTTCCGCCAAGCCGCACGCGCGCGTCCTCCCCGCGCCTCTCGTTCCGCCTCCGCCGCTTCCTCCGCCTTCCCCCCGCCTGGTCCGCTTCCCGTGGGGGTGTTTGCGCGCGCGCCCCTCCCCCTGGGCGCGTCAGTTGCGACCATTCCCAAGTCTGCCTGCCTCACTCCGCGCACCTCCCTGCTTGCGCCTTACCTCTCCGCCTCCCCATTCTTCCAAGCAGGGGGGGAGGCAGAGGGGGAAGCGGACAGGTCAGAGGAGGAAGAAGAGGGGGAAGGGGGGAAGGAAGAGGAGGGGGAGAGGGAGGAGGAAGTGGAAGGGGAGGAAGCGGAAGGAGAGCACAACGGTGGGGAAAAGGGTAGACGAGCGGATCGGGAGGGTCAGGGGGGAGGGCAAGCGGAAAGGGAAAGCGAGGGTGGGGGTAGTGCGGATGCAGGGAGTGAGGGGGAGGGCGACGCAGCTGTGGGGGAGAGCGGGGAGGGGGAGTCAAGTGAGGGGGGGAGGGGGGGAGGGGAATCAAGTGAGGGGGGGAGAGGGGGAGGGGAATCAAGTGAGGGGGGGAGAGGGGGAGGGGAATCAAGTGAGGGGGAGGGGGGACATGGGGAGTTGAACAGTGGAGCGCTGGTGGCTGCAGTACTGTTTGAAAAGGCACTAGGGGCGAAATCGCGATGGGCGGCGTATTTTGGACAGATGCCGGAGAGAGAGGACGTGCCTGTGTTGTGGGGAAAGCAGGAAGCGAAGGAGCTCTTAAAGGGTACAGAAATCGAGCAGGTATTGGGAGATACCACCTTGCCTTTTAACCCCTTCCTCTCTTCCTCCGGTTGCTTTCTGGCGGACTTTTCCTCCTCCCTCTATGCCTCTCCTCCTCCCTCATTCTCCCTCGCCCCAGCAACACTTCACTCCCTTTCCCCCTGTCTTCACCCGGCTTTTCTCCATCGTCCTTCCCGTGCACAGGCCGTCCCCGGCGACCTTGCAGTCATGCGTGCGGAATGGAGGCGCCACATCCGCCCCTTCCTCCTCTCCCTGCCCCCACACGTGCTCCAGCTGCTCCCCGGTAGCCAATTCTCGCCTGGAACCATGTCTCGGGACACTCCAGAGCCACACGATCAGCAGCTGCACCGCCAGCTGTCGTTCGACCAATACCTGGCCGCCAAGTCGCTCATCTCGTCGCGTGCGTTTGCCATCGACAGCTGGCACGGCCATGGCATGGTGCCGCTGGCGGACCTGTGAGTGAATTGTGCTGTTATGAAGGCGCACCATGCGAGCATGGCCCATGCATCATGTGCCATGCACCATGCACCATGCACCATGCACCATGCACCATGCGCCATGCGCCATGCGCCATGCGCCATGCGCCATGCACCATGCACCATGCACCATGCACCATGCACCATGCAACATGCACCATGCATCATGCACCATGCACCATGCCCCATGCACCATGCACCATGCACCATGCCCCATGCGCCATGCGCCATGCGCCATGCACCATGCGCCATGCGCCATGCGCCATGCACCATGTGCCATGCGCCATGCACCATGCGCCATGCGCCATGCACCATGCGCCATGCACCATGCGCCATTCACCATGCGCCATACACCATGCGCCATGCATGAACCACTGCTTGCAGGTTTGACCGACAGCCTGCAATCAGAATAACCTCACCTTACCATGACCTATGGCCCATTGCTATTGCATCACCCACTCTCCACCTCCCTCCCCCTACTGTCCCCTTTTTTTTGTCTCCGCTGTAGGCTCAACCACCACACTGCGAGTGAGTCGGTGCACTTCACAAAACACTATCGCCCCTCCACAGTGTGCTATTGTGCCATCCTCCCCTCAGCCCCCCTTTCTCCCGCCCTACCTCCCTACCTTAACCTCTGTGCAGGTTCAATCACCGCACTGCAAGTGAGTCGGTGCACTTCACAATCAACGACGAAGAAAGTGATCAAGAGGAGAGTGATGCAGATGGTGAGGAGAGCAAGAAGGAGGGTGAGAAGGACAGTGGGAAAGTGAAGGAGGATGGAGGAGACGAAGGGGAGATCGAAGTGAGTGGGAATGAAGCAAAGGTGGAGAAGCCGGAGAGTGCAGGTGAGGAGGGAATAGAGGAGAACACTACCGAGCACCTAGAGATGATAATGGTGAGGAATGAGGGGCCGGGAGACGAGGTTTTCAACACCTACGGCCAGCTCAGCACCGCCGCTCTTCTGCTTCGGTACGGCTTCACCGAGCCTCTCAGCTTCGGCGGTGCCAAACCTAAGGGTGGCACAGAGGAGCTGCCAGTCAGGCTCGGCAAGGCCGAACCCGATTGTGGTGAAGGCTCGGAGGTGGAGTGTATTTGCTGTCTACAGTACAACCCGTTTGATCTGGTTAATGTGGACTTGAGCGTGATTATTAAGGGACTCCGTGTCGACCAATCACGAGCCGGCAAGAAAGGAGGAAAAACATTTCTGGGAAGGAGGATCACCCGACGAGGGCAGGAGTCCAGTCAATCAAGCTGCACAAATTTCCGGGCGGCGAACACTGCTCATTCCAACTGCCTTCCCCCTTGCTCCTCCCGTAGTTTGCGGTGGGCTGTGAAGCTGCTCGAGAGGGCAGGGTGCCCCCCTTTGGAGTCACAAGGGGAGAGGTACTTCGAAATATCTGCTGACGGGCGGCCGCAGCTGGAGCTGCTGCTGCTGCTGCGACTGGTGGGGCTGGATGACGTGGCAGCTGCCAGAGTGGACGCCAGCGTGGCAGAGAGGGAGGCTGACGTGGACTGGGGTGGATTGAGGGCTGCTGAGCTCGCACGGGTGGTGGGGGATGTTGAGGGGGAGAGGGAGCGAGGGGGTGACGAAAGGTGGGAGGAGGAAGAGGAGGAAAGGAAAGGAGGAAAGGGGGAGGGTGGTAATGGTACAGCTGCGGGGAGGAAGAGGAGGAATGAGGTCGAGGAGAGGACTGGGGGAGGGAAGAGGAGGATGAATGGTGGAGGGAAGGTGGGGAGGGGTGAGGCACGGTGGGGTGTGGAACAGGTGAGGCGGGGCAGGAGATTGAGGGGGAGAGGAAAGGAGAGAGGGGAGGAGATAGGGGAGGAGCGAGGGGAGGATATGGGTGGCAGTGGCGAGGAGGGGGGTGAGAAGGGAGGCAGTGAGGGAGAGGAGGAGAATGAAAAAGGGGAGAATGAGAGGGAGGATGAAGAGGAGGATGGGGAGGAGGATGAGGAGGAGGGCAGGGAGGAGGAGGTGGCAGCGACCCGCCGACTTCTAGAGCTACCGACCATTCGAGCCCTGCTCGACCGCGTCCTGCATGCTCGCGATCGCATGTACGGGGGGCCACCGCACCCCACCTGGTTACCAGCTACGACCTGTGCTCGCATGTACGGGGGGGCAGAGCTGGGTGGGGGTGTGACTAAAAGAATTGTGACAAAAAGTGCGTTGACTAAAGGCCGTGGGACACTAGGGGGGGTGGCGAGAAGGGATGTGGCGAGGACTGGCTTGTGGACCGTTGTGGATGATGTGGTGGCAGCACGGGGGATGGAGAGGGAGGAGAGGGCGACGGGGGGGTGGTGGGGGGAGAGGGAGCAGCAGAGGGGGCAGCAGGAGAGGCAGGGAGAGAGGAAGGAGCAGCAGCAGGAGAGGCAGAGAGAGTGGCACCGATTGTTGCATGCAATGCGGTTGAGAGTGGCCGAGAAGGGTGTGCTGGCGCGGTGCAGAGGGGTGTGGCTGGGTGAGAGGTGCTTGTGTGGGAGGGCGTGGAGGGTTGATGGAACATGAGGGTTGAATGTACATGATATACACTTGAGTATCTCAATTGGGGCACTATTCATTGGGGGTGTTGGAAATACCTCAAGGACTTAGCGTTTCTGAAGTGTAACACCACACTCGAGGAAGGTCGTAACGGGTACGCGAGTCAACGGAGGTTACACGAGGGGATGGACAAACAAAGGACTCGAAGGGTCGCAACTGGAGGTTGCGACTGACAGTTACAACTGCAAAGATGGTAACCGAAGCGACAATCGAGTCGCTGTGCGACTCGATAACCGCTCTTTCAACTGTATTCTACAAATTCTTTACTTTCCTACTTTCTATATATTGCTGTATGCTTGTTCTTTTAATCAATCACTTGTTCTCACATACTAGTACAAGGGTTCAACTACTCAACTTCCGCTGCACTACTCAAGTCTCCTTTTTGCAACTGGACTTAGTATCTGAAAGATCCTAAGGGCTTTTCTCAGCCCAATAGGGGTTTTTCTCATACCGGTAAATAAATGAGGGAAAAAACCAGGACCAGAAAGAAAATTAGAAACAATTAGGAATTAGATCATGCACCAACCATACTCAGATTAGAAGTGCTAACAATCTGGGCTTGTGCCCAGGGTCCTCGATTGCCCCCAGCCACTTTCTAAGCGATCAGACGGGCCCTACGGAACCGTCTGATCATCAGACGGCTTCTCCAAAGATTTCTGATTTGTCAGACGAACATGCCATAAATTTCTAAATATACAGAATGTTTAGTAGCATATTTCTTCGCTTACTGATGCACACCATGTTGCACCTCCTAGCTTAACTAGTCAGACAAGTCCTCTACAACCATGGTCATGCGCACATCCACATCTTCATCATCAGCACTAGTCTTCTTCCTCTTCTTCTTGTCGTGCTTTCTCTTCTTGCGGGGGGGGTTGGGCATGACGGACGACATGCTTCGCCTGGCGTCGCGGAACTGGTGCTCGGAACTTCTCCATCACTTCTTCCCACTTCATAGGGTACTCCAGCAGAGAGACACACATGAGATCTGCAAGGCGGGTGTCGCAGAGGTTAACCCGCAGCCAGGACTTGATCGTGTTCTGGCGGCTGAAGCCACGCTCACACTCCACGGTGCTGAGCGGCAAGACAGCAACAGCTACCCACAGGCGCACGAGGTTGGGGTACGCCGTGCGCCAGTCCTCCGACCTAAGAATGTTCTTGAGGCAGTTGTGGAATGAGTGGTCTTTGTAGTGCTTGTTCATCATCCTAGTGAACCGCGGAAGCTCTCTTTCAGCCTTCAGCCAGTCGACTCCTGTGGGGCGAGATTGGTAGGGAAGCATTATAACATAACTTAGATCCTCCTACTGCGACATTCACATTCAATATATGCCGCAATACTGTTACATTCACAATCAATGTACATAAACCAAAAAGAGACACACCGGGCATGGCGCACTTCTCGGCGTTGTAGAGGACTTTAAGCGAACCGAACCACTCTGCGCACAGCCGCTCGCGTTTTGCGGGTGCGTCGGGGTATGCGTCGGGGAGGAACAGCTTCGACCCACGGAGATTGTTGAGACTCGCCATACGCGTCTCCAGATTCCGAACGACCGCCTGCACAAAGAGGGAGGCAAGGGAGATACAAGACTCCATATCTCCTTTGCTCCTCTGGTCGCTCAAGTCCTTCTCATGAAGCTTGAAGGTGTGGGTCTTGGGGTTGCCAGAGCCGTCGATGCCCTCCACCATGACCCTCCGCTTGTTGGAAGGTCCATGCTCCTCCAAGAACTTAGACAGCAGGTCGGAGCCTTCGCCGAAGTTGACGCCATGCTCGATGTAGCGTGAGCGGAGCACATTGCAGGTGTTCTCAATCAGCTGGGCGACTCTGGTGATGTCCACCTGCGATGTAGCCACTACAATGAAATTAGCGCTGTTATGCGTTCAGGCAGGAGGAGGAAACTATTTATATTGATGAACAAGCATGCACGCTTACAGCTCGACGCTGAAACTTTCTGTTGAGGGCATTAAGCTCTGCAAGGACGTCAGCTAGGAAAAAGAGAAGGAAGTGGAACTTGAAGCTGATGACGACATGGTACATGTCATCATCAAATTCATACAGCAGCAAGACTGCAGCGGGGAGAACTTCAACGAGCCGCGAGATGGCTTCCCCGCGGGAGAGCCATCGGATATCCTTTATACCCTGCATTTCCAGGGTCGTATCGTTGATGAACTTCTGGAGCTCGCTGAAACGCTTGTGTACGACGATGCTCCGCCCAAGGATGTCAGCCAGACTCCTGACCACCTTGTCCACGATGTCAAGGTCAACGTACTTGGTGGCTGCATCCTTCGCAGCCAACGCCTCTCTGCAAGCTACAAACGAAAACATTAGTTCTTCAATGTTTGGTTACATGCACTTGGCTCATATTTACACGAACATCGCAACACCAAGTACAAGTTCATTACACGGCACCAACCAAAACTGACCTGTGCGCGATGCAGTGGCATGCGACGAGGTGCGGAACTTTGGCTCGGAGCTGCGCCACGAGGCCCCGGTTCACGCCGGTCATGACGCTGGCGCCGTCAGTGCTGATGCCGCTGATCTTGTTCAGATCCAGCCCGGTAGATTCCAGGTGTGTCAGTAGTGTTGATAGAAGAGAGCTGGCATCACACTTCTCAACTGTGAGGTGAGCGTAGAACTCAGTCACGACCTTGGCGTTCTTCAAGAATGTCAGATAGACAATCATGTGTTTCCCACGCCGCCTGTCGGTGCTCTCATCCAGCTGAATGCCCACGAATGGAGATGCGTCAATGTGTTTCTTCTGCTGGGCGCGGAGGTAGACGACTAGTGCTTCAGTGATCTGCTTGAAGCCGTACCTGCAGAAGCAAAATAACAGAGAGAGACTTAGTCAGAACGGTAGTCCTTGAGTATCTACTGCGAAGAAACGACAGACAGACTTACTCAGAATGGTACGTGCCGAAGGCTTTCTCAGGGATGTGTGGAGTCCGTAAGTCGACGAGAAGACGAAGAAGAGAAACAAACATGCCAATGGGGGCGTCAGACTTGCAAATCCACAAAACGATGAGCAACAACTGCCTGAGGCGGTTGTCGAGGGACTCAAGGGACTCCTCGAACTCTGTGATGCTCGGCTGCGACGTGACCTTGCCATCCAGCTGCTGCTGTCTCTCCTCTGCGGCCTCGTGCTTCTTGCTTTGAGAATGCTTCACCATTGTTTGCTTCTGGATATCCACTCCGCCGTTGCCGAGTTTTCCGTACTGCCAGGTGGGAGGTGCGTGAGCCATGCAAAGTCGACATTTCATGCACGGACGTCCGTCGGGGCGCTGATCGATGATGAGCCATGGGAACTTTCGGACCCACTGCTCCTCAGCCTTGCTTTTTAGCTCAGCTAGAAGCGCGTCAGGGTCAGGGATGAGACGGCAGCAAAGACGGGACTTCGGATTCGGGACCGGCCGGTCAGCAGAAGAACCAGCTTCGGGATGTTCTGCCGACGAAGGTGGTTCGTCAGTGGAGGCGCGAGCCTCGATACGGATGTGAGGAACACGGGTGCGTGCAAAGCGTATCGTGCTTTGTGTGAACTGTCGAATGGACCGTGGCTTCGGCAGCTGTTGTACAGCGTCGACGGACAGCAGAGGGGACCGCCTAGCTGATACAGCGGTAGGAGAGCGAGGAGACGTTGGGGGAGTGGATGCGAGTAACGGGTCGCTGTTAACTTCAGGGAGTATCTCGCTAAATGGCGGCGCTACTGCGGGTGATGGGACTGCAGGCACGTGATTTGCCTCTGGATTTGGGCAGGTCTGGTGAGCTAGACGCAGGAAATCAAGCCCACTTACGGGGGGCATACCAGCCGCGGGAGGAACTACAGATGCGGCGCCGCCATCTCTAACGGCGCCAGCATCCATGTCGAAGTGGTGTGAGACGGGCTATGGAGCAGGTAGAAAACGGACAAGTAATCACCGTGTGTCGTCAACATAGTGAGGGGAAGGAGTGAGCGTCGCAACGAGGACAGGAGAAGAACCTGGGCGTGGTCCTTCATTCACAGATCCTCAGGGCGCGCATGCGTCTCCAGCGGCACGGGGAGCATCCATCCATCGTCCAAAGCTGGCGAAGGTTCTCGTCTCCTGCACGAAGCGGGCACTTGGCGACAAGCCAATAGGCGAGGGGTACTTGTCAACTTATACATATTATCTATGTAGAAGTTATAGGCTAGACTGAGGTATGCTTCTAGTGAGTACAACCAACTAGTATTTGTTCTAGGTTTCCACCTCTAGTAATCATTCGTTTCTACGTTAACATGGTATCACGCTTAGGTTAGGATCCCCCCGCCTACCGCTTCCGCCCGTCGCGCCTCCTAGGCCCCGTCGCGCCCCCTAGGCCCCGTCGCGCCCCCCCTGGGCCCCGTCGCGCTCGTTAGGCCCCGTCGCGCCCCCCCTGGGCCCCGTCGTGCCCGCTGGGCCCCGTCGCGCCTCCTAGGCCCCGTCGCGCTCCCCCTAGGCCCCGTCGCGCACGCTGGGTCCCGTCGCGACCCCTAGGCCCTAACGCGCCCCCGCTGGGCCCCGTTGCGCCTCCTAGGCCCCGTCGCGCCCCCCATGGGCCCCGCCGAGCCCGCTGAGCCCCGTCGTGCCTCCTAGGCATCGTCGCGCCTCCTAAGCCCCGTCGCGTCCCCCCCCTCTGGGCCCCGTCGCGCCCGTTCGGCCCCGTCGCGCCCCTCCTAGGCCCCGTCGCGCCCGCTGGGTCCCTTCGCGCTTCCTAGGCCCCGTCGCGCCTGCTAGGCCCCGTCGCGCCCCCCCTGGGCCCCGTCGCGCCCGTTAGGCCCCGTCGCGGCCCCCCTGGGCCCCGTCGTGCCCGCTGGTCCCCGTCGCGCCTCCTCGGCCCCGTCGCGCCCCCCCTGGGCCCCGTCGTGCCCGCTGGGCCCCGTCGCGCCCCTTAGGCCCCGTCGCGCCCGCTGGCCCCTGTCGCGCCTGCTGTTAGCGCTCGCCCGCCTGGCCTCCTCCTAGTGCCGCTCGGCCTCCTCCTAGTGCCGCCCGGCCTCCTCCTAGTGCCGCCCGGCCCCTTCCTAGCGCCGCCCGGCCTCTCCTCAGCGCTGCCCGGCCCCTCCTCGTGCCCGACCGGCCCCAGCAGCACCAGCCTGGCCCCTCCCAGCACCAGCCCGGCCCCAGAGCACCTGCCCGCCTCCCCTGCTCGGCCTGCCGTGTCCTCTCGGGCCCTGTGTCTTCTGCTTGCCTGCGCTGGGACGCCTAGCTGCTGCCCTACTGGAGAGTGCTGCCGCCGTGTCCCCGCGCCGCTGTGCTCCTGTGCCGCTGAGGAGCTGTGCTGCTGTGCCGCTGTGTCGCTGAGGAGCTGTGCCGCTGACCCTGCACGATGGCTGACTTTGTGCTCCGCCTGGACGCTGAGGGCCACGCACTTGACTTCGCCGCCTGGCTCTCCGATCTTCGCCGCCAGCTTACAGGTCAGCGCCAGGATGGCCACTCTCTGGTTGTCCATGCTGATGGCTTGCTCCCCCGTCCCCCTGCACCTACTCCCCTCCCTGCTGACCCCTCCTCTGATGACCGTGAGGCTTTCTCTACTGCTGCGCTGGCCTGTGCGATCTGGGACTCACGCGATGCAGTAGCTCAGGTTGCTATTAGTCACGCCCTCCCTGTGTCTGAGCGCTCGCGTTTTGCTACTGTTGAAACGGCCAAAGCTTATTTAGACGCCGTTATTGCTCGCTATTCCACCCCTGCCTCCGCTTCTGCTGGCCGCTTGCTCTTTCCGATGCTGTTCCCAGACCTGGCTGCCTTCCCTACTGTCGCAGATTTTGCCACTCATTTGCGTGCCCTAGAGACTCGCTATCGCACTGCCAGCACTGCGGCCCAGCTCACTGCGCTCCCCCCTCCTTTCTGCATGACGCTCTATTTTATCGCTATGCGCCTGCCAGACCGCCTCGCTAGTGCTCGCGACCACTTTCTTAGCCAGCACCCGGGTGACCTCACCCTGACCGCCTTTGTCGACACCCTCACTGAGATCGAGACTCGCCAGCGCACTATCGCTCAGTCGAGCGGTGCGCCGCCAGTCTCTATCTTTCACGGCTGTGCCCCATCCCCGTGCACGTTCACTGACGTTTCGGCTGCGGTCGCCACGGCGACCCCTCTTACCGAGACGGCTGCTGCTGTCCACCCGCAGCAGCGCTCGCGTCGCGGTGGCCGTGGCCGCCAGGGAGGTAGGGGTGGTGACGCAGGTGGTAGTGGTCGTGGTGGTGGTGACGGTAGTCCGCCTGAGGGGACTACCACCGGTGGGCAGGAGCAGCAGTCCCAGCAGCAGCAGGACCAGCCCCAGCCGCAGCCGCCGTCCCAGCAGCACCCGCCGCAGCCGTGGGCTCGTCTCCCGCCTGGTTGGCTCGGCACCTCCGGAGGCGGTGGCCGTGGTGGCGGCCCGCGCAGCTTGGCGTCTACCAGCGGCTCCAGTGCTGTGACCTGCCAGTACCAGCTTCAGACCGGGCCTCTCCGCGGCACTCTGTGCCGCCGACCGCACCCGACCGCCCGCTGTTTCCGCCGCCTCGACGATCTTTTTCGTCGTCGCTTTGGCCCGGCCCCGGACCTCCCTGACTGGCACAGCCTGCTCCGCCAGGGCGTGCCGATCTTTGAGTTAGACATGGATCAGATAGGTGCTGCTTTGCATGCTTTGTATGCTGACGCTTCTAGTGTTGATGGATCTTACTACCCTGTGTACTCTAGTTTAGGTGTTTCACCCTTGTGTAGCTTAGCTTCCCCTGCTGCGACAGGCGTAGGACTGCCTAGGTTGCCTAGTCTAGTCGCTGCACCGGCTCCGTCCCCGGCCCCCGCCACTGCGTCGCTGTCCTTCACTCTCGACTCTGGTGCTTCTGCCTGCTTCTTCCGCGACCGTTCCACGCTCACGCCGCTTGCTGCACCTGCTGTTGTCTCTCTCGCTGACCCCTCTGCGGGTCCGGTCGTCGCGCGCAGTTCTACGTCCCTTCCCTGTCCGGCAGTTCCCTCGGGCTCCCTTACTGGCCTCCACGTTCCCTCGTTCTCCAGGAACCTGGTTGGTGTCGGCTGTCTCCAGGACCTCGGCGTCACCACCACGTTCCCCGGGCACGAGCGGTTCGCTGTCTGTTCTGAGGCTGTCTCAGGTTCCCCCCTTGCGACGTTCCCCCGGGACCCGGTGTCCGGTCTGTTTACCCTACACACCGCTTCCCCCCCGGTTGGTGCGTCCTCCCAGGTCGCTGCAGCTTGCTCGTGTCGGTCCCTCACTCACCCCTCCCTTCTCTGGCACCACCGCTTAGGTCACCCTGCTCTCCCGCGTCTGCGTCACATGTCCCAGCACGGTCTTGTCTTAGGTCTCCCCGCGTCGCTCCCTGCCCTTCCTCCCTCGACTGCGCCACCGTGCACGCCTTGCGTCGAGGGTCGGCTCCGCCGTGCTCCTCACTCCTCCTCGCTGCGTCCTGCTACTGCCCCCCTTCAGACCCTGCACTTGGACGTTTGGGGCCCTGCCCCCGTCCCCGGACCGCGCGGTGAGCGCTACTTCCTTGTGCTTGTCGACGACTACACGCGCTACACCACGGTGTTTCCCCTGGAGCGGAACGACAGACAGACTTACTCAGAATGGTACGTGCCGAAGGCTTTCTCAGGGATGTGTGGAGTCCGTAAGTCGACGAGAAGACGAAGAAGAGAAACAAACATGCCAATGGGGGCGTCAGACTTGCAAATCCACAAAACGATGAGCAACAACTGCCTGAGGCGGTTGTCGAGGGACTCAAGGGACTCCTCGAACTCTGTGATGCTCGGCTGCGACGTGACCTTGCCATCCAGCTGCTGCTGTCTCTCCTCTGCGGCCTCGTGCTTCTTGCTTTGAGAATGCTTCACCATTGTTTGCTTCTGGATATCCACTCCGCCGTTGCCGAGTTTTCCGTACTGCCAGGTGGGAGGTGCGTGAGCCATGCAAAGTCGACATTTCATGCACGGACGTCCGTCGGGGCGCTGATCGATGATGAGCCATGGGAACTTTCGGACCCACTGCTCCTCAGCCTTGCTTTTTAGCTCAGCTAGAAGCGCGTCAGGGTCAGGGATGAGACGGCAGCAAAGACGGGACTTCGGATTCGGGACCGGCCGGTCAGCAGAAGAACCAGCTTCGGGATGTTCTGCCGACGAAGGTGGTTCGTCAGTGGAGGCGCGAGCCTCGATACGGATGTGAGGAACACGGGTGCGTGCAAAGCGTATCGTGCTTTGTGTGAACTGTCGAATGGACCGTGGCTTCGGCAGCTGTTGTACAGCGTCGACGGACAGCAGAGGGGACCGCCTAGCTGATACAGCGGTAGGAGAGCGAGGAGACGTTGGGGGAGTGGATGCGAGTAACGGGTCGCTGTTAACTTCAGGGAGTATCTCGCTAAATGGCGGCGCTACTGCGGGTGATGGGACTGCAGGCACGTGATTTGCCTCTGGATTTGGGCAGGTCTGGTGAGCTAGACGCAGGAAATCAAGCCCACTTACGGGGGGCATACCAGCCGCGGGAGGAACTACAGATGCGGCGCCGCCATCTCTAACGGCGCCAGCATCCATGTCGAAGTGGTGTGAGACGGGCTATGGAGCAGGTAGAAAACGGACAAGTAATCACCGTGTGTCGTCAACATAGTGAGGGGAAGGAGTGAGCGTCGCAACGAGGACAGGAGAAGAACCTGGGCGTGGTCCTTCATTCACAGATCCTCAGGGCGCGCATGCGTCTCCAGCGGCACGGGGAGCATCCATCCATCGTCCAAAGCTGGCGAAGGTTCTCGTCTCCTGCACGAAGCGGGCACTTGGCGACAAGCCAATAGGCGAGGGGTACTATGCTGTTGATAAGACCAGCCAATCAGATGTGGAGCTGCAGCTGCAGCATGCATTGCAACACACGACCCAGCGCGCGCACGCCCCTTAGCTGGCAACGGCGATGGTATCCTTGTGCGCTGTCACAAGACAAGCCAATGAGATTCACATGCATGTGCCATCACATGCTGCCGCAGCTGATTGTGGGCAGCATTTGAGTCACACCCTGCCTTGCTAATGCCTCACTGCGAGTGACGCGTCATGTAAAGCTGCCAGAATAGTACGTTCACGTTTTGGGTGGGCGGCCACAACGCGGGCCGCGTGGTATACGCGGTCTGTATAAGGGGGCTGTATACAGCCCTATACATATTGGTTTCAGACGGATGGATTCGCTAAGTCTAAAAACTCAGAAGAACGAATACACCCATTCTGTTTTTCCAGACGAATACAAAATCACTTTCTAGGACATCAGAAAGTCTGAAAACAGGTTTCTAAAAAATCAGATGAAGGCCAAAAAAAGGTTCTGAAAATCAGACAAACAGACAGATTTTGTCTGCAATCGAGGATCCTGCTTGTGCCCATGTCAAATCAGCTGATAAGGAAACCTCGTTGCACCCAGCACCTGATTGAAACTTCAGGGGAGGTGCCGTGTTATGGGCAGCATGTGGAACTTTTTGAGTTGCCCGAAGCATTATAATCTCCTCTGTGGCTTTGTTTTCCACCCGACTTGGCACTCTTGGGGCAGCAGCAGTACTATGGTTGGCAGCAGAATAACCATGGATGGGGGTGGTATGACCAGTACCAGCATGCCTGTGAGTGCCATGACTGGTAACAGCATGGCCCATCCTTGCATGCCCGTGCACAGCAGCCACAGTGAGCGCTCGCCTGGCCGCCGAACCAGGCGCCGGCTTGATGGGCTTGGCAACCCTCACTGTCCGAACTGGTGGCCCTTGCCTCGCTGGCCTCCTTGCTACTGCTGGCGGTAATGACCTTCCTCCTTGCACTGGCGGCACTGGCCTTATTTGTCTTATTTGCCTTGCTACCTGCCCCGCTCTCACTGAATGTGCTGCCCTCGTTACCCCCGCTGGTCCCGCGGGCCGTGGAGGAAGGCCGCTGAGCCGTGTGGTAGTCGGACTGGCATGAGGGTGAGAGGCTGTTGCAGCAGGAGCAGGAGCAGAAGCAGCACCAGCAGTCCCACCAGCACAAGCAGCAGCAGCTGCAGCAGCAGCGGCACCACCACCACCACTAGCAGCAGCAGCAGCAAGACCATTCCCTCTCGGGCTGCTGCCGAGAGCCTCCTGCCACAGGTCTGCCACGTCACAGTCCACGTACAGATCCCGCCAGCTCAGCGCATCCACGGCGTGCCCCGTCATCCCTCGGGGCTTCGCCAGATGAGCACAGACCGGTTGCAGTATGTGTGTCCCGGCCTGCTGTTCCCCGCGCCTCAAGTCATGAGGCGTGCAAGTGCCCTGGAGCGACCCAGCACCCTCTAGTGCTCCAATACTCTCCCTGATGCCCTTCAGTGCAGCGGCCATTTTCTCCCGCCTCCTGCGCTCCACCCACTCACCAGTCTCCAGCTGGCACTGCGCACTCACAACCCCCATAACTTCTCCTTCTCCTTGCCTCTTCGCTACCACCCCCTCCGTGCCTCGTGCGTTCGGATTTAGCCCCCCCAGGCCTCGAGGCTCCACCCAATCATGGCCCGCCAGCTGGCGCAGAGCACTCACAGCAGTCACAGCCCCCACACCACCCCCTCCTCCTTGGACCCCCAACACCACCTGCCCGGCCTGCCCTGGTCGCACGGCAACATCTTTCACCTGCCCCTTCCGCTGCCCTCCCTGCTCCTCCTCTTTCACCTGCCCTCCCTCCGCCTGCCGCACCTCTCTGCCCTGTGACTCCCCGTGACCCCGCGTCTCCTCAGACCCCTCGCCCAGCAGCATCCCCTTGTGAAGCAGCACTGGCGGCACCGCGCACACACTGTCTCGTGCTGCCACTGATTCTGCTCTCGCTGCGGGGGGCTTTGCTGCCGCGGGGGAAGAGTCAGCTGCCCTTGCGATTGAGTATGCCGCACCTTCCACTGCTGCTGACTCTCCTCGTCCCCTCACCGCCCCCTCTGCTGCCCCGCGCCCTGATCTCCTCGCTCCTCGCCCCGCCACGTCATCACTTTGACGCCGTGCTGCGTTCTCAATCCGCCCTCCACTGCCGCTCCCCTCATCCGCGCCTCCCCCCGCCGCGCTGCTAATTCCGCCAGCACTGCTCCGCGCTACCCGCCCCAGCGCTGCTCCCCCCGCCACGCGCGCAGCTGCCTTCCGCCCTCCCACCGCGCCCCTCGCTGGCGATTTCCCTATTGCGCTCTTCGAACCCCCCCGCCATATTACGGGGGTAACGAAGCAAGTTACCCTAACCGCAACTGGCCTGCACGTGACAACGTCGTCGCCATCATAATTATCACCTTCATCATCCACGTCAGCATCGCACAGACTTCCTCCGCTTTCCGTTTTCTTTCCCCTCCATCCCTCGACTCCCCCTAACCCTGCCATCTCCCCCTCCCCTACACCCGCTCCTCCAACCTCCCCTCTGCCCACCGGCATTGCAAGAACTGCCTCCTCCTCGTCATCATCCACCTCTCCCCTCTCCCACTCCTCCCCCCTCTCCGCCTTCGTCGCTCTCACCACGCCCGTCGACCGTCCCTCTCCGCGAGTCGCGGTGATACACGTGGCCAAGCGTGGTTGGCGCGTGCCGCACGTGGTTGTTCCCGTCGGCAGGCCGGAAGGGTTTCTCGACCGGCACCGTGCAACGCCGGCCGCGGAGGTTACCACGCGCAGGCGAGACCGCGAATTGATGCGAATAGTCAGCTCGGCGCACTCGTCCGACGACTCGTCGGCCACGCAATTGGGCGCGCTGAACGCGGTACTGCTGCTCTCGCTACTTCCAGAGCCAGTATTACCTCCTTCATGTGAGCTAGTATTACCTCCGCTCATTTTTTCCACCAAGGCGGAAACGGCGGGGCTCCTATGACTGCTGCTAGTAGTAGCAGCAGCGGAAGGGCCGGCGCTGTTGGCGGAGGTTGTGCGCAGGGCGTCGACAGCCGGTGGCGGAGTGGGCGCAGCAGCTTCCGCGGCGGCGCAGCTACGATCGGCTGCGCAATCTCCCCCGTTCCCCGGAAGCGGATATCGGCGGAACCCCGCGCACTGCGAGCGCAAGTCCCCCTTCCCCGCACTTTCCGCCACCCGACGGTGCCACTGCACGTACTGAGTCACATCGACGTCCGCGAATACCGGCGGTCGTGGCGGTTCAGGGGCGACTACGCTCGAGGGATGAGGAGCTTTAATTACTACGCCATGAGCGACCCTTCCCACCGGCGTGTGCGGGGGTTGCGCAGCGGCGTTTGCGCGCAGCGGCGGTACCCCGGGGTGAAGGGGCCCTTCGGGAAATCGAGGATGCGGCGCCGCGCGACCATTTGGACCTTTCAAATCCTCCTTCGCAGCTGTGCGAAGAACGATACCAGCCGCTGCGTTAATGATACGGCGACGCGCGGTCGTCGCTGCGACGACTGGGAGAGTTTCGACGCTGTGAATCGTGCGGTGATCAACGGGGATGCCACGGGAAAATAGTAGAGGGATGAGTCTTAACTCCCGGAGGCTGGCTTCGCTTCCAATCGGTACGGTCTGCCATTTCTGCATCGCGCCAAGCCGCAAATCCCGCGAGTCCTCGTTGCCATTCGCGCTTTCTTCGTACCTGCCAGCTGATGGTGCACCAACTATGGGCGCTACCCTCGCTCTCCCATGCATCGCGCGGAGTAATTCTATAACATCTGATGCCTAGCAACTGAACATTCTTCCCGAAATGTCGAAGCTCGCAGCTTTGCAGGCTCTATTTCCATCTGGGCCCTGGCGTGGCTACTACTCTGGTCGACAGAGCTAGTCTAACACTTTTAGTCACTAGAGTTCAAATGCTTATTCGCGGGAGGACGGCAGGGGGCAAATTAGGTGAAAGACAATCGAAGTGCGAGATTTGGTTCGTGCTCCACCTACAAACGAAACAGCCCGCGTTTGTTTCGATCTTGGGATCAGTTACCTGAAGCCTAATTTTGTAACGCCATTACAGTGTCGAAAGTGTTGACGTCAGCTGTCAAGGTGACTGTAACGATGGATGTGGCCTCTTCGTACAATCGATCGTCTTGACGCCGCTTCGGCCGGTCAATTCGGTGTGCACGTACACATGACGTCCAGTGAACCGCCCATTCGTCAGAGGCCCCCATGCACTCGTCAGTCCGACTGCCACGGATATGCAGGCAACGGCCCGTCATGGACTGGCCCAATTTTGGGCGGCTCAACCACTTGCGACACTGCTGGGAGCGAACATGCAGAAGGAACAATTGTAGGTTGACTCGGAACCAGGGTGCGAGTTACCGGGGTACACGGGAGAAACAACGCATGTCTTCCATGTTCAATGGGTCCTGCCAAACGGGTAACCATGGTCCTACCTTCAGGCCCAATTTGCCAGCGATTTGAAGGCGTCCGTTACTGGATTAGCCGGCCAAAACAAACTTGGGCCTTTTTCAGAACTCTGGTGTACCAGGCGCCACAGTCCCAATTTCCTCGCGTCGCCAGATTTTCGCCAGACGAGAATACACCTAGCCTGCGGTAATTACACACCCTGAAATTGGGCGGCTGTATTAGATTTGTTTCCACCCTGACCATTTCTGAGTGCGTAGACAGTATTCCCTTGTTTTTACGACCAAGTGCAGCAGACTCCACGCGGACAAAAACTTTGAGCACTGCCAAAACTGACAACGGATTTCCTGACTCGAGAAACACTAAATCGAAGAGTAAACGTTTCGTATAGAATTCCAAACTAGATTATTTTTAAGGGTATCCGGATCTGGTCTTCAGGAGCTGCTTTCGAGGGGTCAATACCCTCTCGGCGGCATCCCCTGTGAAAATACTGGGTGTAAAACTACCGCGGCTAGGTGTACTGCCAGCGCACGAATCTTTTGGCGTGTGGAGGCACGTGGCCCCAGCCCCAAAACTCCACAAATTTTTAACATGCGCATCGACAGGAAGGTGAGGTGGGATTTTTGTTGTACCCTGGGAAATGTTGGTTTTCCGAGGCGCATGCTCCGAGTCGCGGAAATTCGTCTTGACATTTGCGACGACATTTTCCGGTATCCGTGTGTTGTGGTTTTTTTTTGTTTTCGCGAATCCCCAATTTTGCAAAGCTGCAAATGACCCCCAGGTTTGCGCGTCTCGACGCGTGGAAGGTTCGGCATTCTCGATTTGCAAGATCGGTGTTGACAGTTCTGCAATATCGAGTGTCCAATCAATTGTCGCCTTCGATATTGCGGATCTATGTACACTCTCGATCCTCGTTTGTCCCCACTTTTACCACGTCCTAATTGCGCCCCTTTGCAGCATTATGCAGCGCTTCGAAACAAACGCGGCGCGATCGCTTTGTAGTCTCAGAGAAAATCTCGCGAATCCCGGCCCACGCCGAAACTTGGAATAAAATCACACGGGTTGAATTCAATCGCGCCCCGGATTTCGGAATCCGGTCTCCAATTACCCGCGCTCCGCTTCGTATGAACTTTTCTTATAAAATAGCAAATATACACGGCTATTGTCACAGCTCCAATTTCTCTTTCAAAACTTGAAAAGTTTTAGGCAGCTGCAGCCTACATGCGCCTAGTAAGGTTCGAGGAAATGACAAATCTGCACCCAAATAAAACAACTCGACAGTTATATACCGGAACATTTTGCGCCAATGAGAGGCGAGATTCTTGTCCATACGCAGTCAACTGTTTCGGACTGATGTGTAGAGTTGTGTCTTCGCGACAAGAACCTCACAGCAAAATTTATTGCGCTGCAATTCGACAGTAAATGCAAAACTAGACAAATACATTTTGGGCAGCGTTTTGGGCAAATAAAACAAACCCATAGGGGCCCGACATGCCCTTCGAGATGGCATCAAGCCTGAATTTGCGGCCCTTTTTCGAGTTTAGGGTTGATGCCACCCCGAGTCACATGCTGGGCCCCTATGGGTTAATTGTTTTTTCGGCTGCGCAAAAATACTGTACGTATAAATCGCCCAACATGTGGCTGACTGTGTCAGGTTTGGGCGACTCCACAGAAAATCGCTGATTCGAAGGCTCGGGTGTATTTCGGTTGGATACCAATTCGGGTGTATATTGTACGTTTCCTCGTCAGGTTCAGGGAGCTCTGTAGCCGCGCGCATTCATGTCAAATCGGCACGCAGTGCGTGATCTAATATTTCACGCACTGCGTGGCGAAATTGACGGAATGGGCGCGGCTACAGTGCTCCCTGAGCCTGACAAGGCGCATGTAGACTGCAACTGCCTGAAATTTTCGAGTTTCGAAAGAGAAAGGGGAGCTGTGACAATTTTATTTTAACTTTCGGCTCGGGCCGGAATTCGCGAGATTCTCTCGTTGTCTCAAGATTGAACCACAGCCGTTCGTACATTTTTCGCAGTCAACCAGACAAAAGGACGAGCCGCACATACTGTATCGCCCTTCTTGTTCCAGTGGCTCCTCGGCACCACTTGTACACGTGGAAATGTTGTGGCGAGATGGGTTTCTTTACATCTCCATCTCCCCTGCACACGTTCAAGCCACCACCCTGTTTCACTCTGAATCTTCTGTCCTGTACGCTTTATCCCGTACACTACGACCATGATGTTCTGTATGCCTTACCACAAACGCGTACAGCCTAGGGCTCTAACTCTACCCCCTTTAGCAAGAATAGTTTTGCTGTTTATCTCGGCGACAAACGTTTTGCGATAAATGTTACTGAAAGCACCTACACTTGAGATTCCCGCTTCATTGTACGCGGTACACGCCACATCCCTCCCTTTCCCACATCCGCCTGCCACAGCTGTCACATCGCACCAATTCCGAGCTGTGAACCATGCTCGATGCGAAAATCGAGCCTTTCACAGCTCGAGCAAGCGTTGCAGGTTTCCCGCCTTCAATTTTCGTTCCACCCCTCAGCTCCTTTCTGACAGTATTGGATCTAGGATGCCAAGAGTTCATGAAATTGGAGTAAGTGTTGGTATTGCACTACCTAGCGCACATCATTCGACGGTAGCATATCGTCGCTAAACATCATCAGGATTACGGGCGTTCGAATCACGACGAGCTTTACGTTCGCCCGTGAGGCTGAGCCCCAGATCTAGCCGCACTTCCGCGTCGCCGTCTCCTCTACCCCCCCACGCAGAGCTAGCATTTAGAGGCGAGCCTGGCAGCAGCCGTGCCGCGGAGGCCGTCCTAAAGGGCGAACTAGTGGTGTCGTTAGCTGCACCCGCGGATTGCCTATGCGCGGGCTTGCTGAGTGGCGATCTCGTAGCGGCGGCGGTACCAACCCCCAGGTGCGCGTTTCCCGCCGCTGTCACCGCGGACGAGTCATGTCCGGCGCTCAGCGCGTTGAAGAACCACGACGGGGAAGATTGGGCAGGCGGGGCGTCGGTATTCCCCGGAAAATCTGCTTGAGCGTCTCGAATCCTGCACAGAACGAAAGCAGAGATTTAGTCGAGGCACGAAAGGAACGTGCGTTATAATAAACAACGGACGAACATTCCAAGATTCTAGGTTGCGACGAATCTTACTGCGAGGTCCTGCTGAACCCGTGGAGTCCAGAGGTTTGCGAATAGCCAGAGGGGTCCGCGTCTGATGCGGCGTTCACCACGCCCGTGAGAATGTCCAGATTGTGGGCATCCGCGCCCCCCGCATTCCCCGCATTCCCCGCATCCCCCGCGCTCCCCGCATCCCTCGCTTCCCTGCCCAATGGCGACATTCGTGCGTCTCCGCCGGACGCGCCAGCGCGAAACACGGGCTGCGCCCCCGCGCTATTAGCCGCAGCAGCTGGGGGGTCCGACGGGGGAATGGCGGGCGACAACGCGACTGCATCTCGCTGGGTTGCAGCCGACAGCCCCGACTGGGCCGCCGTCAACTGTTCCGTCAGGAGACGGACTCCGTCAAGTCCGCGCGCTCCGGTCAAGGCAACGAGCGAAGCCTCTAACAACTGCTGGCTGGCGGATTTCGTTGGGACACGCGGACCTAACCGCGACAAGCTAGCGGCAGTGGCGGATTGATTCATACCCCACAAGCTGGCACCGCTCACAAGCCCCCCTAACGCTGCACCCCCGGTGCCACTGGAATTAGCGGCGGCAGCAACCCCACTCGAATTCGCGGGGCTACTAACGAGCGGGCTTGGATGGTTCGGAGCCAGCCTTTGCTGACTTGACATGTCCGCACCAGCACTAGAAGCCCAGCTTATATTGCGGTCATGTGCCATGGCAATTCCTCGACTATTACTAGCACCACCAGAAGACATCATGCCGTGGCGTATCTCACGGTCGTTCTCTGGAGCCCGCGGGGCCGCGAAGCTCCCGCCCAAGCAGGCTGCGAGAGACGTGAGGGCGGAAGGGAAGAGGACCTGCGCGCTCGGCGTGCCGTGAAGCGCCACTGGTGAGTCGGAAGCCTTCCACTGCTCTTGGTTCTTCTGCTGCCACGGAAGCGGCGGCGGCGGTGGTGGTGGCGGCGGTGGCTGCAGCTGTTGCGAGACGCCCCCTCTCCGCGATTTCTCCCCCCCAGCAGCGAATCCACTGATTTTCCGTGGCATAATCTCGTCCGTCGATTTTCCCCGCGACGGAGCGACGGGTGCGCCATCGACGGCTCGCGCTCGCTTCCTCTCCGCCACTCTGTCCGAGCCGTCGCGGTCGTTCGACGAGCCCGCGGCGCGTTTGCCGCTTGACCCCGCAACCTGCCGCTGCGCCGCATTTCGCGCCGCGCTTTGCGATGCCGAGCCCAATGCGGCCTGGATGGCTGGATTTGCTCGATTCAACAGCCACTGCACGGGGAAGGGGTTCCAAGGGAATAGAATCAATGCTTGATTCGCGCAGTAAGCTCGAACGGCGGGTGCTGGAAGCAGAACGCACAATGGCCAGGCAGCTGTGGTTCTAATGCAGGGGAGGAGCATCTAACTCTTTCCGCCATGAAATGCTAAACCTGTCACAGCCTTCGTTGAATTGCGATAGTGTCCTCGGACTCCAAAAGCAAGGCAGAATTGCTGGCCGTGGCCCTTTCATCGAGGGAGCCGGTACTCCCCATTGCGCGCCAATACCTGAATCGTTTCGCCGTCCGACCGATGGCCGAGTGCCCGCGTCAGGCGGAAGATCTGCGCCGCGCACGCAGCGGGCATGCGGATGCGCCGCCCGCGCCCATCCACCTTCCGGTGCCTGTCCTTCCGCTTCACCTCCATCTCCCCCTTCCCCCCCTCCGCCCCCTCCTCCGCCTCCTCCTCTTCCTCCTCCCCGCCGTCTCCCCCCTCCCATTCCAGCGGTTCCGCGTCCGCTTCGCCCTCTGCTTCCGCAGTTGGCGAGTGCGCGTCACCTTGCGCCATCAGCGCAAGCCTCGCGGCGTTATCGTCGTCATTTCTCGCGTCCACTCCCCGGCCGAAGCCTCCGCCAGACGGCTCGCTGCCGTTACTCTCCCCCGACGCGCATCCCGCCGCCGCTTTTTGCGCCAATATACGAAGTAGCGGACCCCCCCTTGCTCTTCCGCCGTTTTGATTCGCGGAAGAGTGTCGAGCGCAGCCGCCAGATGCGGGCTCGTCTAGGCACCCCACTGGCCAAGCACTCGTGCTTATTTCGAGTAAACAAGGGGCAGCGATGGTCTCTGAGAGGGAAGGGCTGCTCCTGCACTCGCGCGACGCGGGGAGGAAAGCAGCGCGACGCCTTTTAGCGGGGATGGGAAATTCGTCCATTCTGAGTGCTTTTATCGGGGAGGAGTCTTCAGGAAGAAAATGATGCAATCGCGGTGACATTCTACTAGAATGACCCTCGCTGCTGCTAGTAGCGGATGCTGTGTACTTCAGCGAGTTTCCTTGATCGACAAGAAGAACGTCGTGAGCGGATTGATCGTGAGCTACGGCTCCGTGAATCAATGGCGGACGCTGCTGAAACTGGTGCGGCATTTTCTGAAGCAGCAATGCGGAAGAGCGTGATGGTGATTTGTTCCAATCTCGGCCTCACATACACTCACGGACTCGTATACATTCACTCTGCTCCGCACGCAACTATGCGGGATAACTGCTGGGTTTGCAGCCCCGTCCCGCCCGCGGCTGCAGTTGGGTGACATCGGGCACAGGTGTACGTGAATGCTCGTCTGGTCGAGTCATGTCAATCTGGAGGGGGCAGGATAACGTCCACTCCACACTAACAAGCAGTGAAGTAGGGGAGGCTAAGAACGTGTCCAAAGTGAATTTCGATACCCGACGACATCCGTTGGGGGATGTCGAGGGACATCGACCATCGATTTTTCCCGATCGATGGGCGACATCCCTCGACATAACCCCAACGGATGTCGTCGGATCTCGAAATTCACTTTGGACACCCCCTAACGGGATTTCAATACTGTATGAGAGGGGTGGTGACGTGAAGGGGAACGTAAACGGAGCTGTGGGTTGCAGAGGGGAGGAAAATCCCTGCGGGATATCGTGTGCTAGAGGGATTCGGTTCGGTCGGGGGTGTTTGTTGGATCACAGCTGGAAAGCGAAAAAAATCTAGGATTCGGGGAAGGAAACCAGGATCACATCACACACATGGCAGTTTGCGGGCCCCCCTCCATTCCCTCTCCCCCCCTCCGCGCACAACACCGTGGCGGGTGGTGGGGTGAATGGCGGAGAACCCGGCGCAGGGGATATGCGGTGCGGAGCGGATGTGAAGGGGAGCAAGTCTGAAATTGGGGCTGGAAGGCAGGGGGGGGAGCGTTCTGCGCGTAGACGCCTAGCGGACAGGCTGATCGGGCAGGGAAACACAGGTGCGGAGCGGACGGCTGCGGAATGAGGGAGAGGGAGGAAAACCGAGCCAATTGTCGCTGCAGCACAATGCGGTGCGGATAGGTTCGCTGGCCACCATTCGTGCACGCGGCCGCGGGAACTCGATTGCATCCTCGAAGAAGTGGATCACAGCGCAGCACATCGCAACCACCGCGGCTAAAATGACGAGTCATGATTGGTCAAAAGAGCCGAGGAAGGGCCCACCGAGCACGCAAGCAGATTGTGGGGGGGGGGGGGGGGGGGGGGGGGTGGAGGGGAGGCATTGGCGGAGGGGCCGGTTTGGGCCGGTTTGACAAACAGCGGGGGAGGGTTTTTTCATTTCCTTATGTACAGTCATGTACAGCAGAAGGCGTAATAAAAGCGGTATGCTGCCGAATTATTCCACAAGAGGTGCTTTTTTTGTGTGTGTAGTGTTCCCTTGAAACTCTGCCTTTCAATCAGGTTCTAGTACCAGCTCAACGAGGACAACTTCACGTTTCTCGTTGTCGTTAGCCTAGGATTTAGCGGGAGCGATCCCTACGTTGTCAGAGAAACCTAATGTTCACTATATTCTACCCTCTATTCAGGCCAATCGGGTGCCCTAACCATCCCCGATCATCCACCCACACATAAAATTTGCTTCGTTGTACAACCTCCTCATGATTCATCACGTGATGCTGGCAAGTCGTGTTTCCAGCTGGCGCATGCCAGTCCAAGGTGGAAGCCTTGTTGCTCGCATGTGGGCCACCGTGTGAACAAATGGCATGCTCAATGGTTCCCGCGGCTGGTGCTGCTCCAAGGGGGGTTGACAATTCATTTGCACCAAGCAAAAAAAAACTACAGAAGCGAGGGCAACGTCAATAACAGATTAGAGAAATATTGCACAGGCAAGAGATAATTCCGTAGTTTCGTGTCTGCCCGACGCAGGCTTCCCTGACCCAGCCCGCCTTTCCGCTGCGCCTCAACCTTCGCTCGTGGTGACACTGTTGGTGGTTAATGGCCAGCGGTGGAGGTGCAACTTCAGTTCAGAGATGAACAATGCCCTATCGCTGACGCAAAGGTGACGCAATCAGTACACGTACAGTACTCCCTTTCAATCAGTGTGTAAATGGGGAAACATTTACCTAAAATGCCCAAAGTGTTTTGACATTTGCAAGGCACCGAGTCTAATTCATACTAATCAAACACCAGCATACACTCTGACCCAAACTCGGATAAACCTGGCTGCATGCTTTGCAGCCTCATTGAGCTCCTCTTGATGAAACAATAACCCTGCATCAGTGACAAGACTCCAAACCAATACGAAAAGAGGCGCCAAAAACGAAGTAGTTCAACACCACATCGGGCATAATGCAAACACACGGTGGGAAGACACCCCCGCACAGCAGCACATGCATGGCAGCAGATGTGCTTACACACTGTAGCCATATTCACAAGCCACCCCATCCAATCCTAACTGATGGATAAACCACATACATCTGTCTTGTGCCAATACCCACAGACACGCACGCAACACACTCGAAATCTCACCTGCCATCTGCCATTAGCTGCCCATTGCCAAGCCAGCCACAGTCAAGCCTTAGATCCACCTCCCCCTGTACCGCCATCCTGCCTCAAAGACTGAGGCAGCGCCCCTCCCGTCGCATTTATCACCTCCCGGGGCCGTTCTGAGCCTCGTGCTGGTACACCCGAACCACCTCCCGGACCTCCCACCAAGCCTCTGCCGCGCCCGCCCCATACAATCCCACCCCTCCCCATTCCCCGGCCTTGCGATGGCGCATCGCGAATGCGAGCAGAGATGGACCCAGATGAAGACGCAGCAGCGGCGGCGGCAGTAACAGCAGCAGCAGCCGCAGCCGCACCTGCTGCACTCATGCTGCTTGCACCGAAACCACTAGCAGGAGCAGCAGGACCAGCAACACTACCTGCTGGCATGGCAGGGGCAGGGCCACCAGCGGCAGAGCCTTGCCGAGGCTGATTGGCAGGTCTGGTGGGTGGTGCAGCGGCTTGGGGTGCTCCAACAGGCTTCCCCCCTGCGGTTGCACTCCCCCCTCCAGTGGCCTTCACCCCAGCCTCGGGGTCTGCCCTCCTCCCAGCTGCTGCGGCACCAGAAGAAGCGGAGCCAGCAGCACCCGTGCTAACCCCACCCACGCCACTACCAGATGCTTTGGGGGTTGCAGCAGGAGCAGGAGCAGAAGACGGAGGGGGGGGAGCAGAACCGGATGCAGCAACAGCAGCAGCCCAACTGGTTGCAGCCTGCCCTGCTTGGGCCTTCCCTGGGTCTACCTTGCTGGTTGTCAGTCCCCCACCTCCACCCCCACCCCCTCCCCCCTCCCCTCCACTGCCTGCTCCCTGACTCACCCCCCTTCCCCCAGACCCTCCCCGCCTTCCCCCATGCCTCCGCCCACCTCCAGAGCCCTCCCCTACCCCTCCTTGCCCCCCCGCACTTGCTGCCCCCGCCACGGATCCGCCTCCGGCGCTTCCAGCCCCTTCCAACTGACCTCCTGCGCCCTTCCCCGCCCCTCCCCCCCCCGCTGCTGCAGAACCTTCCGCCCCTGCACTACCCCCGCGCCCCCCTCTCTCGCCACCCCGACCTCCCCTTGCCCCTCCCTTCCCCTGCGCCCCATCACCCTTCGCCCCTCCCCCTCCTGGCTTCCCTGCCTCCCCAGCAGCACCAGCAACCTGCCCCTTCGGTCCCACAGCCCCAGCCACAGCAGCAGAAGCAGAACCAGCACTGGGAACAGCAGCAGGGGCCGAGGGGACAGGAGTGGGAGCAGGAGCAGGAGCAGGAGCAGGAGGCGCAGGAGCAGCAGGAGCAGGAGCCGGAGCAGCAGACGTTGGAGCAGACACAGTGGCAGCAGCACCGCCAGCAGCAGCAGGTGGCACCTTGGCGGCTCCTTTGGGGACATATCTCTCCATCTCAGCACGGCGCTGGCGAGCAGGAGCAGCTGACGTGGACAAGCCAGTCAGAACAGCAGCCTGAGCTGGAGCTGAGTTGGCAGAAGTTGAAGTGGCAGCAGCTGGGGGTGGTGATGGGGTGAGCAGCGGAGGTGCCTGAGAGGGCTGAAATGCCGATGCTGGTGCTGATGATGCCACTGCTGTTCCTGCTGCTGCTGCTGCCGGAGTGGGTTGCTGCTGCTGCTGCTGCTGTTGCTGTTGCTGTTGCTGCTGCTGCTGCTGCTGCTGCTGCTGCTGCTGCTGCTGTTGCTGCAGTTGCTGCTGCTGTTGCTGCTGTTGCTGCAGTTGCTGCTGCTGTTGCTGCTGTTGCTGCTGTTGCTGCAGTTGCTGCTGTTGGTGTTGCTGAAATTGCTGCTGCAGGTGCTGCTGCTGCTGCTGTAGCTGTTGTGCAGTGAGCACAGGCACATGCATTCCCATAGGCATGTGCATTGCCATACCCAGGTGCATGTGCATGGGCATGTGCATGGGCATAGGCATGGGCATGGGCATACCTCCCGTGTGGCCAGCAGGAGGGGTGATGTGAATCAGCCCCTCTCTCGGCCGCCCCCAGGCATTCATCACCATAGGAGGAGCCATAGCTCCAACTGCTGGCGCTGGACCCCCCTGCAAGCCTGCTGCTGCTGTCCCCGCCCCTGTTGCCGATGCTGCTGCTGCTGCTGCTGCTGCTGTTGGCGCGGATGCAGCAGCAGGTGCGCCTCTCACGATAGCAGCGACACTACCAGCCGCCCCCTGCCATGCAGTCCGCTCGCCACCCTGCTCCCTTGGCGCTTGTCCACCCGCCGCTGCTGCCCCACTTGCTGCCGCCCCACTCTCTGCTGCTCCACTCCCTGCAGTGCTTCCGCCAGCTGGCACTCCTGCACTCGGCCCTGCACTCATTCCCCTTGCACCCGCTGCCGCCGGCCCTGCTGCCCCCCCTGCTGCTCGCCCTGCTGTTGCCCCTGCTGCTGCCCCTGCCCCTACTGTTCCCTCCCCCCCTCCTGTCGCACCACCAGCTCCAGCCCCTCCCTCCTTTCCTTTCTCCCCACCGCCGCCTTCCTTTCCTCCCGCGCCCCCTTCCCTGCTGCCAGCCCCCCCTCGCATGCCCGAGAGAGCCACCTTGGCTGCAGCGGCAGCAGCGGCTGCAGCTGCTGCAGACCTCTGCTGCTCGCTCTCTGACCGCCCCTTCTCCTGCTGCCCCTGCGCCCGCCCGTTCCTCTGCTGCCGTGCCCTCTGCCCCTGGACTCCCCCCTGCCCCTGCCCCTGCCCCTGTTCCTGGCTGGAAACTGGACCCTGCACCTGCTGCTGCTGCTGCTGCTGCTGTTGCAATTGCTGCTGCTGCTGTTGCAATTGCTGCTGCTGCTGCTGCTGCACCTGTTGCTGCACCTGCTGCTGCTGTCGCTGCTCCACCCGCTGCTGCGGCTGCGGCTTGCCTGTCCCTTGGTCGCCACCAGCTCCTCCTCCGCCTGCTGCCGCAGGTGCATCCCCCTCAACTAACCCCTCCCCGTTCCCCCCATCAGCTTCCGCCCCTCCCCTTCCCCGACCACCCCTGTGCCTTCTCTGCCCGCTCCTCTTCTTCCCCTTCCCCCTGCCTCCCCCGCCCGCTCCTTCCCTCAGCTCCCCCTTATCTCCCGCACTCATATCATTAGGCATGGGAATAGGGGCAGCAGGCCCAGCGCCAGAAGCACCAGCAGTGGAGGGAGGTAGGGAGTGGGGGCCCGAGGACGCAGGTGGTTCTGCAATGGACGCTGGTGCTTGGGTCGGTGGCAGGAGCGGCTGAGGGGAAATACGTGTCACTGCAGATGGTTGGGGGAGAGGCAAAGGCGAGTGGTGTACGGTTACAAGGGAATTAGTGGTAACCATGCATGCTTAGTGTGGCGAGAATAAGAACCGGCAGGCCTGACGTGTTACACTTCCACGTTAACTTCAGCCTCAAGAATTTATTTTCTTTCAGGTTTGATGATCTGTTACGCACTCCTTCGTTTCTGAGCTCACCTTCTTTCCTTGTGCTCGCAGCAGAGCCCACTCCTCCTGCCACCGCAGGTCCTCCACCACTTCCCCCTCCTGCCGCTCCTCCTGCTGCTGCTCCTCCTGTTGCTGCTCCTCCTGCTGCTGCTCCTCCTGCTGCTGCTACTCCTCCTGCTGCTGCTCCTCTCACCGCCCCCCCTTGTCCCGCCATCTCCACGCTCCCTCCTGCCCCTATCCTTCCGCCATCCCTTTCACTCGCAAATATCGCCTGTCCAGGTGCTGCCTGTCCCCCAACTGTTCCTCCCCCAGCTCCTCCCCCTGATCCCCCCGGCCCCCCATGTCCCCCTGGTGCGCCCCACGCGCCTCCCCCACCTGGCATCCCCGCAAGGAAACCAGAGGGCCCTCCCGCGGGGAGCGCAAGTAGGCTGTCCTGGGCTTGCGTATGCTGGTGGAGGTGGGGGAGCGCATGCGGATGGCCGTGCGGATGCGCACCCGGGGGAGAGGGATGCGCGGGCGCATGGCCTGGCGGAAGAAGGTGCAGAGGCAACACCTGCTGTCCAGGGAGCATGGTCTGGGGTCGCGCGCCTGGCGGAGCGTTGGGGCCCATGTTGGGCGGAAGGTTGTGCTGCATGGGGAAGGGCGGGTGGGGGAAGAACTGTGGATGGCGCATGCCGTGGGGAGGGCCTACAGGGGCAAGGAACTGGGGCATTGGGGGACCCATGATGATCCGCGGAATGGACGTCGGCGCCGGGAGAAGAGGCTCCGCCTTGGCGCTCCCAGCTACTGCTGCTGCTGCTGCTGCTGCTGCTGCTGCTGCCGTTGCCGTTCCTCCCGCCCCACCTCCCACTGACCCTTCGCTGGGGTGTTGCGCTGCGCCCGAAACAGCAGAATTAGCAGCAGCATCGGCACTTGAAGCTTCAGGCGCACTTCCCTGTCCTGCCATGCCGCCTGCCATACCCGCCGCAGTACCCGCCTGCCCCACCTGCCCTGACCCCCCACTCTGCTGCCCCTGCTCTTCCCTCTCCGCCTCTCTACCAATCGCACCCCTCCGGTTCTGCTCAGCTCCCTCCCTTCCGCCCATTCCTCTTCCCCCGCCCCCTTCCCCCCAACCCTGAGCCTCCTCCTGCTGCCGCGCTGGGATCCAGCGCCCGTCCGCATCCCCTGCGCATGCGCCCCTCAGCCTGCCCTGCTCCCTTCCGCGCCCGCGACCCCGCCAGGCGCCAGCTCCGCCAGCAGCAGCAAAACCACTCTCCGGAACCTGTTCCTGCGCGCCTGGCCCAGGCGCGGGGATTGCCGCGCGTGGGGGAGAGGGTGCCCCTGCAGCAGCAGCGTTAGCATCCCCTCCTGCAGCCCCAGGCACAGGCACTGACCCAGCGCCTTTCCCTGCTCCTGCTGCTTGAGCACCTCCCTGCTTTCCTCCCGCCGGCGCACCCTGGACCTTCTGAGATGCTGCGCTGTCCATTCCCGAACCTGCTTGGACCTGCTTTCTCGCGTCTACCTGCCCTGCCCCCACAGCCGAACCTCCCTCAACCACATTGCCACCAGCCGCAGCCGCAGCCGCAGCCACAGCAGGAGCAGGAGCAGTGACACAGGGAGCAGCAGGAGCAGTGGCAGGAGTGGCAGCAGGGGCGGAACCAGGTGCAACACTGCGATCAGGAGCCGGCGCACCTTTTCCCTGGGGCGCCTCCCGCGGCGAGCGCAGAGGGCCTCGGCTAAACGGACGCGGGCTCTTGGCAAGTGACACCCCTCCTGCCCCTGCGCGCTGACCGCCCATGCCCGCTGCAGGCCCGCCTGCTGCTGTCTGCGCTGGTGGCACCTGCCCAGATGCGACCTGCCTAGAAGCGACCTGTCCCAAAGCAGCAGCCGCAGGCTTCTCTGCTCCCTTCCCTCCGCTTGCGGCTGTCTCCGCTTCGCCAGATATATTCCTGTCAGCACCAAAACCCCCAGCCCCACCTGCACCCCCAGAACCTGCACTAACCCCTTGTGCCATACCATCTGCGCCAGCCCCCCCTCCCTCCGGCCGCTTCAGAATGCGCACCTGCTCCGGCTGCATCCGCGCAGCGCCTTCCGCGCCCCTCCCACTTTCCCGACCCCACGGAGCTCCCTGCCCCTGTCCCCCCCTCCCTCCATCCGTCCCACGCGGACTCACTTCAGGCGCTCTACCGAGAAACGGGTCATCTTCAAACGCGGGTTTTGAGAAGTCCATGGTTTCGCTCTCTGCAGAGGCCCAGTCGATCCCAATGTGGTGATCCTTCTGGTATGGTCGCTGCGGCTGCGACGGCTGCTGCTGCTGCTGCTGCTGCTGCTGCTGCTGCTGCTGTGACTGCTGTTGCTGCTGTTGCTGCTGTGACTGCTGTTGCTGCTGTGACTGCTGCTGCTGCGACAGCTCCTGCCCCTTCCGCTGCCCGTCATTACCATCTTGCGCCTCTCCAATATCACCTCCCCGCCGCTTCCCTTCGTCCGCAGCCGCCCCAGGTGCGGGGGGTTGCCCCTGCCATCCGTCCCCTGCGCCCAAGTCCCCGCGCGAGCCGTACGGCTCCATGGGCGGACGACCGTGCCCACGCCCCGCATGTTCCCGCGCCATGCCCCCGCGCCCGTCGAACCCTTGCGGACCTCCCCGCCCCGCGCCTATGAACTCGTGCGCGCCCCCGGGGCGGAAAGGCGGCCGAACCTGCCCTAGCGGCGCGTGGAAATGGTCAAACGGCGGGGGTGGGGGAAACATTCCAGGGGGCATGTCAAAAGGCGGGCCTGCGCCTCTCCCTTGCGGACCATGGGGAATCCCCGCGCCAGGTCCATGCCCAGGGCCATACCGCGCGCCGAACCTCCCTCCTCCCCGCGGATCCATGTGCATGCCATACCCGTGCGGGGGCATCATACCGGGACGCATGTGCCCGTCGTACATTCCGCCAGGCGGAGGCCCTCCCCGCCCCGCCCCGTGCGCAAACCCTAACTCCGGGCCTTCTGGTCCGCGGTACATGGGGTGTCCCCCGCGCCCATACCCCATAGGCGGGGCCATCCCTGGCGGATGGCCCCGCCAGTTTTCCCCCGGTCCTCCCCCTCCTGCTGCGCCACTCGCGCCTGGACCTGTTCCTCCTGGTCCCCCCCCGCGCCAGCTTTCACTCTCTGGACCCCTCTCCCGCCACATCTCCGCCCCCCCGCCCGCACTCGGCGGAGGCGGGGACCGCCCAACGACCCCCTCAGCCCTCCGCCACGACGCCCCCCCTCCTCCGCCTCCACCTCCGCCGCCCCCCTCCCCGCCGGCCCCACCAGATCCATGCCGCCACGTGTCTCCGTCAGGGCCACCGCGGTGCCACGTGTCCCCAGGAGGGGGAGGCATGCGGTCGTTCCTGTGCGGAGGCCAGAGCCCGTGTGGGGGGCCGTCCTCAAAGCCCCCTGGGCCAGGGGGGTGCGGGTGCCAGCGCGCGGGCATCATTTGCTCCGGTCCCGGGCCAGGCCTGCGCCCCATGCCCTGATCCCATCCCATGGGGCCTGCGCACATGGCAACAGGAAGAACGGAAAGAACAGGACGCAGAGCATGCGAAGGAGCAGCCACCAGTACGTCAGTTCGCGCGTTCAAGGGACTCGATCTGTAACGCCTCACGCATGCATTTTCATGTATTTCCACGCTTCCCCTTTCGTTCCACCTCATTCTCCAAGGAAAAACGAAATCGATGATTAACTTTCCGCATCCGGGCCTAACCAACCCAATCATCATCATCTCAAGCATCACGAAACCCTTCCGCCCGGTTCCAGCATGCCTCCTCTCCCCTTCACAGACCCCACAAAACCCCTCCCATCAACAGCCAAGCCCCCATTTCAAGCAGCACGCACCTTCAGCACGCTGCCCGTGCTCTCCCTGCTCCTGCCCGTCGCCCTTCTCTCTGTAATACCCCGCTTCCTCATGCTCGCTCGGATGACGCGGTCCCTCTTGCTGCTGCTGCTCCTGCTGCTGCTGTTGCTGCTTGGCCTGCTCGGACCCAAGCGACGGGAAATCTCCCGCCGACAGATGAAACTGGCCTCCCTTGCCGTCCGATTCGCCATGTCGGTCCTGCATCAACGGACAGAGTAGATCGGCGATGGCGACGAAACGGCAAACAAGCGGGCGAAAGATTCAGTCAGAGAGCAAGGGAAGCCAGGATGGATGGAAAGCAACGGAATCCGGAGTCAGCAGAAGCAGAGAGAAGGGTTACAAGAGGGAAGGAGCAACGAGCACAAGTGGGAAGAGATCGCAGCAAAAGATGCACGGGAAGGCGAAAAAGGAGAGGACGCAAGAGGAGGACGCAAGAGAAGGACGCAGGAGGAAGACGACGGAGGAAGAGGAGCGCACGGTGGAAGTTGACCACGCAGAGGGTGTGGGTGAGCTGCGCAGCGAACCACCTGGCGGTGTTCCGCCGTACGCTCCCCCACGCGGCCCTTCGCGCGGACCCCCTGGCCCTTGTCCCACCCACTGCGGGTACCCGGATGCGCCAGGCTCCCCCTCATGGTGCGGAGGTGGCCGCTGCTGCTGCTGGTACGACGAATCCGGACCTCCAGGGACGGGGCTCCTCCGGTCAGGATTCAGGCTCGGAAACGCTCCCGGACCTGCTGACGGACCCGGACCTAAAGGCCCCAAACCTGACGGTCCTGAAGCAGGGGGACCTTGAGGTGAGGGCCCCGGAGGATACGGAGGGACAGGGGAGCGGTTGACTGGAGATGGATTTCCATTGGGCTGAGGCCACGTGGCGACGGACGGAGGTGGGGGAGATTGCTCTGCGCCAGGCGGCTTCCACGCGGAAGGAGGGGCGGGCGGAGCGGATTCGGGAACAGACCAAGCGGAGGGAGCGGTGGGTTTGTTGGATCCCCATGTGAGACTTCCTCTGGAGAAGGTCAGCGGGAAAATATGTAAGACAAGGGAAGAAAATTGGCAAGGTGAGTCGTGAAGGAGTTGAGGTTGCAAGAGAAACTGCCATGAGATGGCTTAGAAGATGCAGCTTACCGCGGGACAAGGGCGACTGATGGATCTAGCCCTTTGTTCTCAAGCCTGCGACGTAAAACCAGAAAGGACGTCAGATCCGGAAGTATGATGGATGATGAAAGCCAGGAAACCAGAAACTAGGCTCGTACTTTTGGCTCGGAAGGTTTATCGGTTTTGGAACGGCAGGTATCTTCCCGAGCACAGTCATTCCCCTCCGGGACGTTGCTCCTCTGCAGCCATAAACCACGTAATGGAATATAAGCTTCCGTGATTCGTTATAGCAGTGTCTGACAAAAGCTTAAAACTCGTAAGATATATCACCTTCTGTCTCCCAGCATGATTGTGGGATCCAAACTGCCGCTTAGTGTGTAGTTTGGCTACAAACAGAGCCTAGAAGAAAACTAAGACTAGGGTATGACCCTAGAACCGGGATCTCAAGCTTAGTCACACCAGGATTGCACGACTAAGAGGATCCTACGGCTGGGCCTACACCTAACCTGCCTACTACATCCAAGATCTGATACTACTCTCTCAAACTCGCTCGTCTTGGGAAGGCAGTGCAGCAAGGAGCACAAGCAGAAGGCTGCTTTCTTGAGAATTCCGCAAAACGAACCTCGGAAGTCTGTGCTTCGGCGTGACTTGTTCATCACGTTCGGCTCGTGCCTACAGAAGTTTGGCAGGCACAAGGCCCTCGATGACAAACTGGCATGTGCCTGTCTGGCTTCTGGTTGGAGGTGAGGAGGCTCGGGGAACAGATTTGAGGCAAATGTCGTTTGGGCTCGGCTCACTGTTGATAATGGCGCGAAACGGTAAGCGTGCTGACGGGGCAAACCGAGCCGAGAACGAGCCAAACCTAGATCTTCAAGTGTGGTTCGCCAGAACCTCTTTGTGAAATAGCTTCGCGCAGGATATAGTCTTGCGTAATCAAGGGTCATAGACCACACGATACAAACATATATTTTCTTGTACTCTTTGTATATAATGTATATGTACGCAAACATAAAATGCTAGAATCTCCATGCATCTTCCACCAGATGACTCGTGGATTGCCTAGTAGTATGTAGTGATGAGAGTCCCCGCTTAGCTGCTGCTTACGGAAATTGGCCCACACATAATGCCATCAATCCCCTGAATAGACACATACTGGTCGAGGAACAAATCCGGGGAGATAAGTGGGATTTGTCTGCTCCCAACGAGGGGGTTAGTAAGCAAGACCTGCTCTTTCAGGATGCCCGTATAGACTCTCCTGGTGTGAAACCTCTTCACATAATTTGACTGAAAGCCTTTGATCTCTCCAAACTGCAAGCACACAGGTTTCAGAAAGTGTGAAGTCAAAGTCAGCTTCCGACACTTCGAACAGCATTTGTCAAAACGCTCTCAAACGAAATAAAAAATCCCTACCTTCGTGCCATCGGCCGAGTCGATAATATCTTCTGCTGTGACGAGGCCAAGAACGATGTGCGACGCCATGCTGGCACTCATCAGGTCCGACGGAGACCCTGAACTTCTCCTGGCACGGGCGCAGCCGGGAGGGACGGCAGTGCCGTTAGCAGCACCGAGAATGGCGTCGTTAGGTACGGCGAATATGGTGAGCTGATAGTGGTTCAGCGCGGGCCGGATGACATTCAGAACTTCTGTTCGGAACGGCGAGGAAGAGAGGGGGTGTGAGGTGGTGAACGTGTTTAGAACATCATGATGAAAAGAGACTCAGTCTGGAAGGAATAGTGGAACGACGACGGAAGGATCAGGGAGGTGGAAATGACGTACGAGGTCTGTTGAGCCGTTGGAGGAATTCCGTGAACCCGGCTGACCGAAGAGCCTCGCGGATCTTTTGAAGCTCCGCTGCCCCGTCGAAAATGGGAGGTGCCTCGTTCAGCACTCGTCTTAATGCTGCCGCTCTGGAAATGCATACCGCGAGGAGGAGGACGCCTAGTAGTGCTGCATCCCTGACGTGGCGATTTTGCGCTTCCAACATCGTGAGTCTGACGGGGACTCGAAACGAAAGCTGAATGCTAGATAAGCTCAGCAATAGGATACGGACTCAGTGATGCACTAGCCCGGACTATCGTTTCAGATGGTGCCCTGACGTCCCCTAAATAACACAGCAGCACAGTCTCAGAAGCAGCCAGCCTTCATAAATCAGTGATCATACAGTTGGAAGGGTTCTTCCGAATACAGCTCATCACGTCCACGGCATTCAGTGCTTTGGGGCTGGTGCAGCGCAATTCTGAACCTTGAAGGCGAGAGGGATGGAAAAGGAGCAGCGATGGATCATGGAAGTCACCTCCAGGTGCGCATTTGAAGGACGGCACGGGGCGGGCGGGAAATGCACCGACGGCTGGGATCAGCCGAGTTCAGGTGGTTGGTTGGTAGTGGTGAATGCACGGGCTTGGCGGTCGCAGTGGACCGTCCAAGCTGGTGGCCGATTGGTGTCCCTTTTGCAGATGGTTTTGGTCGGACTGCGCAGCAACTTAGCGACACTCCCGAAAGACGCTAATTGGTGGAATTCCGATGAAACGGGACCTCAGCTTCTGTCATTTGATTGACTGGTGATCCTTGCGATTGGCTGCGATGAGAGCCTTTCTGGCCTCGAACGTCGCAGGCGCATGCGCGTCAGGTATTCTCATCAGGGTCTTCTCTTCAGCGCCTGCGCCGACACCTGCTTCCTCAACACAGCAGAAATTCAATACTGTAATGAAGCGCAAAGAGCGTGTGTAGAAGGATTGATTAACGAGGAAACAATACAACGGAGGCAACATCAAAACATCAGGGAGCATCGATATAGCTAGCATAGCAGCACACGGTCGTGGCTCGGCAGAGCTGCGACGCGTGGCTCGTACATCTAGACATGCAACAGCAAGGCAGGAAATAATGCATGCGGATCGTCAGGAGACCAAATTTGGGACCGCGATTTAAATTGCGTGGCAGAGCTTCGCGACAATCCCGTTATAGCAGTGTACGTCTTACTGACTAAAAGCCTAACTTGGAGGGGAGAGGGTGTAAGGAAATGGTATTTCCTCATAATTCTAGGATCCGACCAAGTGTAAAATGCTTCGTACCCAGTGTAAAAGTGAACCACATGTTTACGGTGGCCAGGATCTATAGTGTTTAAACAACTAAGGAGCTAGGTAGCCATGAGAAATGTCGAGAGGTTTAGCTAGGTAGAGAGATAGGAGAGGGAGTTGACGAGAGAAAAAGAGAGAGACTAGGAAAGACAGAGATACAAGAAGGGGTAGTTGTCCCCTCTACAGCATGATCCAGTAAAGTAGCACACCTATCAAGCCTAAACATATATATATATATATATAATATAATATAATTTGACACACCCCCTAGGCTTGGTAGTCGTAAGCCCATCCAACACGAAACACCCCCAAACCCTTGCACCCCCTTGTCCTGCAGCAGGGGTGACTTCTACCCCTCGGGCGAAGCGGTGATACCCCCGGCAGGTGGCAGCAACGGCGTCAGCGGCAGCTTCTATGACGACAACAGCAGCGGCGGAGCAGGTGGCAGCGCAGCCAGCTGCACCTGCATCGGCGGCGGCGGCGGCGACTGCGAAGCTCGCAGCACCCGGAGGCGTGGCACGACCCGGCGACGACAAGGTATTCAGTCAGCAGCAGCGGCTGGAGTAAGGGGAGACGCAAGGGGAGGGGGGGGGGGGGGGGGGGTGTGCTCCAGCAAGGCGCCCTGGCTGGCACACTGGCTGTCGTACGGGCATACGGGTGGTGCCTAAAATTGGGCGCTGGCCGCTGCCGTTCGTGCGCTGGCGCGTCGACGACGCCACGGCAGCACGACGACGCCACCACGGCCTGGCGTCGATGCCACGGCAGCACGTCGACGCTGCCACAGCAGCACGAGAACGCCACCACGGTGTGGCGTCGAAGTCACGGCAGCGCGCCGAGGCTGCCACGGCAGCACGACGAAGCCGCCATTGTCAACTTATACATATGTTAGTATGTAGAAGTTATAGGCAGGATAGGTGTATGTTCTTAGAGAGCACAACTCCAACCCTATACCTTGCTTCTTCTCTCTTGTTTCTATTTCTTCATGTATTTTAACATGGTATCAGAGCATGGGGAGGATCAAGCGTCCAGCGGAGGCAGAGGCAGGCGTGGATTAGCGCGCAACTACTGCATATATGAAATCTTCGGCGTTCGCGTCAGCAGTGAAACGCGGGCGCTCAGAGAGGGGATATGCATGGCTAGTGGCAAGCTACGCTACAGCATCGCGAGAATCCCAGACAGCACGAGCTAGCGCTGCAGCAGCAAAGGCCTCACTCTCAGCAGTGGTGGGGTCAGCAGGGAGGGGATCAGGTGCGGAGGGGCAAGGAAGCAAGCCATCAACATGCATAGCCAGGGAGTGGCCATCATGACGCTGACCTCGTCACTCACCTCCGTGCACTAGAGACTAGCTATCGTGCTGCTAGCACTACTGTCCAGCTCACTGCCTTCTCCCCGCCGTTCTGCGCTACCCTGTATCTTATTGCCATGCGCCTGCCTGACCGCTTAGCCACTACCCGCGACCACTTCCTTAGCCAGCACCCTGGTGACCTCACCCTGACCGCTTTAGCCGCTGCCCTTTCTGAGATAGAGACTCGCCAGCACACTATCGCTCAATCGAGCAGTGTTGCTGCAGTCCCTATCTTTCAGGGTTGTGCTCCCTTCCAGTGCACGTACGCTGACGTTTCCGCTGCTATCGCTACTGCTGCTCCTGCCGCTGAGGGCGTGGTGGTGGTGGCGGCAACAGTGGTTCTGACGAGGGGGCTAGGGTAGGCGTCCAGGAGCAGAAGCAGTCGCAGTAGTCTACGCCGCAGCAGCAGCAGCAGCAGCACCCATGGGCCCGCCTTCCACCGGGGTGGCCGGGAGCCTCTGGAGGGGGTGGCCGTGGTGGCGGTCCTCGCAGCTTGGCGTCTACCGGTGGCTTCAGCACTGTGGGCTGCTAGTTCCAGCTCCAGACCGGGCCCCTTCGTAGCACTGTGTGCCGCCGTCCGCACCCAACCGCCCGCTGCTTCCGCCGCCTCGACGACCTCTCTCGTCGCCGCTTCGGCTCGGCCCCGTACCTCCCTGATTGGCCCAGTCTTCTGCGCCACGGTGTGCTTGTTTTTGACTTAGACATGGTATCATGAGTAGGTTAGGTCCCCCACCCGCTTCCGCCCTGCGCCCTAGCCTATCGCGCCGTCTCCAGCCCCTCGCGCCGTCGCCAGCCCCTCGCGCCTAGCCGGCTCCTCGCGCCGAAGTCGGCCCCTTCGCGCCCTAGCCGACTCCTCGCGCCGTCGCCTACCCCTCGCGACCTAGTCGGCCTTTCGCGCCCTAGTCGACCCCACGCGCCCAGCCGGACCCTCGTGCCCTAGTCGGCCCCTCGCGCCCTAGTCGGCCCCTCGCGCCCTAGTCGGCCCCTCACGCCCTAGTCGGCCCCGCTCGCCTAGCCGGCTCCTCGCGCCCTCGTCAGCCCCTTCGCGCCCCAGCCGGTCCCTCGCGCTCTAGTCAGCCCCGCGTGCCTAGCCAGCCCCTTGCGCCCTCGTCGGCCCCTTCGCGCCCCAGCCAGCCCCTTGCGCCCTAGTCGGCCCCTTCGCGCCCTAGCCGGCCCCTCACGCCCATCCGGCCCTGCGCGCCCAGCCGGCCCCTCGCGCCCTAGTCAGCCCCTCGCGCCCTAGTCGGCCCCTCACGCCCTAATCGGCCCCGCGTGCCTAGTCGGCCCCCAGCACCCTAGTCGGCCCCTCGTGCCCTAGTCGACCCCGCGCGCCCAGCCGCCCCCCCTCGTGCCTTAGCCGGCCCCTTCGCGCCCTAGCCGGCTCCTCGTGCCCTAGCCAACCCCTTGTGCCCTAGCCGGCCCCTCGTGCCCTAGTCGGCCCCTCGCGCCCTAGCCAGCCCCTTGCGCCCTAGCCAACCCCTTGTGCCTAGTCGGTCCCTATCGCCTGTCCTGCCCCTCGTGTGCCTCAGCCCTCCTTTCATGCCCTCCGACTCCACGGGCGCCTTGGTTCCTGCTCTGGCGCGTCCTGCCGCCACGTCGCTGTACCGCCGTATAGCTGAGTCCCTGTATCCCTGTGCCGCTGTGTCACTGTGCTGCTGAGCCACTGTGCCGCCATGCCGCTGTGTCCCAGTGCCGTCGCAGTTTTGCGATGGCGGACACCATGCTATGTCTGGACGCGGAGGGGCACGCAATCAACTTCGCCGCCTGGCTTGTCAATCTTCATCGGCACTTGATAGGTCAGCGCCAGGATGGGCACTCCCTGGCTATGCATGTTGATGGCTTGCTTCCCTGCCCCTCCGCGCCTGATCCCCTCCTTGCTGACCCCACAAGTGCTGAGAGTGAGGCCTTTGCTGCTGCGGCGCTAGCTGACTTGCAGTTCTTTCCGTCCTCCGCAGAACCTTCATTCTTCGTTCGTGTTGGCCAGAATCCGTTCTACATCCTTGTCTACGTAGACAACCTGGTCTTCGCTACTGCAGATAGAGACGCGCTGGCCTCCGTGAAGGCCGAGCTGCTGAGGAGACACACCTGCACTGACCTAGGAGAGCTGCGCTGCTACCTTGGCCTGCAGATCTCCAGGGACAGAGCAGCGCACACCATCACTCTCACACAGACACACTTGGTGCACTAGGTCCTTCAGAGGTTCGGTCTTCAGTTCTCCTCCGCACAGCCCACACCTCTGCCTCTAGATCGTAGGCTCTCTGCTCCAGTTCCAGAGGAGTCCGTAGAGCCCAGTGGTTCTTACGCAGCGCTGGTGGGTTGCCTCATGTACCTGATGACTTGCACTCGTCCAGATCTCGCATACCCTCTCAGCATCCTGGCTCGCTTTGTGGCCTCCGGCAGACACCGACCACATCACTGGTCGGCCGCTAAGAGGGTTTTGCGTTATCTAGAAAGTACATCGGGCATGGAGTTAGTGCTTCGAGGACGCAGGCCAGCGGTCCTTACTGAGCACACTGACGCTTCTTGGGCAGACGTCGCTCATGGGGCTACTGCTTTAGCCTTGGTTTAGGGGCCATCTCATGGAGGTCCACTCGCTCCTCGTCTGTTGCCCAGTCTAGCTGTGAGGCTGAGATCTACGCCGGTGCCATGGCAGCACAGAAGATCCGCTGGCTGACCTTCTTGCTCGCCGCGGATCCGACAGCTCAGGGAGTGGAAGACTAAATCGACCGCAGAAAACGAAGTAGAGAGTGGTTGAGCAGGAAAATTGGATTATGCACCGTCCGATGTAAAACGAGCATGAATATTTTTTTAGGAACAAAAAAATTACAGATTATGATTCGATTTGAAGAGGAAATCTGTTGTATAAAAGACGACCTCC